ATAAATCAATAGAGGTAAGTATTCGAATGGTGAGGCAAACATTTATAAATGTCTCGATAATGGGCGGGAAAAGTTTTAAAATTTTTTAAATTTAAAACTTGAACACTGGAAACCGCAACGAAAGATGATATCGAGATCGTTAACCGCGTTATCATGGGAGGTAAATAAGAATAACTTTCCAGCGTGGGACTAGACTGTCATGTGTCACGGAGATAAGTTCTTTCAGTTGATACTCTCTTGCTTATAAACAGTAACGCACAATGCAATTGTTAGCAGGTGAATCTGTGACTTATGGAAGCTTTCGAAACAATCTCACAAAGTGAGACCGAAAACAACTTACGATTGACTTTGGTTCTTTCAATCGATCTTCACTTTACTACTTAAATGCTATTTATATGTCGACAAAACATTTACATGCATATAAATTAGTCTCTCTAACGAAAATAATTTCTTCAATTAACCAATGCTTATTTGGGATGGGCACCTTTTGGTTAAATTGATCCCATGTTTAGAATTGCTCAGCGCTACAGCTGTCAGATCCTCACCATACCGATCAAAAGGTCTCAGTAGACGAAGGCGAGTGAGTTACGTTTTCGGAAATGTTGTGGAACTCCTATCACTGTGGACTATTCGAAATACAGACCCCATTCGCGTGCCAACAACGACATGAAATAAAAGGCTGATGATCTGTCCCAATATAAGAATAACTCAACAGAGATCCAAATTTTGTTATTATATATTGACGCTGAAGGTAAACACAATCCAAGAATGGATTCATGATGATGCGATGTTAAAAACAGTGCCAATCGGCATAGTTTCGAGGTTGCAAATTAACCTAAGAATTACTGGAACTTTATGAAAACAGAAAGTATAATTATAATTATAGACAGAGAATTAATTCTCTAATGAAACAAACATTCAGGTTTTGCAATGAGTTCAATTTTGCAGTTGGTGTTGAAATGAGATCAGTTTAACAGTGAACCGCCAAAACTTTCAAAGAAGAAATAAAAGCTCTCTTCGAAATAGAAGCCGCCTCTTGACTCAGATCATTTAACGAGGACCCTGGGAGCTAATTGGAGCATTGACTGGGTTTTTTTATTACACAAATTCACGAGTTAGTTTTTGCATGAGGACCATAAGTGACTGAGCTGCTTGCATTGCAAACAGGCAAGGATTCTTCACTACAATTCCGTTTGAGTTCGGAAGCAATTGTATCAAAGCTTACTGGAAATGAAATATTTTAGTAATCGTCGAAACCACTGATTGCTAAAAGGAGGTTATATATAATAGAAAGACAGAAAAAGGCACAGGCATACTCTTCGTCGCATATGCGAAGCAATCTCGCCAGTCCATGCGAAGCCCATGACTTTATCAGTTTAATCACTGTCAAATGTTACTCTCGTTAAATATAAAGTGTACTACTACTACTGCTACTACTTCTAGACTTTCTATCACCGTCTATTCGACTCAGAAGAAGATAATTTGCCCTCCAAGAAGGTCCTAGAAGGAGACTGTGTAGAACGAACAGGACTCGCAGAGGTCAAGTTTGCGGTGGCAACAAGCAGTAAAAACAGGACAGCCAAATGTCTGCTAACGAGGGTCGGTTGCTACAATATAAGCAAAAAGAGAAAAGGATATGTGAATAATTTTTTCTTAATCTGAGGAAAAAACGAGAAGAATGCCCGAGATTAATGTTTGATAGCACTTCTTGTCAATATGGTGAGACGCTTTTTAATATATGTACATTTTTCCCCCAGTCAGTTAAAATGTAACTCTGTTTGTACTGAAAGCCTTAAGTTGAGAAACTATAGTGGGGTATACTTTTAATAGGATTTTTTTTTCGGAAAATTTCCAAACATGAAGCAGAAAAGATTTTTTCAATATCATTAGGGAAGCCTGAACGTATACCCTGAACAGGTCAAATTAAGAATAGGTTTCTGAAAACTCTTCATATACTCCTGTAATACGGAAGTGGAGTGTTTCAAATCTGACCTGACAATACGCCGGCCCTTTTTGCTTACTTACATCAAGCATGATTCTTGTCCTCTATGTTCCACTTTGTTGCGTTTCTGACTTGTCTCTCCTAATGTTCGTCTGTTTTTAACTGGAGCTGATGTACACTGAAGCTAAGCTGGGCTTTGCTCTCTTTTATGCTGTTCTCAGTGCTATGCATATACATTGTTTATAGATTTTGCCATTTCAGCGAGAGTTACACTGTGCACTTTGTGGTTATTTCTAACTTCCTTGGTACTCCAGATTCTCATCAAGCATAGGAATGCCAGTAATGTGTAATGAAATAGCTATTTGTTGCACTTTACGTAAAAGTATCTTAAGTCTTCAAATTATATAAACAGTACAGTTTTCCCAGCTGTGGTTTGCGGTTGATACCGATACTTGCATATCTAGACATAAAGACTTGCTGCTTTACTGCGGAATTTGAGTTCTGTATTTTATTACTATTTTTGAGGGCTGCTTCACAGCTTCAGCAAAATTGCACCTCCGGTTACGATGTTTTTTTTACATGGAAACTGGTTATTAATTTTTGGACTGTATTTTTAACTCGTACTTCTTGAAATATATTAAGACGTATTTTTAGCTCATTTTCAGTTTTAACGGTTGGCCGGTCTTAAACCCAAACTTACTCATTTTCATGTGTTTGTTTAATCCCTCTTTTCTTCAAACAAACTACCTTTCAACAATTGACAACGAAAACTGCATTCCCAGAACTGCGCAATGAATGCACTGAAACTGTTTAAAACGTTGACAAACTACTTACCAGCAGGAAGTCTGTGCTGTATTTCCGTGTTTTGATGTTGTCACACTAATTATTTTACGTTGTTATAAACAGGTGTCTTGTCTCAAAGTTGATACTATGAATGCACCGCGTCGCGTTTCACATTTCTAATTTAAAGTGCTTATTCTTACTCAGCATTGAGAATCCGATAAAATAACAGTCTTGTTTTAATATCTAAGTGCATGGAGACTCTGGATGAAATTCATTGTTCACAATAGTCTACTATCAGTTTTGAAATATTGCTGAAATTTCATCATGCAGCCTTCAAATTATGAAAATTTTCGTTTATTTCTTGAAAGACTATCGAGTGTGTGTAATTTTGCACCCATGGTTTTATGCAAAGTGAACGCAAATCTCTCCACGCGACGTTTATTAATCTACATATTAAGTACCTTGATCGATGCCTTAATCATTGCCAACACATGATGTAGGGGAGATTTCAGGCTTTTAATCTTGAGTCTTAGCAGTCAATAAACATTTATCGTCAAAGTCAGTTCACCAACACCCAAGTTTCACAAATCAAGCCCATTTCAAACCACCAAGTTGGCTGTTTGAAAAATGTCAGTACTCTCAGGAATGTTTATTTTCATTTATCAAACAAGGAAGTACTCATACGAAGTCTTGTAATTGAAAGTACGTGTCAGCTAAAACATCAGTGACATGATTATAATGCAAGCATTAGACAAGAAAACAAAGCAGAAATACTGTATAACAGCAATGGATGTTTTAACGATACCTATAGCTTCCTTCGGTGAAGGTGCAAGAGACCTAATATATCTTCATTCCGTCACACAGTTGTAATAAACCAAAGCTTACAAACGATGAATATCATTGTAAAGTAACGTGCCGCCAAAAAGCTATAAAGTCCATTAAGGTCCATAATCGTCTAAGACATCCGGCAGGAAGCTGATGGTCAACATTTTGACTGTCCGCTAAAACATATGGATGTTCGAAGACATTTGATTCCAAATTGATGGTGCATGGCATGTAGTCACGCAAGATGTACAAATGTTTTCCGGGGGAAATAAAAGGTGCATCACTCCATCACCCAGAGACAAGAGGAGCACGTACTGATTTAAAATAAAGTAGAATCGTATAATTTCCACTTTTTTCATATAAAACGCGACACCTTAAAAGCGTTTTTACTTCATTTGAGGGATTACAGAGCAAAAGTAGAAAAAAAAGGATAAATCAAGGCAAATCTGTGTGAAATCAAAACTCCAAACTTCTTGTACCATGAACTACTTTGGAGTCTCTTGTAAGAACTCCTCTCAGGAGGTGGCAGCTGAATTTGAAGGAAAACAACGTTAGCATTTGTGGTTTATCGCGTTTACCTGCACTTTTCGAGAGTGTTCTGGCGTAGTTTTTTTTAACAGCATCTCCCAATAGTCTAATTTACGGTTAGGTGTTTGAACAGAACAGAACTGAGGTTGAGTTTGACGGGAAACTACTATGCATAATAGGGTGATACATTGGGTATATCTACATGATATGATGACATGATTAAGTTTTAAAACCTTTATACTGGGAGTTTTACATCGTTCAAATGAGTCCATCAAATTCAGAAATAGTAGCATTCTCAGTATAACTCTTGATTACGGGTATACAAATTTTCATAAATTTAACCAGCTAGAGAACCTCAATTTTTTTTTTAATTGTTTGGAATGAATCACTGATTTTTTCGCGATCGTAAATTCAGAATATGTGGTCAATGATTTATTGCCTTCAAAATTTTCACAGAGAAAATCTTCATTTCTCGGAAATGGAGCGATCCAATAGCATTTCGCGGACGTGCATATTGTTGCATTTCACGGTTGTAATATACGAAACCAAAATATCCATGAAATATCCTGAACAAAGTCAACACACACGATATTTACTTCTTTGTTCACTTTATTTAACCTCATTTCACGAAGCAAATGCATTTGTTTCAATGTTTCTACCTTTGGACTCAAACATCCTGAAGCTTATTGCTCCAACCATCAATAATTACATAATGTAAAGTTACAATTTAAAGACCAAATTACCGACAAAGCAATGATATCTCCCACCTAAAAAATTTAACTTCTATTTCGATACGTTCGAACTTGAACGTTGTCTTAACATAACCAGTTCTTAACTTGATCCATAACAGGAGGTCAGGTCTACGACTAAATCTCTAACATTGGCTTCCTAATATTCAATGGTTTATTAACGTAAAAAGAGCCAGATTTCCTCGTAGAATTTTAGTAGACCCTACATTTATATTCGTAACAATACACGTAGTTTACGTAGTGCCGTGTTCGGCAAGTATACCCGAACCACCACCACCTGTAACAATAGCGGACAGAATAGCATGTACGAGAGTAAACCCTATGACGCAACTGCCAGTATCCACCAACCCTACTGCAACAAGACCTGTCGGAGTAGCTCAAATAGCCTTTTCCACCTGGACACACTCTGGAGATGTAAATTGGCGAGTACACCCATCGACGACTTCGAGGTTTTGCTCCTGTTGAAAAGGGACATGACGTTTTTCAAATCATAGAGGGACTTTGATAGTTTTTGTGTGGGGAATTGTTTATGAGCATTTCGTATCACATCTCATAAATTTTGATATTTGAGGAGAAAAGCGATACTTCGGCTCGATATGTATTGTATTTGGGGCTTAATCTATAGAGTACGAAAAAGGGTTCTTCATAACGGGAAACTTGTGGCTCAAGTTAAGGAGTGGAGTTTTTGGGAAGGGAGGATGGGGGGCAGTATTGACTTACGCAGAATGGGGTAGCTGAGAGATGATCTCGCTAAAAATGGTTAGTACAACTGCGTCGTCTTTAACTACACCTCTTACCATCTGTTTCAGTCTCTTCGGATGCAGATGCGTTCTCCATGGTGTGGACTCGATATATCGGGTAGTCTGGACAGAAGTTTTTTAACTCTTCGCTCAGACTGGATCGATTTGTTATCTCACTGTCCACAGACCACTTGCTGTCAATGGTAGTGGTCTCGTCACTAGAGTTTTTCTGCCAGAAAAAGGTTATTTCCCTCAGTTTACATTATTATAATCAGTATTCTTATAGCCGGGGCTTACATGAAATCTACATGAGCGATATAAAATAGAGCATACCGCAAAGGAATTGGAAGACCTGAGGCTTCAATCCTCACGGAAACTCACATTCTTTAAGCTGGCTATTGAAACATATGTTTCTTGATGTATATCTTCGTTATCGTTTACTTTTAATGGAACCGTTTCCGACTAGGATAACTGGGTTTTCACTGAACGGTCCGCAAGAAAATAACCAAACAGATTCCCACATATGCAACATTGAGTGCTCGTAAAGTAGCTTACGTGTCCTTACCTCGGCGTGGTCAAGGTCATTTTCGAGCCTCTTTGGCGAAGGCAACTCGCGGGAAAGAGGAAGAAGATAGCAGATCTTTTTGTCTGGTAACATCAGCATACTCATATTCTGTGTTTAACGCAGACGAGAACGAAGTGAGTTTCAATCACTGAAAGCGGAAATACTTTACGCAGCATTAAGGCGTGAATGTCCTTTTTTCCGGTTCCGCCGTTAAAGTTGTGTTTGCAAAATAGCGTTTTTATGATGCATATTTTGTTCCAACGGAAGCTTAAAAGCAACTAACCAAATTCACTTTACTTCACTCGAACCGTTCATTAGCAGGATACACAGACCGTCACAGAATGGTGACGTTAAAGTCAAACAAGAGACAAGTTTTCTTTAAGAATGTCCAAGTAAGGACGTAAGATATTCTAAAATGTGAAAAAGTGTCCGAATATCTACCGGCTTTTGTCTTTTTTTGTTCTCTAATGTTTTACGGCAACTGTGTCTTCTGCTCTAAGTAAGAGACAAACTTACCGCCTTGAAGTCGTGCAATATATTGCTTCCATCCACGTCATTATGAGCAGGAACTTTAAACAATTCAGTTTGTTTATTTGTGTCCACCTGGATTTTCTCGGTGTACTGAGTTCCAGACTCTTTGAATTGGACGTCATAATCAGCAACCTGAGATATGCGGTGATGGAAATATCAGTATAAATTATTATGTCTCTCGTAGTACTTGCACAACATCGTGTTCACTGATGGAACATTTTGCACACTTTATCGCGTACGGAAATAACCATGATTAGAAGGCCGTAATTTGTAGAGAAAACTGTTAGCTCGCTTTGTAAAATAAATTCTAAGTACTTACCTTGTTAGCGGTGGAATCTGTAGCTGATATTAAGGTTGTCGATGCACAAAGCAACAGCAAAATGAGGGCCAAATGATCCCTAATGAGGTTTGGTTGCTAAAACCAAAAATAGAATGCAAATATTAGGAGTTTTCTTTGTACACAAGACAAAATGAAATTGATTCCGATGGATTTGCAACGACTGCTCAATTTTTAGTTTGTTCGAAGCTTGAAATTTACTGTTAGTGTCTCTACTTGCAGAAAGGTGTCTCTACTGAAGGTTTTAAGTTTATCATAGCCCATAAACAACTTTCTATCATTAGATAATATTCAGTATTCCTTCTTCAAGAGTACAAACTAATCAAGGTAAAAAAGAGCAAATATGTTGGAACTTATTAAGTTGAGGTACAAACCAATTTGTGTTTAAAGGGGTAAATTTCTACAGAAACTGTGGTACCGCGTTGGTTGGAGAGTATAACGGGGTAATTCAGAAAACTAAGTTCATAACGTAAAGAGAATTTAGAAGCTGACGTTTCGAGCGTTAGCCTTTCGTCAGAGCGAATTCGCGTTTGCTAACTTACCTGTAACATGTTGTCTCCTTTTCTTTGGTTTCTTCTTGGTTCTCTTTCTGTTGTTGTTATCTTCTTGACTGTGAATGATCTACACTGCAGCTTTGGTAAGCTTTGCTTCATTTTATACTCTTCTAAATCTTATTCATATGCATTATTAATGTTCTTGGACGTTGCCGTTTCAGCGACAGTTACTTCCTAGAGTTTAATTTTAGATCTTCTGGAAAATCGCGTCTTCTAGGAAACACAGACGTAGACATGCTATTTCTCTGCACAGGAGAGAACTGTTTGCCAGAACTGAGGTTAGGATTTGTTGGCAAATATTTGCACGAATACACCCTGCTTCCATCTCAAATCTTAGTAACTCGCTGGGATATGTGTGTTGAACTTCCTTCCTGGTTTCATGTTTTTGTTTTTCTTCCGTGTCAGCAAAACTGTATGTACTTTGACTCTTGGCAGAATGTTTTTCTTTTAGTACCGTATCAGTACAGCATGTAAATTGGATCTGCTTTTTTAATTCAAATCACGCTATGGAATATTTAATCGTCCGTGACTGGCGCAAACCCATCAGCGGAGTTATGAAGGCAAGAAAGCTGACCAGAACTAGTTGGAAGGTGCCGAGGAATCTTTAAAAAAAAGCTGAAAAATGGAAGACTAGAAAATCGTTTCAAACTGATAGAAAAGTGTAGCAAAAAATAGGCAGAAAAGAAGTGTACGAGTTCTCATTTTGGGACTGAGGACGTTAAATGTGTTTTCTATAAGGATGTACTTTGAGACCAGCTCTCCTGCTGGGTTTTCTTGTGTTGATGTTGCAAACAGTCGCAACCCATTTAGTGTACGATGATAAAGTGTTTGTTTAAATCAAGTAACGGCTGAAAGCGACTGAACTTAAGGTAAATAGTAGACATGCGTTGAGTAACAACCGTCAATATTAAAACGGGATTAAGCAGGCACGCACTACTGATTATTCCCATAAATATCTTCTATGAAAGATTATCTGAAAAGCGTGATGCATTTGTGTCTCCCTTCACTTAAAGAACTTGTTTTCTTTTTATCGTTTCTGAAAAATGTAGCTCGACATTCAACAACATATTTTTTGAAGCTGCTTTGCTAATTTACCGTATAATTCTGGATTTGCATTTCAAAAGTGATGTTCATCGAAATATCCAATCGTCCGTGTATGTTGGAAGCCAGTTCTCAGTTTCCATAGCTCTTCAGCATATACGTACCACTCACTTTAAAAAAAACAGGTTGCCTAGACTGCCTCAGCCTTAATTTACTGCTTAAAATCGCAAGTTGTGCTAGCTATGAATGTGCTGCAACTGGTTGCAACATCTCGGCAAGCCAACATCTATACCCAGCATTCTTCCGTTTTACGTAAGTTTTTCCAGATATCTTTACAAAATGAAATTATCTGCGTCCTCCACAATACACTACAAGTTACGCTACAACGTGGATAATGTGTTTGTATTTTATCTTCTTGTTCCTATCTTATTTCACTAAGGAGTTTATGCCAAGTGAACACAAATACTAACTTGAATGGTTTTTTTTTATAACTCTTAAGTGGCCCCGCAGGATATGCAAATAAGCCCAGGCCATTAAATTTAATTGGCATCACAGATATCAGCACCTGTGTTTAAAAAGCAGGGATAGATATATAAATGGTCAAAGTTTTCCTCAACGAGGAAGTTTTAAAGGGATAAATGTTAATTGTAGACCGAGGTATAAATCAAGTCTGAAATAGGCCTGTACCATGAGGGATGTTTGATGTCCGCTAATTACAGGCTGTCATGGAAGTGTTATCCTTCCAAGTGAGTGTCTGCTAAAACAGGAAGCCGTGAGAATAGCATAATTTGTAAAGGTTGAAAACCAAAGTTTACAGTTAACACAGATTTTTAACTTTAATTGATATTAAATTGCGTCTTAAATCTCTTAATATTCTCTACATGTTAAATTTTATTGGCATTGGAGACATCAACACAGTCATATATCAGGGCAAAAATATGACTGGTCATGATTTACTTGAATTCCTCGGTTTAAGAGGATAAAGTTTATTTCAGGTCTACGGAAGCGCTTCGAAATACGTGAGAAGCCGGAGGGATGATTTATTTCTCAGTTATATCAAAATTGACTTTCCAAAAGGAAGGAAGTTTCATAAGTCCAACGGAGTGTGCGATTATACAGAAAGCCCTGTAAGTGGAATAGCGCAAAATTTTGAGATAGAAAAAAGTAGAGACATATTTTAGTAGTGTGGTTTTTTAAAGCGAGTGACACGTATATGCTGAAGAGCTATAGAAACTGAGAACTGGCTTCCAAGATACACGGACGATTGGATATTCCAATAAACATCAATTTTGAAATGCAAATCCAGAATTATGCGGTAAATTAGCGAAGCAGCTTCAAAAAGATGTGTTGTTGAAAGTCGAGCTACATTTTTCAGAAACGATAAAATGAAAACAAGTTCTCTAAGAGACAAAAAAAAACGCATCACGCTTTTCAGATCACTTTTTATAAGAAGATGTTTATAGGAATGCTCAATAGTGCGTGCCCGCTTAATGCCGTTTTAATATTGACGGTTGCTACTCAGCGCACGTCTACTATTTACCTTAACCAAAGTGTTCAGTCCCTTTCAGCCGTTAAGTGCTAACAACCAACATTTTATCATAATACACTAAATGCGTTGCAACTGTTTGCAACATCAACACAACAAAACCCAGCAGGAGAGCTGGTCTCAAAGGACTTCCCAATAAAAAAAACATATTTAACGTGCTCAGTCCCAAACTGAAAACTCATGTACTTCTTTTTTGCCTATTTTTTGCATTTGCAACAGTTTTCTATCAGTTTAAAGTGATTTCTAGTCGTCAATTTGTGAGCTCTTTTTAAAGGACTCCTTGGCACCTTCCAACTATTTCTGGTTAGCCCTCTTGTCTTCATAACTCCGCTAATTGGTTTGCGCCCGTCACAGTCGATTGGATATTCCAAAGCATGATTTGAATTAAAAAAGCAGAGTCAAATTATACGCTGCATTGGCACGGCACTTAAAGAAAAACATTCTGCTAAGAGTCAAAGTATATCCAGTTTTGCTGACACGGAAGAAAAAAAAAACATGAAACCAGGAAGGAAGTTCAACACACATATCCTAGCGAGTTACCAAGATTTGAGATGGATGCTGGGTGTGTTTGTGCAAATATGATGCTTGCAACTGCTAAAATTTGAATGACGATACAGTATTCGGGTTTGCCAATTAATCCTAGCCTCAGTCTTGGCAGACAGTTCTCTTCCGTGCAGAGAAATAGCATGTCTATGTCTATGTTTCCTAGAAAATGCGATTTTCCGGAAAATCTAAAATTAAACTCTAAGAAGTAACTGTCGCTGAAACGGCAACGTCCAAGGATATTAATAATGCATATGAATAAGATTTAGAAGAGTATAAAATGAAGCAAAGCTTACCAAAGCTGCAGTGTAGATCATTCACAGTCAAGAAGATAACAACAACAGAAAGAGAACCAAGAAGAAACCGAAGAAAAGGAGACAACATGTTACAGGTAAGTTAGCAAACACGAATTCGCTCTGACGAAGGGCTAACGCTCGAAACGTCAGCTTCTAAATTCTCTTTACGTTATGAACTTAGTTTTCTGAATTACCCCGTTATACTCTCCAACCAACGCGGCACCACAGTTTCTGTAGAAATTTACCCCTTTAAACACAAATTGGGCATACTCAGAAGTTTGTACCTTAACTTAATAAGTTCCAACATATTTGCTCTTTTTTACCTTGATTAGTTTGTACTCTTGGAGAAGGAATACTGAATGTGATCTCATGATAGAAAGTTGTTTATCGGCTATGATGAACTGAAAACCTTCAGTAGAGACACCTTTCTGCAAGTAGAGACACTAACAGTAAATTTCAAGCTTCGGACAAACTAAAAATTGAGCAGTCGTTGCAAATCCATCGGAATCAATTTCATTTTGTCTTGTGTACAAAGAAAACCCCTTATATTTGCATTCTATTTTTGGTTTTAGCAACCAACCCTCATTAGGGACCATTTGGCCCTCATTTTGCTGTTGCTTTGTGCATCGACAACCTTAATATCAACTACAGATTCCACCGCTAACAAAGTAAGTACTTGGAATTTATTTTACAAAACGGGCTAACAGCCCTCTAATCATGGTTATTTCCGTACGCGATAAAGTGTGCAAAAATGTTCCATTAGTCAACACGATGTTGTGCAAGTACTACGAGAGACATAATAATTTATACTGATATTTCCATCACTGCATATCTCAGGTTGTTGATTATGACGTCCAATTCAAAGAGTCTGGAACTCAGTACACCGAGAAAATCCAGGTGGACACAAATAAACAAACTGAATTGTTTAAAGTTCCTGCTCATAATGACGTGGATGGAAGCAATATATTGCACGACTTCAAGGCGGTAAGTTTGTCTCTTACGTAGAGTAGAAGACACAGTTGTCGTAAAACAAAAAAGAAGAACAAAAAAGGACAAAAGAATGAGGAAGACAATGGAAACGATTGGCTCATAGGCTGTGTTCTATCGCGAAGTGTACTATGACGTGTCCTCTACACGTCATCATTCTGTGACGGTTCGTGTATCCTGCTAATAAATAGTTCAAGAAAAGTAAAACGAATTTGGTCAGTTGTTATGAAGTTCCCGTTGGAACAACATATGTATCATAAAAACGCTATTTTGCAAACACAACTTTAACGGCGGAACCGGAACAAAGGACATCCACGCCTAAATGCTGCATAAAGTATTTCCGCTTTCAATGATTGAAACTCACTTTGTTCTCGTCTGCATTAAACACAGAATATGAGTATGCTGATGTTACCAGACAAAAAGATCTGCTATCTTCTTCCTCTTTCCCGCGAGTTGCCTTCGCCAAAGAGGCTCGAAAATGACCTTGACCACGCCGAGGTAAGGATACGTAAGCTACTTTATGAGCACTCACTGTTGCATATTTTGGAATCTGTTGGGTTATTTTTTTACGGACCATTCAATGAAAAACCAGTTATCCTTATCGGAAATGGTTCCCTTAAAAGTAAACGATAAAGAAGATATATATCTAGAAACATATGTTTCTAAAGCTAGCTTAAAGAATGTGAGTTTCCACAGGGCTTGAAGCCTCAGGTCTTCCAATTCCTTTGCTGTATGCTCTATTTTATATCGCCAACGTAGATAGCGTCGGCAGATTTTATGTGAAGCTCGGCTGTAAGAAGACTGACTATAGTAACGTTAACTGATCGCATGAGGGAAATAACCTTTGTCTGACAGAAAAACTCTAGTGATGAGACTACCACCATTGACGCCAAGTGGGCTGTGGACAGTGAGATAACCAATCGATCCAGTCTGAGCGAAGAGTTAAAAAACTTCTGTCCAGACTACCCGATATATCGAGTCCACACCATGGAGAACGCATCTGAATCCGAAGAGACTGAAGCAGATGGTAAGAGGTGTAGTTAAAAACGACGCAATTGTACTAACCATGTACTAACTCTCTCAGCTGCCCCATTCTGCGTAAGTCAAATACTGCCCCCCATCCTCCCTTCCCAAAAACTCCACTCCTTAATTTGAGCCACAAGTTTCCCGTTATGAAGAACCCTTTTTCATACTCTGTAGATTAAGCCCCAAATACAATGCATAGCGAGCCGAAGTATCGCTTTTCTCCTCAAATATCAAAATTTATGAGATGTGATACGAAATGCTCATAAACACTTTCCTATACAAAAACTATCGAAGTCCCTCCATGATTTAAAACGATGATAAAATAATCCTAAACGCCATTTCCCTTTTCAACAGGAGCAAAACCTCGAAGTCGCCGATGGGTGTACTCACCAATTTACTACTCCAGAGTGTGTCCAGGTGGAAAAGGCTATTTGAGCTACTCCGACAGGTCTTGTTGCAGAAGAGTTGGAGGATATTGGCAGTTGCGTTATAGGGTTTACTCTCATACATGCTATTCTGTCCGCTATTGTTACAGGTGGTGGTGGTTCCGGTATACCTGCCGAACACGGCACTACGTAAACTACGTGTATTGTTACGAATATAAATGTAGGGTCTACTAAAACTCCACGAGGAAATCTGGCTCTTTTTACGTTAATAAACCATTGAAAATTAGGAAGCCAATGTTAGAGATCTAGTCGTAGACCTGACCTCCTGTTATGGATCAAGTTAAGAATTGGTTCTATTCAGACAATGCTCAAGTTAGAACTTATCGAAATAAAAGCTAAATTTTTTAGGTGAGAGATAGCATTGCTTTGTCGGCAATTTGGTCTTTAAATAGTAACTTTACATTATGTAATTATTGATGGTTGGAGCAATAAGCTTCAGAATGTTTGAGTCAAAAGGTAGAAACATTGAAACAAATGCATGTACTTCGTGAAATGAGGTTAAATAAAGTAAACAAATAAGTAAATATCGTGTGTGTTGACTTTGTTCAGGATATTTCATGGATATTTTGATTTTGTACTTTACAGATATGAAATATAACAATATGCACGTCCGAGAAATGCTGCTGGATCGCCCCATTTTTAAGAAATAAATATTTTCTCTCTGAATATTTATTTTGAAGGCAATAAATCAAGACCCCATATTCTGAATTTACGATCGCAAAAAAATCAGCGATTCATTCAAAGCAACTCAAAGACAATAAACCTTTTTTTGGCGCAAATATATTTTTCCGGGGACATTATTTGTTCCGAGATGCGGAAACTGTAAGCTTTGAGGAAAAGTATTTGATGGATTTGATGGAAGGTTATCCACCATCATAAATTATTGCTGGGGTAGAATACTAAGCATGTACAACGACTGTCCCTCAGGAGATTTCGAAATAACTCGAAAAACGTTTGTTGTCGCTCCCTCATAAAGTAGTTACCTTACTTTCAGCGAGTTGGAAAACTTGACTGTTAAATTTAACGTGTTAATTGTGTCTCTGAAAGCTGGAGTTTATTAATGTGCGAGACTAGCCAATGAGATTTACTTCCTTTAATGGAGTTGTTTATCTGAAATAATTATCGAATGCGTAATTAGTGAAAGGTTATATGCTTCTGTTGCCATTTAATTTCAAAAAATTATATATAATATAGTGGTTTGGTTCTATTTTATTACATTTATTATTTATTCCATTCTCAAATACAAATGATAACAAAAGAAAAATAAATGAAAGAAGATGTTATTCAGTGAATGACGCAGGTATGCTCGGATAAAAAGAACTCCGACTGCTCTCAATAGGAGTCAGTACAAGAAGCATCTAGTCGCATCCCTGTTGTCCCAAGTATCTGCAATACATGACCAAATCTAGTATTAATTCCGTTTTCTCTGTGGCAAATGAAAAAAGCTTACTCATCCTTGTTTTTATTTCACTACTCACAGCCCCTGTGGCATGCTGATTTTTAAACTTGTTCGGAAACTTTCTATGTAGCTATGCTTTATAAGTAATGCTGTTTCAATTCTCAGCGTATATGTAGATGCTGTTAATAAACCATGAAAAATTAGGAAGCCATTTTTACAGATCTAACGATAACAAGGTTCTAATATATAGATTTAGGCAAGCCTAAAAGCGGAGTTCGAATTTTTTTTTCCCGCACGTCTCTTCAACTAAACTAAAGCCCCTACTACGGATAAAGTGCGTGGTAATATTTATGGAGTTTCATTCGCAACTTCTCCGTGTCCGTGTGGAGGACTGATTATAAGATAGTGCCCGTGGTACAGTTGGCCGCGCATGCTAAAAGTAGCACCTTGTACGCTTGGTCATTCGGTCGTACGGTCGTACATCCAAATTTTTTCGGCTTGATGGGTTACTACCATTTTGTATAATTATGGGGCTACACTCTGCGAGCTCCACTATGACAACAAAATAGGTAAATTGGTAAATTTCGTATGTTGACTTTGTTCAAAGATATTTTGGTTTCGTATAAAAAAAATATGCATATTTATGATTCCCTCCAAATCGATGACTTTTCAGCTTTGACCTATGCTTAAAATGTTTAAAGAAAGCAAAAAACTAACGTTCCAATCGAATATATGAACATCCTAAAAGTGTTCACGGTACTCCCCCAACAAAAGAATGAACGAGAAAATTCTAAAAGAGCCCGAGAAGCTAACGAAACAAACCAATGAAAGTGAATCCTAAAAGTGTGTGAGATACTGAGGTAACAATAACCGATCAAATAGCAATTCTATATGAAAAGTAATTCACATTTGATGTAGGCAAAGCTCCAAGAAAGACCGGTTTGACAAATGAAAACGTTTCATTTCCACGCAACATATATTTCTAAAACCAAAATGAAAAAAAAAAAAATCAACAACCATGAGATGTGGGCTTATTTACTCAGGACATTTGGTAACAAGGAAGCATATGACTGGCATCGTATGTTTTGTTTTGCAACTGATCGTTATCACCAAGAAGTTTTTACTGTATCCTTGCATCATTTGTTGAACATGAAAAAAAGTTTGGCGCGTGGACATTTTTCTCCATAAGATGGTGTTTTCTGATGAATTCGCTTCGTGAGCGAAACTCGAGTTATGTCTGATATAACAACTAAACAACGCAACGAGTTGCTCTAGCTGCTTAAATTTATGGAAATTTGAATACCCGTAATCAAGAGTAGAACTGAGAATGCTACAATATCTGAATTTGATAGACTCATTTGCACGATGTAAAACTCCCAGTATTGAGCTTTTAAAACTTAATCATGTCATCATATCATGTACATATAAACATTGTATCACGCTATCATGCATAGTAGTTTCCCGTCAACCTCAACCTCAGTCAGTTCTGTTCTGTTCAAATACCTAACTGTAAATTAGACTATTGGGAGACGCTATTTAAAAAAGCTATTTTAAAACACTCTCGAACAGTGGAGGTAAACGCGATAAACCACAAACGCTAACGTTGTTTTCCTTCAAATTTAGCTGCCACCTCCTGAGAGGAGTTCTTACAAGAGACTCCAAAGTAGTTCATGGTACAAGAAGTTTGGAATTTTGATTTCACAGAGATTTGTCTTGATTTATCCTTCCTTCTCTACTTTTGCTCAGTAATCCCTCAAATGAAGAAAAAACATTTTTAATGTGTCGCGTTTTATAAGAAAAAGTGGAAATTATATGATTCTACTTTATTTCAAACCAGCACGTGCTCCTCTTGTCTCTGGGTGACGGAGTGATGCACCTTTTTTCCTCCATAAAAACATTTGCACACCTTGCGTGCCTACATGTCATGCACGATCAATTTGAAATCAAATGTCATCAAACATCCATATGTTTCAGCGAACAGTCAACATGTTGACCATCAGCTTCCTGCCGGATGTCTTAGACATGGGACTTACCTTGCCTTCAGCGATAATGGAAGCTGGACCTCATAGCTTTTTGGCGGCACATTACTTCACAATAATATTCATTGTTTTTTATCTTTGGTTTATTACAACTGTGTGACGGAATGAGGATATATTAGATCTCTTGCACCTTCACTGAAGGAAGCTATAGGTATTGTTAAAACATCCATTGCTGTTATACAGTATTTCTGCTTTGTTTTCTTGTCTAATGCTTACATTATTCTCATGTTATTGATGTTTTAGCTGACACGTACCTTCAATTACAAGACTTCCGTCTAAGCCCTTCCTTGTTTGATACATGATCACAAACATTCCTGAGGGTACTGACATTTTTCAAACATCCAACCCAGGTGGTTTGAAATGGGCTTGATTTGTGAAACTTGGGTGTTGACGAACTGACTTTGACGATGAATGTTTATTGACTGCTAAGACTCAGGAGTTAAAGCCTGAAATCTTCCATACATCATGTGTTGGCAATGATTAAGGCATCGATTAAGGCACTTAATATGTAGATGAATAAACATCGCATGGAGAGATATGTGTGCACTTTGCATAAAACCATGGGTGCAAAAAATACACACACCAGATAGTCTTTCAAGAAGTAAACGAAAATTTTCATAATTTGAAGACCGCATCATGAAATTTCAGCAACATTTCAAAACTGAGAGTAGACTATCGTCAACGATAAATTCCATCCAGAGTCTCCATGCACTTAGGTGGGTATAGATATTAAAACAAGACTGTTATTTTATCGGATTCTCAGTGCTAAGTAAGAGTTAGCTCGTAAAGTTAGAAATGTGAAACGCCACGCGGTGCATGCATAGTATCAACTTTGAGACAAGACACCTGTTAATAACAACGTAAAGTAATTAGTGTGACAATATCAAAACACGGAAATACAGCACAGACCTCTTGCTGGTATGCAATGTGTCAATGTTTTAAACAGTTTCAGTGCATTCATTATGCAGTTCTGGGAATGCAATCTTCGTTGTTAATTGTTGAAAGGTAGTTTGTTCAAAAAAAAAGGGCTTAAACAAACACATCAGAAAAAAGACTAAGTTTGGGTTCGAGACCGGCCAACCGTTAAAACTGAAAATGAGCTAAAAATAGTTGTGGACGTCTTAATATATTTCAAGAGGTACGAGTTGAAAATACAATCTAAAAATAAATAATCAATTTCCTTGTAAAAAATTAATCGTAACCAGAGGTGCGATTTTGCTGAAGCTGTGAAGCAACCCTCAAAAAATAGTTATAAAATACTGAACTCAAATTCCGCAGTAAAGCAGCAAGTCTTTATGACTACATATGCAAGTATCGGTTTAAACCGCAAACCACAGCTGGGAAAACTATACTGTTTATATAATTTGAAGACTTAAGATACTTTTACGTAAAGTGCAACAAATAGCTAATTTCACTACACATTACTGGCATTCCCACGCGTGATGAGGATCTGGGGTTCCAAGAAAGTTAGAATAACCACAGAGTACAAAGTGTAACTCTCGCTGAAACGGCAAAATCTATAAACAATGTATATGCATGGCACTGAGAACAGCATAAAAGGGAGCAAAGCCCAGCTTAGCTTCAGTGTACATCAGCTCCAGTTAAAAACAGACGAACATTAGGAGAGACAAGTCAGAAACGCAACAAAGTGGAACATAGAGGACAAGAATCATGCTTGATGTAAGTAAGCAAAAAGGGCCGGGAGATTGTCAGGTCATATTTCAAACACTCCACCTCCGTACTACAGGAATATATCAAGAGTTTTCAGAAACCTATTCTTAATTTGACCTGTTCGGGGTATACGTTCAGGCTTCCCTGAATGATATTGAAAAAAGATTTTCTGCTTCACTTTTGGAAAATGTCCGGAAAAAAAGGCATTAACAGTATACCCCACGTTAGTTTCTCAATTTAAGGCTTTCAGTACAAACAGAGTAACATTTGAACTGACTAGGGGCAAAAATTTTACAAAGCGCCTCACCATATTGACAAGAAGTGCTATCAAAAATTAATCTCCGCCCTTCTTCTCGTTTTTTCCTCAGATTAAGAAAAACATTATTTACATATCCTTTTCTTTGTTTCCTTATGTTGTAGCAACCAACCCTCGTTAGCAGACATTTGGCGGTTGTGTTTCTTCTGCTTATTGCCACCGCAAATTTGACATCTGCGAGTCCTGTTCGTTCTATACAATCTCCTTCTAGGAAGGTAAATTATCTTCTTCTGAGTCGAATAGACGGTGACAGAAGGTCTAGAAGTAGTAGTAGTAGTAGTAGTATTAGTAGCAGTAGTAGTAGTACACTTTGTAGTTAACGAGGGTAACATTTGACAGTGATTAAAATGATGAAGTCGTGGCCTTCGCATGGTCTGGCAAGATTGCTTCACATATGCGACGAAGAGCATACCCGTGTCTTTTTCTCTCTTTCCATTACCTATAACCTTCTTTTCAGCAGGCAGAGGTTTCGACGATTACTAAATTATTTAATTTCCAGTAAATTTTAACACAATTTCTTCCGCACTCAAACGGAGTTGTAGCGAATAATCCTTGCCTACTTGCAATGCAAGCAGCTCAGACACTTATGGTCCTTATGCAAAAACCAAGTCGTGAATTTGTATAATAAAAAGCCCAGTCAATACTCCAATTAGCCCCCAGGGTCCTCGTTAAACGATCTGAGTCAAGAGGCGGCTTCTATTTCGAAGAGGGCTTTTGTTTCTTCTTTGAAAGTTTTTGGTTCACTTTTGAACTGGTCTTATTCCAACACCAACTGCAAAATTGAACTCAATGCAAAACTTGAATGTATCTTTTCATTAGAAAGAGTAATTCTCTGTCCGTAAGGTACGTTGTAATCATACTTCCTGTTTTCATAAAGTTCCGGTAATTCTTAAGTTAATTTGCAACCTAAGCTATGCCGCTGACCTCACTGACCAAAAGTTCCTATTCACTCACAGAGATATTTTTTCGAAAAAAGATAACTAGTGCGCCTCAAAATATCTTTTAAGGCTGCACACTTCGTTAAAAATGTATGTACTGCACTATACCGATCTCAGTAACTCGGCAATCAACTGTAATCAATACATTTTTTTGAGGATAGGGGGGTTAGCTTAAAATTTTAAACTGAAGCGAGTGCAGTGCACAGGCGATGCGTGCTAACGTTGCAAACTGTACGGCCAATATTATGCACATTTAGAAAAAAAGTGAACTATAAACAAGACACTTTGTATATTTACGGTATCACAGGTTGTGGATTACAAAGTTCATATCAACGAATCTGGGGCACAGTACGACGAGACAATCAAAGTGGACACCGAGAAGCAAACTGAACTTTTTAAAGTTCCTGCCCATAATAACGTGGACCAAAGCAATATTTTGTACGACTTCAAGGCGGTAAGTCTGTCAAAGGTTATTGTGAATTTTTAAGGGTGTATTGAATCTGAGTAAATACACGAGGTTTCATTAAATCCCCAGTCAAATTTGGACAACCCGTTGAAAGCTCGAGGTAGAAAGTCTTGGCAAACACATTGTAAGCTAAGCTAAAACAATCTTATGGCAATACAGTGACTTGTTAAACCCTTTAACTCCCAAGACCGCATAAGTAATTCTCCTAACTGCCTGCCAAATGATTCTTACCATGTTAGTTTGGAGAATTTGGTATCGGATCGATTAGTTATCCCATAATTGATATTTTCTTTATCCTTATCACTTGTCTGCATGATATTGTATAGATAAAGTAAGGATAAATTCTGTCTTGGTCACTCACGGGAGTTAAAGGGTTAAAGATTTTAAAGATCCCCGTATGAGGGTCGAACGGAGCGGCGGGCCAGAAAGAAGAAAGGACGAAAGAGAAAGAGTAGCAATGTACTCGGCCCCTAGGTCATGACCTCGTGCCGATTATTTTTTTACGTCACTTTTAATCAGTCAACAAGTTATTGTTATCGTATGCGTATGATTAAGTCGTCATCATTTAATTATTCCTTGTGTTAACAAGAGTAACTGAAACTAAAAATGATCAGTCCCCACCACCAGAATGGAAATGTCCATTCTGCCTAACGATTTATACTTCAGTGTAACTTTGAGACAAAGGACTAAGTGGCATGTGACTTCCTACAACTAAGTATCTTTTCTCGTGAAAACAGAATATGAGCATGCTGATGTTACCCGGTAAAAAGATCTGTTATTATATGCCACTGTCAGCAGAGATACCTACGCCAACAAAACTCGGAAGAGATCTTGATCAGACCAAGGTGAGGACACGTTCCCTTTTGAACAAATTCATACACCGGTGTAATTTCAAACTCGCAATCTTCAGATTATTCGATCACAATCTTCCTTTCAGCTCTCTTAAAGGGTATGGCACTCACCGTCTTCATTTATTATGACGGAATGCCGATAACTGATTGGTTCTTCACTACTGGTTCTTTGCGACCCTCGTTACGGTTGCTACCCTTAGGATAAACTTCATAATGCATTTCCGAGAATTGGTTGGGTACTCTTTACTATTTGTCCCTTTAGCAAAAAAATTCAGAGAATTGGAATTCACGGAAAATACAAATACTGTTAAAAATTTTCCCCTCCTGGCTAGCAGTGCTAGGAATCCACAGCATTCAAGAGTCTTTTATGATTCCTTTGTTATGCCATTTTACGAAATATGAGTTACAGAACGCCACAATGGCCTTCACGCGGTAAAAGGTTTCTCACCGCTTTGAATCTACTTAAATATATCATCTCATTGCAGGGGATGGTCGACGACAGGACGAAAACGATTGATAGCAAATGGACAGTGGATAATGAGATTACCGATCGGTCTGTGCTGAGCGAGGAGTTGGCAAACTTTTGTTCAGAATACCCCATATACCAGGTCAAATTCTTGGACGACTCCGAGACTTCTACTACGATTCATACAAAAGGTAAGATAAGCATTATTAAGTTACATATGGGATTTTCGCTGAACAAACATTTTGACAGTGAAAGTCTGCCAATAGCAGCCTCCAAAATTGAATTTCATTATTCGAAACTAATTTAACAAAGGATAAAACCGACTGTGGCAAGAATATCGAAGACAGAAAGCTAGAAAGTACTTTTTAAACCATCCAGCTTAAAAGAAGACAAATTTTGCAAAGATTTATATCAAACTTCTTCTCTGTAATTAAGTGAATACTTATACAGTTACGATTTTCGGATTTTCCGTGCAAGTAATTGTGGCCAGGAATTCACTGAAGTATTCCTCCAATATATCTCATCATTTTTAAATAATAAAAAAGCTTCTCAACTAATGATAATACGACCAAACTAATCCTACATCGGAGAAAGATGTTTTTCGTCTTGTCACGCGCGTGGAGCAAAGAAAAAATTATGAGTTCTCAAGAGGGACTAAAATTTTTTTTTGTCCCACGCTCCTGACAAGACAAAAAACATCATTCTCTATTTCTTTACCAAGCTCAAAAACTTTATTTCATTTAATCCTACATTGTTGCTTTTTCACTTTTCAACAGGAACAAAACATCGCACTCGTCGCAGTTCAGAATTTCCTCCCATTGGTGTCTCTGTTTTGTGCCCTGGTGGAAAAAGCATCGTTACTGACGGGGACGTAAGTTGGTGCAGTGACATCCAGGGATGCTGGAGACAAGTATACAAAGTTCATTCCTATTCATGCTTTCAGACCATACGTTGCTTCTCATGGGGCTGTGTTTACCTTCACTTCACGCAAGAAGTGTATTGTTTGGAATATCAGTGTAAAGAAGACACTTCTCATCATATTGATAATACAACTGCCTGATGAAGACAGTTATAATAGCAACGATAGTAATTCATTTTAACAGTACTCATAACTTCACAGTTTAAGACGCTCTGCCGTTATATCATCAACTGTCACGAAAATAGAAAGATATATGGTAAAAATGGGATGGTAATTCAAAATTGTAAAGTTTTTTAATCTAAGGATATAGGGTGTTTGTTCAACCAAATTTCTTATGCAGTTGTGTAAATAAACGTGCATTTCTTACCTTTCGTTTGAGAAAGAAAATGCGACTTCAGTAAAACGTTCTGACAACTTCTACAGCCCTTCATATGCAACTCTGACTGTTTGTGGGCCGCCATATTGGATTTCTTTCGCGCACTGTGCGCCAGTCTTACTCTTCCACGCGGGTTTCCCGCTAAACAGCCTACCTTGCGCCGCAGAAATGATCGGGAAATAAAGAAAGTGATATTCAAAAGCAAAAAGATACAGAACTCGGTTATTACATTTTCCTGTCCTTAGTCCTCACTGGAGTCATAGTAGTATTTTAATCCTCTGCTCAAGTGAAATATCAAAATGATCATGGAGTTCTTGTTCTATACTGCTATTTTTTTCTGGCTAAGTTTCTCATCGTATTGCAGGTGTTTAAAACACATTTTGGACTTAGGGAATAACTTTTGAGCAAATAATAATAAGTTATGTCAATTACTTGTCACCTGGTTGGCCGTTTTAAACCAAAAAGAGGATAATTTTCGTGTTCGCTTTAAGGCTGCAAAATAAAGTTGAGAGGTATACTATTGCTCGAGTTGGTCAGATATTTCACTAGTGCGGTAGTAAGCTCTTGGCAAGTGCGCCTCATTCTGAGTTGAGTGTGTTCGTACTTCCTCTTCCGTTCTTACTGTAATCGAGAATTTACCCGTGATAACTCATTACCAAAAGCCTAAACTTCCAGGTACCTTAGATAGAGTTCAGATTTGGACAGAGGCGAGATTAAGGGTCGAAAAGGAGTAGGAGCCTTGGCAACCTGCGAGGCATCACTGGAGGGGAGTGGGAGGGTCGTCAAACGTCCATAGGGTGGGCGTGGAAGCCAAAGCGATAAAAAAAATAGGATGAAACAAACTCTTTGAACCAGACGGTGATGATAAATGCAAATGTGCCTCCCCTCTTCAACTATATCTCAAGGGAATGTGGGGTGTCTTTTCTTAATGGTATTAAGGAGATATTACAGAGAGCATTTGATTAAGCTGAGACTTCGCAAGCAGAGATAAGCAACTCCTGATAACCAAATGGCTAGTACTCGGAATACCGATCGTAGATTCTCATTGGCCGTAATATCCTGAGCAAAGACGTTCACAACGTCCTACCCTCATAATTGAAAAAGTTTGTAAAGAGGGAGCTTGGACTCGAAATATTCCATCCCGGCATTAGAGTGAAGCGATAATTTCAAGGTCACCATGCGCTTGCGGCATAAAGTTCTTGAACTTGGTAGTAAGATGGAGATGCCAACCTCAACTCACTGATAAAAAATGAGGGTCTGTTAAATGCCTTTTGAAATTAAGGCACTTACAAGGTAAAATACAGTGCGTTTCTGAGTGGATGTGTTGTTGCTGATAACTAAGTTGAAAAATAAATGAGGCTTTCTTTGTTACCAATTCAGTGAAGACAAAAGAGTTTCGTAGTTTGGCATATCAAAGTGGTGCTTAAAAATTACACAACCGATTTAAGCCACCCTAACATCGATGCACGGTCCAATCTCGTGGAATCAAGGGGCTTCCTGTAACCAGTTCTCTCTCAAAATCTTGAAGCTATAATCCCCGTTGGATGAAATACATTACGTTGATTACTCTTGAAAATCTGGAGTCATATGTAAACAAAATCCCGCAATTTGTATTTCTCTTGACTCTTATTACCTGCCTAATCGCTAAGTACCAATTACCGTCGACGGTAGAAGGTTTAAAAAACCTACACACCCGCTAGAACCCTTAACATGGTTCTCGATTCTCTTACTTCTTCCAGGGACTAAAACCAAGCAAATAAACACACCAAACAAGCCAACTCTTTATAGAAAATAATATTTTAATCTTGGTAACCATAAAATTATACAACATTAACATAGAATTTACAAATATATTATACGTCTATATACAAACGAAACGCCAATTCTCTGGCACTCCGAGGGGGTAGCTAGCCCTTTATTCTTTTATAATATTTAAAAATCATTTCTGAATATAAAACATTCAGTATTAAAAGTACAATTTCTCTATTAAAAACGGTAAGAATTTTTGACCATTTAAGGGTTCACTCGTTCTACTTTGCCCACGACTTTTCCATCATATGTAGGTAAAACAGTGCTGTCATCTTTAACTTCTTCCCAAACGACAAGACAGTCATTGTCTCTTGTCATACTTTTAAAAAAGAATCTGCAAAGAGGAAAAGGTAATCTAAATTCAGTTTACAAAAAACATCGCGAGGTAAGATCACTCTTTCATTGTTTCAGATACATTAAAATGGCTGATGGAATCACACATTGACTTTCTTGAAAGAAATGACACATTTGACCAAGTACAAAGCACCAATAGAACCAAACAACACAATGGTCAACAACACAACCACAGGTTTCCTAGGTAACAAGGTATGGGAGAAAAAATGCTGCCTCTTGCTAGAAATTGTATGGATTTTGTTCCAATTTTCCAGAGTTTGAAAAATTCACTTGCACTCTACAGCAATTTTGAGCAAGTTCTCTCCTGCACTTGAGGTGTACACCATGTCAAAAGCTAATTTTCTCAAAGTACACTTTAAAGTGATCAGTTTTAGAGGTAAAATAAGTGAATCAGATGTAACCTTCATCAAACTATCCTCAGAGAATCAATCAAAAATATGCTGCTGATGTTTCAAAGACTTGAATTCTAGTCTGTTTGCCCATTTCTTTTCAAAGATACTGATAGATGATGAACAAGTTTAGTGTTTTCTAGCTGGCAAATGAAACTTTGGCGAAAACCTTGCCTATACCAGGCTCTCAGTTTACTTTACTCTGTGGCCAACTCACTTTCATTTCCAACAATTCACAGCAGATGAGAATATGTGCCACAAGAGTCGCATTCAGCATACCTGACCCTTTACACCCAAAACTTAAATATGATTCTCCAAACTGTGCTATACATTTCTTATGATTTTAGATCAGAGAACTTTTTGTTTAATCAAAGAATATCCCCTAGTTAATATTTTTCTTACCTCTCTTTACTTATCTACTTAAAAAATGTACAAATATTGTAAGAAGAAGTTCAGTTTTGGTCACAGCTGAGAGTGAAAAGATTAGGGAACATGAGCCTTTGAGGGATTCACCTTACCTGTAAATTCCTTTCCTTGGTGGTAACAAAGTTTTAAATTGTCCAAGTGTCACAGATTTTTCAGGAAGTGAAGTTCGATAAGGAATGGGTTCTCCCCATAAGTAGTAAGTGATTATTAATGAACCATGTTTATCCTTCTTTTTCAACACTGATCCACAAAATCCACTGTCCTTACATGTACTTATAGAATCAGTCTGTGATACAGATGATTTTCCAGTCACAGATGATGTAGCCTTGTAATGTCTTTCATGTGGAAAACTTGGAGACTGCCCATAACCGGAGGAGTCTTTGGCAGACCAACATAATGATGCACTTGTTTTTTCTCTGCAGGATGTGGTTTCAAAATCTGATCCTGCTTGAAACCTACATGAAACAAATTTGAATTGTGTTCAATAAAAACAGAAGGTAGAGGAGATCTCTACACACTTCACTTGATTCAGGTAGATGCACTTCCAACAACAATCAGTTGAAGGCCTAAACTTCGGTTTTTTAAAATTTACTCAATACTGGCATTTGTTAACAGTGGGAGATACGCTGTTGTGTGATGGTAATAACCTTCAAACGCTGGTCTGATTATTGAGTTGTGTTCATGGGAAAGACTCTGAACTCAAATGCCTCACCTCTCTCCTACCAGACATATACATGGGTATCAATCAACTGTCAAGGGAAACCCCCCCTCCCCCCCCCAAAACATCAAAATTCATAAATGTAAACAGTTGAAATCACAATTTGGTTTCATGCCTACCTTTGCTTTGCATGATTCTTAGATCGCCTCTCCCCCTCTTTTGCCACATCAATTAATCTCTTTCTAGTTTCTTCCAAAACAGATGATGCATGAGGTGCTGGAAGAAGAGGCATCATGAGATCGGAGGCAATGGGTTGTCCAGGTAAATGCAGGGGTGGATTCTTCTCTGAATGTCTAGTGGAAGACGTGGTCGACTGCTTACCCCTCGAACTGTTTCTTGAGGAGGGAGAATGATGGCGATGGGACTTAGACTCTTTTGAGCCCTGCTGAGCCTGTTCCCCTTCCTCCATCCATTGTATAATGCGATGATGATTAACAGTTAGGAAAGGAATGTCGTCATCCTTGCGTTGGGGACGAGCTTCCCACTCACTACCATCTCTAACAGCTGGCTCACTTGATTGGGGTTCAATCACTGATTCTTTCTTCTCTGAACCAGGTTGCTTAGACTGCTGAATTTGTTGTGGTTCAACTTGCAGTCTGTATGTATCAACAGCTACAGGTGCTGAGGCAGTGGGAGCAGCAGCAGTTTCCTCTCCAGCTACAGGCTTGTCATTATAATAAGGTTCCTTGAAAGAAGCCACAGCTTCCTTGGCCATAGTGGTAAGGTAGAGTTTTTTCTTGTTCTCTGTGTTGTCAATTGCTTGTTGGAGAATTGACTTTCTTGGTGCCTAAAACAATGTAACAATTGGATAAGACAACATAGAATTGCTCTTGTTCTCATTACACACAACGGCCATGAGGCAATGAATATTTGTTTATCATAATACCACAATTTGCTACAGTTGTACTACACACTATTAAATTAATGTGCAATTTGAAGAGAGCTATCTTAAGCATTCGGGTTTCATCCATTCTGATTTTCTGCGATTGGCAAAATATTTAAATTTGTACCAAACACACGATAAAAAATCTAATTTCATGTAACACAGTGACATTCAATCATACCTCACAGTGAATTGCCAAGTTGTGAGCTTCCCTTTCACCTTGTTCTCTCTGAATCTTGACTTTCTCTAGTCTTTCAATCAATATTTTGGCAAATTCTTCCGGATTTTTGGATGCATTACAAGCCTCTTTAGGAATTCTCTGAGTACGCTGAAGAAATAAGTAGAGTCCAATCATTACTGCTATTAATCATTCACCATAGCACAATTTTTTTGCATAACCAAATACATGGACCACTGCAAGACTTTGTTTCACAAAGTTCCTCTCTCAAATGGTTATCGTTTCTTTCAAGAATGAATGGGCTTTGTGCCAAGAACATTCAACCTTAACACAAGTTGGAACATGTTTACTTACAAAAAAATTAAGATAGGCACCTAACTACTGTCTGGGAAGTATAGTATGGGTTTTAGCCCCATCCACTTTTTTTCCCCCAACATTTCTTTCTTTAGTCTCTAATCATTTCATTATTTGTTCATTTACATATTTTTAATGTTGAGGTGCCTTTTGTTATTCAAGACAAAAGATTGTAATACCAGGAACAACACAAAACAAGGAACAAATATTTGTCAATCTGACCAGTTGCATAACATGGAGTTAAGAGTAAATCAAAGGATTTACTTAAGTGAAAACCATTTCAACAATTCCCCAGTATCTTTTTCTCATTCAAATAATGCTGTTTTTTGTATTGGTCCATTGACATGCAAATGTTTGGTCAAGCATTACAATAAGGACATAACAAAATAAGAGGCTACAATGCAATACTTCTTAAAACATGATCACTGAAAGGGCTTCCCTGTGTTAATTATTTTTCACTCTCATTCAAGAAACAACAAAGTCAGTCAGTAATTTTGAATGCATATATTTACAAGACAGAAGTAAACAAATTAATTGATCATGATCTTGAAGTTCCTGTTGGGATATGAGAATCAGCATTACTCCAAACACCACAGACCATTTGACCACCCAGAGGACTTTTTCTGATATACTTCCATGTGCACCCAGAAACAAAAAAAGGTACATAATTACTTACCGGAACAAATTGCATCATCGGAAGACTATCATGAAAGCCAAATTTCTTACTACGTGCTGAGCACTTCCTTCGGCCACTACATCTGGATGATGTATCGCTGTAAACAATCGATGAAAGAAATTACATGAAGAATAGCATTTCAAAGTATAAAATATTTAAGAATTCAAGACCAGGAGAAAAAAATGACCTTTTCATTCCTGCATGCATCAAATCATGACACTAAAAGAAACAATAACCACCCTAAGAAGCTTTGATCGGTTCATGAATTCTCCTTTTAGGTATCAAGGAAATGAATGAAGAAAAGTACAGAGAATATGAATAAGGGGGGGAAATCTTTAAAAAACTATGCTGCTGTGTCAGTGGGAGAGTATAACAGGGTAATTTAGTATTATCAGCTAGGTTGATAACGTTAATTAGCCACCCTTAAGAGTTCTAAGGCTTTTAAACTCTTTATGGTGGCCAATTTACATTATCAACTCAGTTGTCAATACTCTATTACCTTGTTATGGAGAATATGGATACTGATTTTAGGATGTGAAGGTTTAAAAATACAAATATGAAATAATTGACTTACTCAGTGAAACAACTATCAGTTGTCACTGAGAGAGTATCTTCCGTCATAGCATCGCTTGATAGACTCTGGTTTTCTGATTCAATTCTCGATCCCACAGGTGCTGTTGGGCAGTGGTATGGTGACAATAATTTATTCATGGGAACATTTAATAAACACCTGTGGATATCAAAGCATAAACAGTAAATAATTTATTCAAAGACATAACCTGAAGTACTCATAGTCCCTAGAACTTTCACCCCTAAATTCCCAGAACTGATTAGCTTGTAACTTCTCCCAATAGTATCCGTACATTATACAGCAAACAGGTAGTGAGAATACTCAAACCCATCAGGTTCAATTTATTACCTTGATTGGACACAAATTCTTGTAATTAATTTACAATGAAATGTGTAGTAGCCAGAGGGGAGAATTGACAATCAGATCTAGGGAGTTAAAGGGTTAACATGACTGGAAGCTGAGTACAACATGAGTAGCAAACTAAGTAATTTGCTTCAAAACAAAATACATGGATCTATTCAATAAGCATTCAAAACACGTTGCCTTGTTTGTGGGGTTAAAAAAAGTATCTAAAACACTTGACATTGGGTTAGAAATAATCAAAATTAAAGAACATCTGACTAATACTTGCGCTCTGACCACTTGTCTAAAAATTTTTACTTCTCAATTTTTTTTTCCTAAATCAAATGGACTTTTGCACTGAAATCTAAGGTAACTACTTCTCATTGAGAAAAGAAAACCAAATTCAATATTTACAGAACTCTATATATATATATATATATATATACATTTTTATTTGAACTATCTGTTAAGCGCTGAAAAGCTTTGCATAAACAATTTCCAGCACAGGAATCTTATAAGATTTTGACCTGAAACTGTCACAGGACTCTTCTCCTTTCATTTTACAGAAATATGATACATGGAAGAAGCAGCAGCATTTCCACAACCGTAAAAATAACAAAGTAAGAAAAATTGTCAAGTTGCCATGTCCCAAAACAAAACACATAACTTTCTGATTGAAGGTCGAACACCCTGAAGAAAAGTCAGACCTCAACGAAGGAGTAGTTCCTACTTATTGCCCTCAGGCTAGCTTGCATAAATCAAAAGATACTGCATAGTCACACGACACAAAAACAAAACTATGAACTGTACAATTTCTACACAGAACAATAAATTGGAATACAAAAGCTGCATATTTAAATGTTCAATAGGGCATATTTAAATGTTCAATAAGGCATATTTAAATGTTCAATTGGCATTAAAAGTTATAAATGACATATCGAGAGTGCTCTTAAGCCAAAAAGTGATTATTTTAAAAAGACCCACATGCAAATTCCTGCTCAGCAACTACACTGCTTTGGCATTTAAAGCACCGGCTTTCATATGAGAGGTGTCATGAAGGTAAGGCAGTATGATTATCCTAGATTTTGAACAAAACCAATCCATAAACCTACTCAATTGCAAGTGCTTAAAGAGCAGCTCTTAGGAAAGTACTAAAATTCAAGAATGCAAAAAGAGTGAAAAACAAAAGAGAGACAAATCAAGAAGACAGTGGACTTGTTGACCCTTTGGGCACAAAAACATCCTTCTTAAGATCTGTGGTCACGCTCTGGTGAGTCTCAAGAACAGAAACAACTTCTTCGAAAGTACAAAATAAAAAGACAAGACTTTGTAAACAGTAATTGCAATTAAATATGCTTCAAAGGCACTTGTGCTTCAGTTCATGAAATATGGAAACCTGCTCAATGGCACCTTTACAACCATTTCATTGCCATACTCTGTTTTCCTCCATTATACACTCTGAGATCAACTTTGAACATACTGATTGGTTCTAGAATGTATTAAGATCAAAGTTGACACGTTTTGCGAATATTTCTTAGCATTCTTTGACAGCTAAAAAGCAAATGTTTATGCATGTTTGCATAGACTGAGTTTGCCATTTTAATGCAAAGGATTTATGGGAAGCTCATTAACCTTTCTTTCAGATGTACGCTGGAATTCATAAATTTGAAATGCAATAAACAGCAAGAGGAATATATGACATCGATATGAAATCAAATGCCACAACAGACAAGTCTTACACGAGAAACAGCAATCAACTCGCTAAATCAAATTTCTTCAAGTTTCATTAACCCGATACCTCTTCTCGAGTGTCTGTGCACCGCTGGAAATTGCTGCACAAGAATTCACACCCTCTCAAAATTACAAGTACTTCTGACCAAATAACAGAATACACAAGTAACATGTTTACTAGCAAAGAATGAGAAATACTTTAAGACACTGACTAAAAACTTGGAGAAGAATCGTGGCGCATGTTTCCCTTGGAAAAGATTTGATCACGATGGAACACTTGATGGATTTAACAGATTTTGAAGCGATCATTTCAAGGGATATCCTAAAGCCTCGCCTAAACTGAAAATGTCATTTGTTACACAAAACAAAGTGCTGTCGAATGGACTCCGAAGTTTGTTGATCAATCACTTGTGTTTTCTTAAGCAGCGCGAGTCATTCGCTGGAGCGTACAAACCATTGAGCTCGGAAGAAATACAATGAGATTCGATTCAAGAGAATGACAATTACTCTAGTCGATTTGACGGCTTCTAATTTTATCTGGGGTCAAACAACTTAAATAATATCACTCGCACATTTGAATTGGCACCGCAACCGGCCACTTGCTTTAGTCCAAACTCTGAATCCAAAACAATTCAAATATAAATACCAAGCACTGCTTCACAAGCTATGAAATTCTTAGCACTTCCGATAACAATGTATAGATTCCTTAGAAATTAAAAATTGGTTCAATTAGCCGGGCGTGCAGCATAACATTCAGTTACTATTGAAATGTTCGCTGCACGAGAACTTGACAAAGTTCTAATATAAACTTTGCCTTTTCAAAAGCTAAATCAAATGCTTGACAAGAGATGCAATATCCCTTTCTATTAGCGATCTTGACAATTTTAGCTATAATCTCAATCGCGGCACCGAAAATAAATTCCCTCCACTTGGCCGCTTTCATTAACTACAAAGTCGGTAAGATTATCGTTTGAAAACAACAAAAACTAAATTGCAATAACATTGCTTAACGACGGCCCAATCGCCTTCCGAAAACATTGAATGTAAATTGCCGCTGATAACTATGCACTAGAGCTGTCAGGCAACTCAATGAGGTATTTCAAGTGTAGAAATCCAACAAAGTAATTGCAAGAACGCTCCAAACGAAAAAGCGGTCTGTTACGGTTGGAATTGAGCGAGTAACTTACCGCGCATTGTGTTCATCGGAACCCGATCTCTTCGCACAATAAGGCAATCCCTTCGCACTATTGTGATGTTGCTCAAATTCAAATTGGACTCCATCATCCTCAATCTCGTCAAATCCTAAAACTTTTTCCTCCGGAAGAGGCGGTAAATATCCACCGTGAAATCTGGCCGTATGTGTAAAGCGTTCACAGATCCCTTGTGGGCTTTCACCGCCGCTCTGAATGCACTCCTTATAGAAAGTTGTGTTCAAAAACCTCGGATAATGATTATTTTTCAAATTCGCCATTATTTCGGATAAAGCCTCCTCAAACAGTCCACAATCCATAGGCTGATCGTTAACATGCTGCGCAATTTTCGTTCTCGTTGTGTTGCTGACTTCTAAAGCATTCCCAGGGAAAATAAACTTCTGGAAAATCGCTTTGGCGGTCGTCCGCATCTCATGAGAAATCGGTGCCATTCGCTTGAAAGACTCGGACGCTCGCCAGAAATCTAGGAGAATTTCGGAATTCTCCTGCTTTAGAAACTGATAAAATGAGTTAAATCCTTGGCAATCCATAAGCATATCGTTCAAAGAGGTGGGCCATCGCTCGCATTGAGGAGTAGAGGCAGCGCTACCCTCCGGTTCATAACCCAACGGCGCAAGTTTCTCTTCGTCTGATTCCAGTCCTGAATAACCTTGCGTAGCAGTCGATTCCTTTTTGGAAACCCTTCTCGCTGTCATTATAGGACTAGAAACAAACGAATCTGACTTCAAAGAAGCCACTAATTTTCCTTTGGAACGCTCACTGTCGTTCGAATCTTCGCCGGTTGGAGGGGGCCGCATAGTTGTGGGGCAGTCTGCCGCTGATGATCGCGCCTGTAATATTTCACGTGTGGTAGATTTCTGTTGTGATTCTTTAAGACCATAATAAACCTTTCTAGGGTCTCTGGCGAGCATTTGCTCCGAATCCATCGCTAAGAATCGCGGAAAACTGCAGACCGCATTCAGCCGAGATGAGCGCACAACCTGCTTTACAGTCGTTCGTCGGATCTTTCTAAGAGAATGCCTCGCAGAGATCAAAAGTACGCCGCGCTGAGCCCCCAAAGCAAATATTCAAATACATATATCACTCGCGACGCTCCGTTGAACTGCTCAGAATGTCCCTAGCAGCCGATCGCTGAAAAAACCTGATCAAAATATGGCCACACGATCGAGGATTCTGCCGTAAAGGTATTGATCTTGAAAGGTTTCTAGCGCGAGTATGGTTTCGCAGCTCTCTACAGCGCTCCGCATTTACTTCTAAGTGTTTTCAAGTGCGGTGGGCTTGCAAAACTACTTCAAAAGATGCCGCTCAGCAAAAGGCGGCACACAAACGATCAATCCCTCGGGAGAGAACGTCACAACGGGCTAAGAGACCGCACCAATCAGAGGACGCGTTTTGGTGCCCCGGGTGATAGCACGTGCTTCATGCCAACTTCACACATGTTGACGATGGGTTTAATTAAGCGCAGCTGGTTGAATCTTTTCTGATTGCTTTGCAATGAGAGGTACTGAAAACCCAACAAGTCGGGACCGATCTGGCTATAAGGCGGTTCTTTTATGGCCATCTCGCGAACTTGTTGGGCCGCATATTCACTCTGAGCCATTGTGTTCCGTGCTAAATGAAGATTTAGCGCGGTGAATCGTCTTAACCACAAAATGAATTAAATGCTCTCATTACCAATCTTGGATAAGCAAAGAGCGGCAAGTCAAAAGGATATCAATGTCAATCAAATTCGACAAGTGAGTTCTGGTGATTGTTTGGTCGGCGGGGAAATTTGTTTGTAATTTTTAATCAGCATTCATGCCATACTTTTCAAAATGGCTACATCGTAGAGCTTGAACACGCGAAGTTTAGATCTTTTTGGCCCCTTTTCGTCGCTTCTTAACCCTTATAAACAGGGTAAATATTGTTCAGTATCTTCAGCCACTTATTCTGCCGGCCGCTCTCTGAAATCTCTGGCATTCTTATTCAAAATATCTGCTAATGAAATTTTTTTTATTTGATGAAGTGTCGGGGCCCATGCAATTCAGTTAACACATTATTGCCTGAATTACTGGATAATATTTTTTTGCAATGGTCGCCCTTGTAAGCTAAAGCGGCATCTTTTCTTACCGAGCTTAGTCGAAATTAAGTTAAAGACCGAGAGAGACCCCAACTTATCGATAGCAGTAGTAATTATTTGTCCTTTCGGATCGCTTTTTGTGTCGCTAGAGAGTGTTTGCTAGAGTAATTTACGAGTAAAAAGTTGATTATAACGGAGAGGTAGACAAACATTGCTTAAAATTTGCTTGCCTTACTTTTCAGAAACTAAAAACCGCTCTTTGTGACCTAAGTTATCTCGAGTAGCAGGGACAAAAATTTTAATATTACACGGAACAGCAGCGCCTTGGCGGTTCCCTTTTATGTATGACCGGTTCTTTTGATGAGAAAAAGTTATGTTCCCTTATCATCCCTGTTTCTCGCGTTTTGACACGTTCGACCCAATGAAGTACCTGTGGTAGGAGAACGAAAAGAAAACATTTTCGCGATCGTACCAGGTTTAAGGCTAGTTTACATGTACCCCACCAAATGATATTCTCATGGCGTTGTTTGGGAATTTTGTAAAAGAAACCCGGCTTAAAATAACGACCTTCAAATGAACATGCTGGGCATTTTTGATTGCCAAGTGATTTTTCTTGACATCTTTGGAAATATTGTAATTCGTCCGCCGGGTCACGCAGAAGGGAAGCGTGGAATTGAAAGCCACAAGGAATTCCCTCTGCAGGCAAATAAATAACTGGAGTGTCACTAAATATAGTGCGATTTCGTGGCAAGGAAACTGAATTCACGGCAGAAAGTAAATGTGTTAGTTTTCCTGTCTGTACTGATACCAACGCAAACTATTTAATTTCGCAAGGCGGCGCGGATGTGAAGAATCGCATTGTTAAAACACTCGAAGCCAACCGAAGGAAAAAAATTATTAAACGTACACGAGGTGCCTGTTAGACCTTCAACTGCGACATTTGTTTCCGAAGAATTAAAAGTTTCGAGCCATAAATCCACAATTAGCCACCTTAAGTTTTTGCACGTTATAACGAGAGACTATTTTAGAAGCGTTTGAACTTGCCGCTGTTCATTGCCGAAGTGTCAATTACTTAGTGAATGGAAAAAAATTGAAGCTGACAGTAGTTATGGCGTCGGCGAGTTCTTGTACTTTCACAGTCTCAAAGGTTCGTCTGTTTCCGATTATAATGGCTATTTAACAGAGCAGGCAATTTGCCTGATGAAAAATGCAGTTCAAAGTTTTCGCGATAGGGAAAAAGTGGATAGTATTCCAAAAAACAAATGAAGCCTAACAACCGGAAGTGCGTTATTTCAAACCGGAAGTTAAGAATGGAACTGAGACAAAACGTGCGGGGGAAAGGACTTGCTTGGGTTCTCGCTATTTCGACAAATTACTCTGACTTAGGGAGGCTAATTAGGGAAAGAAAACGCTGTCGTTTTAATAGGAGCGTTTAGCGTAAGCTTAGTATTTTTCTTTACCGCTGGAAATGTTATCAGACACGGAAGATCATCCGTAGGCTCATAAAAGCCATAGCAGAAGTAATCAATTTCAGTAGTTGCACCCTAAGCAATTCAGAACCTAAACATCTTATTTCGGGAAACCGAAGTTCTAAAGGCTAATCACAGGCTAATGAGTTCACACAGAGTAAAGAAGTAAGCCGCTCTGGCGTAATTAAGAAGAACGATTTAGATGGGCGGCCAAAACGGCTTCAACTCTTTCTCATCGAAACAGATGGAAATTCAATAGTTCAGAAATTTAATCAAATGAAATCGGAGCCTGACCGAATTGTGCACTCTGACTGTTTCCAAAAGTCGACCTTATTACAGAATCAATAAGGTAAACTTAATTTTTTAGGCCAAAAACTATTGCGACTTAAATAAATGTTTAAATAACGAAATCTTGCAACTCATGAAATTTCAAAGCCTGATTTTTAAACAAGATGCGGAGATGACGACTAAACCTTTTTGAAAAGGGAATTTGCACAGACGTCTTGATCGCTTGTAAAAGATTGTCACCAAACTGACTCGAGAGGACATATTCAAATAAATGCCACTTCTTATTGCCAAAAGAATTTCATACTGAACTTAAAGATCATTCCTCAAATTGACTCAGTGATGTTAATAACTTTTTAAATATGTTAACAGATGAAGAAAAAAAAATATTTACGAAAATTTAAAGCGTCTGAAAACTTTGAGGAAAATCTATTGAAAGAAAAAAAGTTATTTGGTTAACTTTCACCGGCGCGTTTCGACGTCTTTTTCTCTTTTTTTTTTTTTTTTTTTTTTTTTCTCGTATTCGACAAGGTCTTTTCCTTTCTTTGATACATTAGCACAAAGGTGAAAAAAGAGGGGAAAAAAAGCAGAAAGGGAGAAAGTAAAAAGAAAGAGCGAAATAAAGAAAGGAATTAAAATTTACCCTGTAATATGTTGCCATCGACATTTAGAACTGAGGTCTGCCATTTCATCCAGTCTCAAAATTCAGCATTAACAGTAAGGAGCAACTACATGTTGACCCTGAGCCAAAATTTTTTGTTCGGCGCATAATATTACAAAGATATCTGAAAGTTAAAATTATGACTGTGATAGATAATTCATCAAATGGTTAGAATGTTTTAATCAGTATTCCATAAAAACTCAAGAATAGCAGAATGGGGAAACGGCATATTTTGCGAACTGCACTCACCATCCGGCTTAGCGTCGGCGTTTGAAGAACACTAGACATCCACTTTGTGGACATCAAATATTCCTTCACTTAAAAGCAAAAATAAAAAGACGAAATATAAAAAATTCAGTTTGCCTTCAGTAAACTGTATTCTTCAACAATTTAATTCAAAATATATTGACACACATCTTGACAGGGAAGCGCCGCTTGAAGGAGAATTTCTGTTCATTTCCAATAGATTCTTTTTTGGTAGCAGAGGGCCAGGATGTAAACAGATGGTTATGGACGGTGTATGGCAAAGAGCTGGACTGACATTCACTATCTCCAAATGACTTTTAAATCCATACCGGCAGCCTATTGCCTATTGACAAAGCCGGTTCATGAAAATCAATAGCTTTTATAGGGCTAAGTGCTTTGAAGTTGCTGCATTTTGATGAAGTAAAACTGTTGCCATGATCGAGGAATTGTCTAAACCCCGTCAAAGAGGGATGGTTGTTGAAAAATTGCTTAATTTTAATCTTGAATCCTCTTTTTGCCCAAATTCCTCGAGAAGAAGGGAGCTTTTATTCCTCATTGAAGATTATAAACATTTAAGCCGCAGGCCGCCGCTTTAATTGCGACGATTTTGACAAAATCGGCTCTAAGCCCAAGAAAAACTATTTCCAATTTCGACAGTTCTTGATTTATTTTAAACTGGAGGTTGTGGCAACCACATTAAGAACTTGATCTTCCAATAAAAGAAACTCCGAAACTTTTTAAGTGAGAAAGCAATACAAGGGCTTACGGGAAATAAAGCAAATAATAGCGGTTTATAGAAGATTAAAACTGTAAAAAAGGCGACGAAAAGTCTATTGATTTGAAATGCTAAAACAATAACAAGCCCCTGCGAAATGGCTGGACGGGGGAGATAGTCCTTTAAAAATCGGATAATACCGCCACTTTTTATCTAAATCATAAGATTGCTCTGAACAGCCCGTAAAACCTTCGGATGATTTTTAGCTATTTATTGCCCCGTGCAAAAGCACGAGATAAAAGTTTGCAACATGCCGGCACAAAACAGTCTTGTAGCATTGTGAATGATACTGAGACAGAAATCAGTTTTCAATCTGTCCTCTCCTTCATGATATTTAAGGCGCCAAAGACTTCAAAGTCAGAGTATAAGCGCCAGCGTCTCTATGCAATTATTATTTTGTATTCAATGCAGAATTGGTCGTACCGCCACAAGCTCATTAAGCGACGATAAGCGGCCTCGAAAGCAAACTTGTGACACTCTTTAAGTGCTTTCGTGCCGTTTGACACGCCGCCAAAGTTTAAACAGCCTTTGCCCGAAACAAGCCCTTACACTCGCAGCTTTTCTTTTCCGATCGGCCGCTCTTCAAATGCTGATAAGACCTCTAATTATAATTATACGAGTCCATCTGATCCTAAAAAGCATAATTATCATGATTAGGTCGAGCCTAAGGGGTAAATAAGAGCTTTATAATTAAGGCATGCGCAATAGCCTTCGTTTACGTGTCGAATCGCCCCTTATTAGCGCAACAACAAGTTGCCATGAAAAGCCAAATGCCTAGAATATTAGCACTAGTATGCCTCTAAAATAATTGTTCTTATTGAAAGAGTATAAACCACTTCTAGAGAAGTGTGAAAAAGGTAAAAAATTTCCACGCTCAATTAAAAATTAAAACTTGAAAACCTACACTTGTAAAGAAAACTGATAGTAAATGAATTTAATTTTTTTTTACCGACGAAGAAAACATTAGCGTCAACACCTCACCTAGTTTGAAATTTCACCTCCGTTCAAATAACCTCCTGCTGGCCCTGTCTTTTATCACTGAATCGTTATCAAAATTTACGTTCCTAACTCTTGTTAAGTAACATTTGAAAATCGAGGAGATATTGCAATAGCAGTTTTTTTTCAGACATTTCTTTTAACCAGACAAAGTTCCTCCATTAAATAGGCGAGAACATACAAAGAACTGCAAATGGTAGCTGGATGTGAAAGTAAAGTTGGAACACCTTTTAATCAATTTGAATTACTTCGCGAACAAGTTTAACCAAGCATATGGCCGTATAAAAAAATAATAATAATACGCGAATGCGATGCAAGCCTGAAGAGAGAAGTTCGAGAGGGAATTATCATCAATGAATAATAAATTACTTTGATCCTCCTCTAAAACGAAGGAAAGACTGAATCGTCCACAAACTCGTTAACTGTAACTCACCATAACTCCATTTCTGATCAATCCTATCGTATCATAAGCCTAAGATATGAAATTATTTCCAGTTCCTGCTCAGCTCCGTTCAGTTGATTTTCTATCATGTAAGCAGTGAGTTCATTGTACTTCCTGACACTGGCAGAAGTTTCAGCTGGATCGGATGGCAAATTTACGAAGTTGCATCTGGAAAACCTGTCAGGAAGTTATTGTTTAGAGAAGGAAAAAATATCCTTCTCAATTTCTCTAATCCTTTTCCTTGGCAGCGGGAAAGTTTTGAAGAAACGAATGGCCCAAAACAACTCACGCAGGTGATTTTTGTGTGACGAGTTTGTTGGTATTCCTGTGAAAATCGGAAGTGAAAGCATAAGGCGAATGACATCCAGTCCCAAGAAACACGATGAGTCTATTGGCGGAAAATGACGCCGTTTTCAAATTATTTAAGATCAGGTGTCATTGAGATTAGTAGCTTATGAGCTGGGACAATAGTAAATCGACAGCCAAAAACCGAAAAGGCGAAATATCAAAACTAGGTACAGTTTATTCGTAAAGCAAGGACACATATTAATGTACAACATACTCAAGGGGCATATTTTTTAACATGTCAATGAAAAGTGACAGTTTAAAGCTCCTCTCTTGTTCACATTACCGCTTCCTTTTTAGCGTGGCTTACTAATTTAGAAATTAATCTACTGGGTACGTTCAGTTATTACTAGTGGTCTAAAAAAAAACCTGCACTCATTTTCTCTTGACTACGTCTCCAAAACGCGTCATTCTTTTCTCTAAACTACTTCACCGATGAATGCAAAGCTCACAAAATAGTTCTAGACAAGTTACGAGCTAGAGCCAAGCGAATCAAGTCGATCTTATCCCTTTCCTCTTCTTCTTGAGCCTATGAAGAAAAAATTCTTCACGTCAGTTACCGACATACGATAAAGTTAAGCAGCTTCAGTAACGTGAATTTCTTGCGAGTATTGTTACTCGCATGCAATGGATGAGACGTACCTCACCGCAAGCCACTCTCAGCCTATCCGGTTTGATGGCTGGCCCTCACAACTGGTCCTAACCCCACTAAACTCTTCGAGAGAAGCACTCTGAGACTGAAGTGTCCTGCCTAGCTCACAATCCACTCTTAAAAATTTCACACTGCCCATATCTGTAATTTCGCTCATGAACGAGACGTATCTCTGCTGTCAATTTTTTCCTGTTCGAATAGTAAGGAAAGATATTGCGCAGTAGATAGGCGATAAACCTTCTTCGTACTTGACTGAAAACTGTCACAAAAAGAGCACGAAAATTCGACCTTCTTTTGAATGATCAGAAATCACAGACGACCACGGCAAAAAAAAACAACAACAACAACAAAAAAACTTGCTTAAATCCGAACGGATCTCGAACTTTTAGCCTGAGTTGACTTAAGCGTATGTAATAGCACGAGGACGGCTATAAAACACGAACATGGAAATACAACTGGTTTGAAAGCTGATCTAAAACAACTGATCACCACCAACATTCCAAAACGACTATCGCGTGAAATTATCTCAAAACGTTTCAGATTGCACAGCGATGTGTGTTTTTGTAACATTGTTATTGTATTATTGTAACCAATTCAATGAGTACATTACAATATCTATCAGAGATCTCGTTAAAACAGCGATCCAAAACATCACGCAAAGCTCTGCAACTCTGACGCAACTGACAAAAATATACCGATTAAGTTCATAAGTTCAAGTAGTTGAGGCCGGCATGACAAAGATACGCTCCAAGTTGATATTAGTACTTTAAACTGAATCACAGAACAAACTATAGTATGACCAAAACAGGAAACCTAGAGAAGTGACTCTTGAAACAATGCTCATTCTTACCGCACACTCTCAACAAGAGCGTGGAGAGCAGGTCACGCCCTCTTAAAAGCAAATTTGGCCGGCTTCCGCAGTATAATCAGAAATAAACACTTATCACGCGAGCGGCGGTACACGAGAGATTTTTTTTCAATAATCCAGCACAAATCTGGACTAAGCTACTCCAAGATCACGTCCAAAGAACAAGCAATCGATCTATTTTTGGCTAAATTCCCGCACGTCCCTTTGCATACCAGATCAAAACAACAAGGATTTGACGCTGTACAACAACACTCCAGAAGTGACGTTAATCAGAGGGGAATGCGAAAAACTAACTAGTAGCAATAAAAAGCAAGCGTGATAGCTGAAATATGACAGGAGGATTGCTGTAAAATTTGTAAAAAGCAGGTCAAAATGAGGAATTTTTTTATGTTGGTCTTCCGGTTTACATGGGTCTAACTTCGACGGAAAATATGTCAAGGGAATATTTTTTCACAGTCAGTAATGTAAGTCATAATATCCACATGTTATAAATTTAGCCATTAATTTCTAAGATCGTCGCCGCATAATCGTAATCCGTGTCATCCAGTCTTAGTCAGCACCATTTTAGTTTTATATTACCTCTCTCGTTTTTTTCTTTTACTGAGCTAATACTTTATGGTTTCATCCGATTTTGTACGTCAGAGAATTGATATGTTCTCAATATTTCCTTCTTGACGAGAAGCACGAACAGTGACTGTGCGACAAAGATCGCCGCTTTAAAACAAGTTTAAAACCTGTTATGAACCAGACCAACGGGCTGACTGCCAAAGAGGAGACATGGAACGAATCACGTTTTTTTTTTTCCCCCTTACCCCCTTTAATTTCCTGTTATCTACATGAGAAATTGATGCCAAGCCTCGATCTTTCTCTCTTTGATCCACCTTTTAGTCTCAAGTACTTGGTACGTAAAAATCAATGTAGCGTAGCGAACATCATAAGGACTGCAGATCAGGGAATTGATTGCCCACAAAGTAGACTAAAGTATGACAATAACGGCTGGAAATGTCGAGGGAGACAAGAAACACAGGAACTCCGTAATGAGAATGGAAGTACGAGACTAGAGGACGTTACAAAGCATTACGGAACGTTTAGGTAAATTTGAAATGTCGGCCAGATTTTTGTTGACCTAAAATGACGTTGGGAAATCACCTTTGTTTGATAAGCGCCCTTAATTTTTGCCAGACTAAATTGACCCGTCAGGATTAAAAGGTAAAAATTCTTGTGTTCGCAGGAAAGGAAACTATGTTAAATTTAGAACACAAAAACTTAGAATCTATCGTAAATGTGATACTTAAGCTCTCTTATAAAACAGGCAGGAGAAGCCGAATGGTATGCTAAAATATTTTGTGAACAAGTTTTTTTGTTTTATTGAGCCACGACTCTTGATGTTGGATTCAAATGAAAAGGAGGGGCGGCTTCCCAAGACAAATGCCCACGATCACGAAACCGCCGAGAACCCTGAATACAATAAGATTCGTGAGTGTTTAGAGCTGAACATTTTTTAGATGAGTTTTGCAATTTGCCCACGAACTCTTATGAATCTTTTTAAATTTTCAATGCAAACGTACGTTGGAAAGTTATAAGAGTCTCCGAGAAATTATCTCGGAAAAAATTCTTCAACTGTGAGGTACTTTCTTTTAAAAGGACAAAGTCCCACTGGGTACAAATTCCGATGTTCGGAACCAACATCAATACTAAATAATATAACATGAATTTACTTGCGAACAAGAGTTGGGATGCTATGATATACCGTCAGAAAGAAAAAAATAAATAAATAAAGGCACCGCAAACTTTTTTTAGCCAAATATTCGTGACCAAGAATAAATCAGAAAGATAAATATTGAATTTGGCGCTGGTATTGGAGGCCGGCCGACAAACTTTCTCCTGACATCAGACGCCCGGTTTATCCAACCGACTACAGTGAGTATTGAGCGTTCGAAATATGATACAGGTATGGAGCAATCAAAAAAAAAAAATGACGCTCGGAAACTAATGCCGCTTGACAGAAAAAAATCATGCAAAAGAAATCGAGAACTCTATTACAAGCTTAACTGTAATCCGCTTGCACCTCCAGACAATGGAGCATAAAGTTCATCAAATACAGATCGCCTTACTCTAACATTCACCAGGAGATTTACGTACATTGGGAATAACAAAGTCTCTCTAAACTCTTTTCTTTCTTTTCTTTTCTTTCCTATGGCTTACTACAAGCTAAAAGCCAGTAGTGTGTTGAAGAATCACTCGTTATCATCGATATGAAAATATTTTTTTTTAAATCGTCTTTGTTACGCGTGGCAGCCACTTCAAGGAGGTAATGTCGTTTCCAAACCCCGACCGAGTAGCCAAATCAACAGATCAGTGAAGGCACGCCATATCACGAAGGACGATACTGGCGCACCCCGAGGTCGCTTTTATCGGAACCATCAAAACGTTTGAAGATAAACAAGCCGCAAACAATTTAAATTTAGATCTCTGAAAATATCACACCCAGGTTTCAGTTTAAGACGACACCATTTATTCCTGTCAGCTTTTCGATTCTTTTCAGATCAGGACAAGGAAAAAAATGTTTGCTATTTATAAAAAGTCGACAGCACGTGCCATAGTTCGATAGCATGTCGCTTACCGCTGCCTTTGATCGCCTTAATAGCTTTAGTGTTGGCCTTTCGAAACGATAAGCCCACACTAAACCTTCTTGATGTCCGTTTCAAAACACACCACGAGAAATGTAAACAAAGAAGACAAATACACCGAAAGACTTGTACACTGTTCACACAAGCAGCGATTTCTGCCGATCTCTGCTTCTAGAACGTTCCATCAAAACCCAAAACACTTCATGCATGCCTGGAACGAAAGAGCGGACAAAAACAAGCCGTATACACGATTTTACAATTGAAGATAAATCCATAATTCCAGTGGAATTTGTTCCCAATCTAATGTAGATGTAAATGAAAGAGAAACACACCCATCTCGTTTTGGCGAGCGAGAAGAATTGCGCAAAACATGAAACAAGCAACTAATGAAAAATTATAACATGAGATCAGAAACAAGTATTCATTACCTTAATTTGTCTCATGGTAAAGATTGAGATTAATTGGAAACAAATTTTGGCGAGGGTGCACCAAAACAGACAATAAAATTACTTATATCCATGTTGCTGTGAACAACCCGCGTGTAGCCCAGCTCTTCTCTTGTCTGAATATTAAAATATAATTCTTATGAGAAGGAAAACGAAAACCAACACAAATCAAAACTACGCTAAGTAAAATCTATCATGATTCAAGTCCAACTGTAGGTCAAAGGGAAGCTAGAGTATAAAAGCCGTCGATTATTTCGGTTTAATCAAGAGTTGACACGAGTAAATTTTCACTTTTAAGGAACTCTTTATTTCCTGAGGCATTTTTCCGATGGAGAGTTGCTGTTCAACGGTTTCATGAAAAGATTTCTAAAGTTTTCGCTAAATTATCCTCTTGACACTGGGTTCGCATACCAAGCAACGGCTGCATTTTACATTACTATTTGCCATCCCTTTACCAAAACAGTGTCGAGTTCCGCTTGAGAAGCACGTGGGAACTCAACAGTCAGTAAAGGTCTACAGCAGGGAACCCAACTCAATAATTCATCAAAGGAAACTCCGACAAGGAAAAAGCATGAATAATTACCACAATTGGCACTGCACGTGCGGGCACGAAATTATAATGATGTACTAAGTTCACTTCATTTTACCATTTCGTAGAACAGTGAGTAATTTTAGGCACGTAGGAGGGGTGTTAGTTTAGTTTCATAAGCGGCAGTGCGTTGTTTGATTCGGTGCCCGTTTAAGACGCAGCGCCTTTCCATTTCTGCGAACAAAACCACCCCACGACTCACTGTGAACAACTATGTACACATAAAACATTTATTTCTGTTTTCAGAAAGGCGGCTTCTTTGAAATGCATTCGGCAAAGTCGTCGATCATTTAAATTCAGTCTTTGCTTGAATTGGAAAGAAAAGATTACCTTAACGACATAAACACGGTTTTAAAATTTCGATCGACTGCAATAAAAAAGCCGGTCCCTCAGAAGTGTTTTTGAATAGTTTCGTTAACGACGCCTTTCAAAAGGAGTTCTATATCAAAAGCTTTAAAGGTTTGCCGCTCCTCGGCAAATAAATATGTAAAATCGTTTACTTTCTTCTTTTTTTTCCCCTTTTTTTTATTATTTTCCGACGATGAAAGTTAAGACCTACATGTGGTTTTATTAATGGAGTCTTTGCAAATTTCATCAGGCGACTCGGTTACCATGGTTTTCCATTTCACAGACAGGTATTGTCGATACAAAAAAGAAAAAGAAGAGAAGAAAAAAACCTAACCGCTTGGTTTTATCAGAAAACCAGTTTCGGTTGAGGGGTCCAATCTAGTTTCGACATTTAAAACTAACATAACAGAAGGTAGCTTAGGTCACCTGCCAATAACACCTGCAGGTCTCCTCTGGCAAAGCGAAAAATCTCTTAAGAGGAAAAATTTTCATAGCTTTGGAAGAGGCAATTTACCATTTATTATCATTTTTAGCTTTTAAAGCAACTTCAAACCTTGAACCCTCACACACAGAAACGAGAAACAAGCTAGTAACGGCAATTAGAAACATGAAAACCACCACGAAATGAAAAAAAGGCAAAGGCAATTTGGCACAGTTCCCATTTAAGCAGCTATCAATTCTGTCTTTTTTTTTTCTGCAAGATCATACCCTTGAACAGCTTTACCTTTTTTCAACTTTGACATTCAATCACTGGTTTTGTTACGTTGGGTCATGTCCTGCACTAAACCATTTCCGTTACTTTTCTATTTAAGTACATTTGTCTAAGTCTCCCGTAATTGTAAACTGGTAATCGAATTGACTACAAGTTTCTCTAGAAGAAAAAAACTCTAAAAAGATTTTGTCTCGTTAGCAAAACCGACCAATGAAAAAGACTTGTAACCTAACTATCTTGACAGAGTGTACCACGTGGAAGGAAATTTCTCTCAGCAGCTAAATTGACGCGACGCACCTGAGAATAAACATTGCCCCAGGCAACAGGTTCTGACAGTAGAGACCGAAATCCAAGGAGATATACATATCCATAGCACGTACGATAACGCTGAACACACGGAAACTGAACAACACCCAACAATAGGGCATCAGTCTCTAAAGTAGCCACACACGAGGAAGGGAAACGACACACAAAGTTTTTAACATGCGTGTGTCGTTTTAAAACGATTTCCTACTGTGATTCCCCTCTCGTCTACGACAAAGAGAAGAATGGTCGAAGCTTTTTGGGTTTTAAACATACTGAGAAACGCTCAATGACATTAAGAAAAAAAACTAAAATTAAGACAACGAATGGAAATTCAAAGTACAAGTACCTTGATAACTATACGTAATTCTCCTTAAAAACAACATAAAAAGAAAGAGAATAGCAGGGAGAATCGCAAAATATATCGTTCCATTTACATGAGCGAGTAAACGAAGTCACAAATGCCTTCATAACATTTCTCGAACTGTGTCCACGAGTGACTTGAAAGCGAAAATACCTCAAGGATAATGACCTTTTAAAAAAAAAAAAGACCTGTCGATGCTAACAAGGTCTATTATTGAGAAAAATGTTGCCTCAAATCGATGAAAACACTTGTCAAACTGTTCGCAGTTATTCCATCCGCTTCCCGCGCGGCGGTATATGTTGGAGATCCGATGAAAGACGTTTACCTTCCGAATTCATACAGCAGTCAAACATTTTGCTCTCTACTACAACAGAAGTATTCCTCAGAATCATGGTTCCATAATGAACCACCCTGACCAGCAAGTAACAAGGTTATGTGACCATTTTAACTAGTTTTGGCATCGAAAGCTTTTCATATCCTTTCTAAATAACTACCATACTTAAAATTTCGGCGTTACCAACAGATGCGAAACACACGCAGAGCAACCACACCGGCTACGGAAAGTCAGTAAATGGAAACGTTTTTTTAAGTTAGTGCAAACGACAAAACACGATGAAAAACAACTATTGACGATGATAACTAGTGTTGACAGGTGAAAGTATTGGCCGGAAAAATGTAAGGGATGTTGAGAATTAAAAGAAAGTCAGTAGGTAAGTGTTTGTTCAGATTCAAAAAGTTAAAAAAAGAAAGAAAAAAAAATTCAAAAAGCAACCCAATGATTTGTATTTGTCACATTTCACTGTCACCGAAAATTTATACCATGCCATAGAAAAACAGCCAATCAGATCAAAGGAAAACCGTTGTATATCCAAAGTTTTAAAGCCAAGCCTTTACTCCTGCGCTTCAATATCATTCTGGCGAGATTAGGCAAGACAACGGCGCCATTTCCAATTTCTCTCAAGTGTTTCAGTGTAATAAATTACGTTGACGAGGAAATTAGCTAGAATTTGTTCAATATTAGCAAGCACATCCCTCGCTGTATGAAAACAAACAAAAATAAAACTTTACAAAGAGAAAAAAATTACACTAGTTGAGATAATTTATCCGGACATTCAACAGGGTCTTGTTACCTTAGTACTCTTAGCTGATTGTGACTCTGGACCCTGTGTTAAAGTTCTGATCAAGGGCTCGTCGGTGGGTTCCTTGTCAGGATGGTCCAGGTACTCCTTTGTCCTAAACGAGAGCCTTATTGCTTCGAGGCAGTGCATAAGTTCGTATGTCTGTGCGCTTGAGAAGATCACCTAAGAAATAAAGGGTAAATGAGTATTTTGTCAAAAGTAATATTTCCCTTAGCCATCCACTCCACTCGAATGCAGTAGTGTCACGCGATACTATGGTCATCAAACTAAAAAAAAGGTTGCGTGACAATCAAGTAACGACAAGAATGAGAGGAGCTGTCGCTATGACTTCGCTACCGCGACTGAAAACTGAGTGTGGTTTACAAAGTAAAACGAAAAACTTTGCAGAAGTTAAATTTGCGCATTGATCGTGATCTCGTTCACATGATGATGATATCTCTCTGTGTTTCAATTTAAATTTTTGAGAACCACTTCAAGTTTTACAGGAAAACTCCTCTGTCCTGACGGGGTGGGTGCACAGTGAGAAAAGTAATTCCCAAGGTGAGGGTGCATAGGGTGCGATCTAAAAATACATTTCTTTCCGTCGTGGCAAAATTCCCAGAACTATGCAAACTATTTGGAGAAAGTGCCTATAGTTTGATTTGAACCAAGAGAACCTAAACTGTTCATAGTCTCCTGGTTGAGCAGAGCAATTTCCGAAAATTTACCTCTTTATGTTCCAGGAGAGGTAAGGTATCCGTTAGCAGCGTCAGCCACAACCTGAAAGTCACAGCAAAGAAGCAATGGATGTCAGTGAATAAGTGTCACTAGCATCTACAATTTCAGTCTTTCCCTTTTCAACGAGCCCACAAATCTGTAGACCTCGAGAACGCCAAAAACTGCGGAAACTGTTGGCTTTCGAAAGAAGTAATATGATCTTTAATGAAAAACTGCAGAGTATGTACGGCATTTCATTGAGGACATCATCGAAACACCGACAGCGTGGAGGCCGTGGGACAGCAGACCGTCGAGGAAACACATCACAAAAACAATGAAGTTACAATAGGCCAATCAGAGCTGTTGAAAATCAACCAATCCCAACCTCGGCCGAGTGAGGTGAAGGCCTAAAAATTCTTCATTATTATTGTACTCCACCACGATAAACATCCGCACCCTTTTTTTACGATATCAGGATAAAACGTTGAAAGAGAAATGATTCATAAAATTTTTCTTATATTTTACTCTTAATGCGCCTGAATAAAAACATGGAAAAGAAATGATGAAGTACTTTTCTTGAAAAAGAAATGAATACAGGAGGTTACACAACAATTGAATTTCGAGAGAAATAAAGAAAATTCCTAGGCCATAATATAAAGTCAAATGACTTGTAAAGCAAACTCAAGGCTGGCCTTCTAATTAAAAGACCTGCCCTTACGAGTATCGCACCCACCCTAATACCCTTCTTTTCATTTTTGCAGAACGACCAAACCCACATAACTCGCTTAAAGCGTATTGAATAAACACCGGAGACTTTTGGGCGTTTGTTCGAGTCTACACTACCCACTCAAGCCCATTTGCCACAGCAATAATCTGTAATTACTTCCCGTGCTACCACAAAACTATCCGGCGCAGGTCCAAGAGCAATATATTTAATTTACGTCGCGTTTGCTTGAGCCTTTGTTTTCTTTCAGGGAAAGCAGCAATATCATTGTAAACCATACACTGTAAGATTCGAACATACTAAAGGGCAGTCACGGAGTCCTAGGATCGAATACTGAGTTCTCAATTCCACAATTTGTCTTGTCTAAATGACCCGAAGCTTCTGATTACTATCATCAATTTTTATCAGACAAAATGTTCGCCAAGAAAGAAGTGTTATCGTATACCGGTGGCTTCACACTCTTTCCGTTTGCGTGCAAGGTTCCACAAAGCAAATGCCGCCATAAAACACCGCTCTAAGAACTAATACTCTCAAGATATCATTGAAATAAGTATGTCAGTTTTAATTGTCTTCAAAGAGGCGGGCAAACGGAGGTCACGGGTCCTCATTTTATGTTCCCTAACTAATATTTTTCTTCCAATGAGTTCCCTCAAGGAAATAATACTCTCAATGGCGGAAAAATTCGACCAGGGAAGAGTTCCTTCATAGCAAAAAAGTCATCGAGTTTCAAAGACAGAGGTATTTCGTGACGCTGCGGTTGCACACAAAGAAGAGTTGGAGGAAAATATTTGCGGAGATGTCGTGATTCGAGGGCCGAATATTTATAACTGCGGCAAACAGAGCCATTACGGTGCATTTTTGCCGTCACGAATCGACAACAGAAGTGACCCTGTTCTAAAAACGTAAATTAATTTTAGATGATTACGGAACCGGCTAACGTCAGTAAAAAATGAGTTTTCCTGAACGGGGAAAAGTCTTAAAAGAATTTACGCCCCCAACGGCTATGTTCGTGTACCATCGCACGTTCGCCGACGCTAAAGCATGGGACAAACAGCACACTTGATATAGATTAACTTGTTTTGCACTTGCTGTATTTACCTTTAAATTTTGAGGTTCAATACAATGCCTGTAGGCCTTCCTTTACGTAAAGGAAAGTTGGAATTCCTTAGACACGATGGCAACAGGAGCCTTGGGCAAGAATTGGACTAAGTTGTATTAAAATTGGGTGCGATCACCTACAAAGCACTTGAAACGGCCTCTCGTACAAATTTGACTCACAATTAGAACTTGTTACATACACAAAGTAAGCGTCACAAGATAAACAGAAAGTCTGAATTAACCCCGGAGCAAGATAGAATACCATATTCACTCGATTAAATGCCACCCTCCGAATAAGCACTACATGCGAGAGCAAAAATTGCAATAAGCGCCGCGCTAGAAAGTATGCTACAGCAAGCAATGCAGCGCTTACTTAGAGAATTTAGCTAAATACATGCTATTGTGGAGTACAACTTTGCCTTGTACAGCTTGAGTAAATTATTTTCCTCCAAAACAGTGATTTTATTTCGAAGTGACTATAGTTCCTTCTTTTCTGATTCATTCTTGGACTCGGAACATAGAGGGGATGGTCGAGTTGACAGTTTTGGAAACATAAAGCAAGGAAGTATAAATGGCATTGATTGAAAAATTAATCATGGGAGTGTCACTTTGTCAACATTTTCTCCTCGAGCGCTGCTCTTGTCTTGCACAAATAATTTGGCCAACGCCGCAGTACCTCATCTAATAACTACGTGAAGAGTAGGAAAATTGCCAAAAAAGCGATTGAACGTCAACGCGATGGTTAAAGAGAAGGAAATGAAGACATGCTTCACATGTGACTGTTATAATAATTCAAAAAAAATTCAACTGTTTATTGGGTTGGGTTGGGTTGGGTAAGGCATCAACTTTTCAAATTTGCGTTGGTAATAAGACGTATTTCTCTACAGATGAACAAATCAAACCGGGATGTTTACAGCAGCGTAAAGGGACGGAGGCGTTCATACGTTACCGAGCCGACAACTTGAAGGAGCCAACTGGCGTAAGGCACAGTTGGTCTTCCATCACCGCGTCGACAAGTGTTAGCGACAATTCACTAAAAGGTCCGAGCTCTTCGGTACAGACCCGTTTCTCCCTAAAATCCGGTAGGAATGTATAATTTTCGTGTCTGAAATTAATAACACCAGGTCTGAACAGGATGCTACAAGAGAGTGTAAGGCACAGAGTCGATCTCCCGTTACTACACAGACACCTTCAAGCTAAAAGTCACCAAAGGTCCGAAACTTCAAAAGAGGTCTGTTTTTCTTTGAATTCCGGTACTCAGCGAAACCTTCCCCTGATTCTGCTATTTGCCGTACACACGAAAATAGACCCTAGGAAAATTTTCCCCTAAAGAGTAAGTGGATGTGCCATGAAAATTCTTACAGTTTACAACTGTGCGTTTTAACAGAAATTTTCAATAGGGCGCAGTGAGAAATCCGTCATTGGCCTCGAGAGCTGGCACTATCCTCTCAACCAATCAAATGCACAAGTAAAATCGCAAATCGGCCAATCACGTTTTTCTGAACTAAAGAGCAGTCACGAAACTCGTATTACCGGCTTTTATTTCTTGGGGTTAGGTTGAACCACACTGAACTGAAATGCACACTGGCGAGCCGGTGAACCCGACAAGCTCTACAACTGCGACAGCTATAGAAATATTTTTATATGGTAAGACCAAAAGAAGTAAAATTAGAGTCGCTTTCAAGAGGATCAAAAAAATAATAATGAAAAATTGAATTTGTTTCAAGTTGAACTTAAATTCCAATTAGAAGATGACAGATGGTAACTGATAGCTCAGGAATTAAAAGAAAAAAAGAATTTTTTTTTTCATCTTGTCGTCGCGGGCGTGGGACAAAGAAAAATATTCCGAGTCCCCATGAGCAACCGACCTTTCGTGATCCGTGCTCCGATGCTCTACTAAACTACAGGGAACTCTACGGCGAGTTAGGCCTTACTGGGTTCATATATGACACACGTCCTCAGGGTTATCATTAAAAACCGGTAGCCGACAAAAAGCGCCGGACAGTCTGTCATCTTTCACCGGCTTCTTTCACCTCATTTCACCCTAATTTCCAATGAAAAATAGTGCGATTTTAGTTTGTAGCATATTAATTTCCCAGTTTCGTGTTAAACTGACTATATCTTTCACCAATAACAGGTTTAGATATGCGAATCGATTCCATCTTCAGAACTCTAAGGTTTGTACGAGCTTCGTGTAACGCCGGCCACACTTAACTGAATAGTTCCAACTTCTCCCTATAAAGTCCCCACACTTTTTCTTTTAGTGACCAAGTCATGATACTCATAGTTATCTGGTAGAGGTTGTTATCTTGATCTAACACTAAATTATTGCATGTTTTCGCACGAAACGACATGGGGTCCACAATGATATGGCCGCCTAAGTTTTTTCTTTTGCCTTCCACTATCAAACTTGTTGGCAGCCCTGCGTCTTGCATACTCATACGGCAAAATCGAAACCTGTTTTATTTTTCATCCCTTCAAATTAAGATCTCCTAATTAACCCTGTCACTCTCAGATGTGACCACAACGGAATCTCTCTTTTCAATATCTATACATTTCAAGGCGGACTGAAAGGTGCTGACAAGTCCTTGTTGACAAGAGTTTGATTCAGCGCTAAATTCTCAGAGTCACACGTGTCAAAAATGAATTGGAAACAGTGCAGAGATATCATATTTAGATCTTAGGAGTGCAAGGGTCAACAAGAATTACAGTCGAGCCTGTATTAGGCGGTCACCCACGAGGAATGGCGGGGTGCCTGTTTCATACAGGTTGACCGCCCAATACAGGTCATTTTATCCCATTATTGACAGAAACTTGCTAAACGAAGATAAACATGGATCAAATCGAAGAAGTTAAAAAGTGCGGTAACTAAGGGGGAAAAATTCGGTACTTTGACAACCGACCGCTTAATACAGGGTGACTGCTTTATACGGTGCCACTTAATACAGGTTCGACTGTACAAGAATTTCCTAAAATACCGTTAGCTTGACCTCATCAAACTTGGCTCATCTGAATGACTTTATTCTTTGACGTCCTCTTAGAGATTGTTCAACCCTACTCTTTCTCATTCCTTAGCCCTTCGACAGCTTATTCTGCCCAAGGTCAACTCTAAGAGCATAAGGACAGTTCAGAAGGTCTTTGAATGCCACCCTTATCGAAAACATTGCAAAGTTTATTTTTACTTTCCAAATCAGTCTAAAAACGAGACGAAGAGAAACAAAACCTTGTCTCAAATTGTTGACTTAACGAGGTCAAGGTGACTGACAAGATTAACTCATGCAAATTCTTTTCTTAAAGTTTCATTTGTTTATTCATTTTCATTTTTTGTTTTCTTCGATAACAAGACTAAAGAGCAGTTCCGTTATCTAGAAACCAAAGCTTCAAGGTAACCCAGTTGTGTTAATTTTACAACTTGATGTTTAAAAACCCAAAATGTAAAAGTAAAGTATGCAATGCCGGCTTGGTAGTGCGATCTATAAATATAAATTATAAAATAATTCAAATAGTACGCGCGCTCTGATTGGCCATAAAACCATTTTACATGAGCGTATGTAAACACGGTTTTCGTTCCTCTTTCATTAGTTATTTTATAAAAGAAATATAAAATGGTTTCCGTGTTTACATAGCCTGATGTAAACACTTAGGAGGTTGGAGAACACTCGATAAGCTGGAAACCACTCCGCTTCGCGTCGTGGTTTCCTACGCTTATCTCGTGTTCTCTCAACGTCCCGCGTGTTTTCATCAGGCTACGTAAACACGGAAACCATTTTACATTTCTTCAATATAAAATTAAAAAGGAAAAAAAGGGACCTTTGGCTTATCAACGTGCATCTCAGACGAAACAGGCAATCGATGTGTGGAATTTACAGATGTTTTTCTTTCGTCGGAAATATCGTGGAAAAAATCAAACCAAAGTTGTTAGTCAGGGACACAAACCGCCATTGAAGGAGCTAACTCCAAAACTCTCGCTTTACTTTTTAGCACCCAAAAACTTTTGCCAAATTGAAGGGAAAAAAAATACATATCTTAAAAGACGTTTTGGTGTGAGGCATCTGTGAGTATTGTTACGAGTTGCTCCGTATTTTGACGAGCCCCAATGTCGCCTTCCCGTTTATTTTTAGCCATGCTAGATAAAGTTAGAAAGAAAAATGTTGAAATTCTCAGACATTTCCGAATGAAGGGCATAGAGTGGGAGTTACTTGATCATACTGCTGGAAAGATGAAACAGCCAAAATCAATTAAAACTGAAAAACGGATCACACCCACTCTAAAATTAGACAAATGTATTGTTTCCACCGCTTTAGTTTAAATTGGATTTATAAGACTTTGCCAGATATCCTTCTAGGTGGGTGACTTAAGTCGAGTGTGCAGATTTGATTTCTGTCTAGATGCGTGGGGTTGTTTAAGTTATGATGTGGACTTGTCAGCTTCGAGACAATACAATATCGCGTAAAATAAAAAAAAAAGCATTAATCTCTTTCCTAACCCCCATCTTTTGGTTTGTGATAACAGGATACCTACTTCTTTCCCAAGGGCGCGGTGAAAATGGATCGAAGAGACTTGAGGGATGGGTGATAAGATCATTCTACAAAATTGCTACTGCTACATATATAAAGAACGCACAACGCTAGGGTCAGAGCTTCAAGAACAGGACCAAGTTGTTCAAAGGGCAGATAACGCTATCCGACGTATGAATCACTATCCAGAGGATAAGTGTTAACAAAAGATCTTTCGCTATCCACCGGAAAGGGATTTTTCCAGTGGATAGCGTTCTCCAATCTTTGAACAACCGAGGCCAGCTAGATACGATGCAGAGAAAATCTCATGAACGACAAGGTGAATCCTCTTAACTATTCCCCAAAAGAATGTATAGCACTAAGAAAAGAGAATAACATGTCTGATCGCGAGAGTAAAAGGGTTAAAGAGATCTAAGTTAATATGGTCACCTCTTTATAACAGCTACACAATGCTCGCTTTTGGTACATGTTAACTCATTTCAATTGACATCATTAATGAGATGCCCCCACAAACTGCCACTTTTCAGTAATCTTCGACAGGGCAGGTCAATCACTCTTTCAGAGCGTCACCTTTTGATAGCCTAAATGGATTTACTTAAAAAAAAACAGTTAAGCAAATTCGCCATTAAGCAAACCGTGTAAGGCGAAACGACGAAACATAGATGACAACAGAAGCAGTATTAAAACAGATGAAACAATGCCCAAACTGAGAGACAGACGGGGGGCGGGCGAGTTAAAACAAAAGGACGTTTCCCAGGCCCTTCTCTTGCATAGGTAACAAACCCATACTCCAATAAAATTTAGGCCAAGCGGATAAGATATCGAAGCCTCACGAGAGACGGACACAAGTCAAGTTCTAGCTGAGAACGAGCCAAGCATATGCCGTTTACAAGCTGAGTATTAGCTGGACATAAGTCGAGCAAGGCCCGAATTTGAGCCGAGTATGAGCCCGATACGAACTGAGCATGATCCAAATACTAGCCAAACACTGTATGAATCGGCGCCGTACATGGGCCGAGAACATGCTGTGCAAGAACCGAATGCGAACCGAAGACGAGTCGACTACGAGCTGAGCCAAGCTGAACACGAGCAAATCATGAGCCGGACGGAAGTCAAAAGAGTTGAAACGTGCAATCACGGAGTAACAGTCGTGAAAACTACAAAGATTGATTGCAAATAAAAATATAGTGTAGTTGGTGTAATAAATGTTTCTTATCAAGTTAGTTCCTCTTGTAATTGCGTTTACAAAACGCAGTCTGCTATCGTTTAAGTTGACAAGACGCTGGAGATCAAGACTAAGAAGAGTCAATATTTGATTCACCTTTGTGGAGCGAGCTTCGATGTCAGCAAAGAAATCAGCAAATTGGAAGCTTCATGAAACTTGCCTTCTTCGTACATTTTATGGAACTCGCGATATTTCCCTACATGAAAAAAGAAAATGAAAATTAGGGGAACAAAATGGCAAAGCAAAGAAGAGATGATAACAATAAGCACCCTAAACTCAAGATACCGCAGAAAATAGTGTTTGGGCAGGAACTGATTTCCATTTCATTTCGTCCTTCAAAAGAATGCCCTTACTCTCAAGCCTGAATGTCTACGCGGCAAACAACAGTTTCAATTGAAAATGTAGTCTTCGTGAATCGACTGACAGCATGAACAAAGTAGACGTCATTCCTCTAGGTAGAATCAACGAAAAACCTCGATAGTTATATTCGTTAAGTCATCGCTGCTTTATCGATGCATATCCGGAAAAACTTTTCAGTCTTGACTTACCAAGAAACGTAAGTCGATCGCTTAAGAGCATAGCGGATCCAAGATTGTCGATCAGGTCCAAATTTGAAAATCCCCCGCTCTTACAATACTCTGTGAGAAACCTGTCAAATTGAGAAAACGACAGATCACTTAGATTTAATTGACTAATTTAAAAATAAAATATTCGCACCACTCACCGCCTGAAGGTGCAGGTTTGTCGGCGAGGAAACACACGTAAGAGCAACCCTAGCGCAAATCCCAACCAACGAAAACTCTAGCTTCGTTACAAGAAATTGAAAAAGTTTCATTTTGCCACGCCTATATAGCATTTCACAGGCGTGACCTAAGACAATACAAACTCAAGTGCAAATGTAAGGGATAACTCAAGGTAACTCAAAATTGTTCCTGGCCACCACGGTTGAAGTTCAAACCGAGACTTCAGAATAGAACAATTTGAAATTGAGCATCGAAATTAATATAGGATTGCTTCGGTTTTGTTTTATTTTGTTTTATGATTGGTCCAAAAACCTCGTGCCAGTTTCTCAACCAATCAGATTTACAACTAAAACCTATCGCAACTGGCCACTCGCGTTTTCCTGCGTTTTTTTAGTTAATTTCGCTTGTTTTTACTCTGAGTTTTCATTGGCCGCTAGTGAATTTCCTTTTATCTGATGGGCAAATGAAATTACCTGGTTTTGGTTTTTCGGCATTCGATCAAAAAGCGCTCCAACGGACTAAAACATTCAATTTTCTACAGAAATGTTTCTCAAGATACAAAAGCTCAAATTTGTAATCTGCTTTGAGCAGAAGAAGTGGCAATGATAACATCTAGGCATCTTTGGTAATGGTATGATCCAGAGCCTGGTCTCCAAGGCTATTTCAGAAGGAAAAATGTTACTGAACTGCGCTCGGGACTGCGTTTAACGTATGGTCGCCATTTTCGTGTTTATTTGCGCCCCCTTTGAATAAAAATTATAATCTATTGGATAGAACGTGATTTAGAGTTATTATCGTAAACAGTATCATGTCACAGCAGTTAAATCAAATGTAACCTTAGCGGCATAATAATTATGAAACAGCTAGATTTCATTTGTTTAAATTCACTCAGCTGCGAAGCCCTATCTTAAAACGGGAAAATTCTGAAGTTTGGGGATAATCTACCGTTTTCCCAAATACTGTTTAACGGGACTTCTCCATAACGTTAGCATAACAATAGTAACTGCGATTGTTATGCCACGCCCACTTTTTGAAACTTCAATCCTTTGGTCAACACATGCGTGAAATTGGTACAACTGCGAAAGGGGAAAGTTTGGTTTTGAGCGCTTTGAATATAGTCAGTAGGCGTTTCTGAAAACTGTTTCCAGCCACCTTAATAACGATTTAGACGACACGATTCTTATCGCAGTTGTGTCCGATGATGGTAAGCGAAAATCGTACCAGAATAATTGGCTCGAAGGTCTCCTAAGGTCGAAAAGTCATGCATAATCATTCTCCATGCTACACTCCAATTTAACAAAAGAGATAACCAACACCGTGAAGAATTATTCATACCTTTCTGAAATAAAAGCTGCAAATGTAGAGTCCTAAACACAAAATAAAACAACGTAAGAGAGTTAACGTTTAACAAACTGGTGCGTTTACGATTTACCCAGATTATTACAGTCAAGGTTCGTGTCATAGGTTAGATGGAGGAAATTGGTCTTACGTTGTGCTCATGAAAGAGTTTGCAGAAGCATTTCAAGTTTTTCATTAGTAATCCGCGAATAAAAGGGATAAGGTTCTGAGGAAACTAGGATAGTGGGGGTGGTGCAAAATAATTTGGTTTTATGAAGCTGATAATGTGAATTGTTTACATAACGAGATCGGAGTGAATCTGTAATCCGTGTCAATCAATTTAAACCCTAATTACCCCTGTTCAGATCGCTTTTGGCATCTCCTTGTCTGAGTAGCCATTGGATTTTTTCTACGCTTTGAAGCGTCAAGCAGCGGAGCCGTGAAAACAGCCGCCGAACCCGCCAGTTACGCAAATTAGACATATTCTAGCCTGTCTACTCCAGCTCCGAGCTTAACTTCTTTCAAAATCTCCATTTGACAACCTAAATTGTATAATCTAACCAGGAATAAAATAATGACCACGACATTTCGCGCAAGATCACATGACAAAGTAAACCAATAACCAGCTATCGCAGTCGTTTATGAAAGTTCAGGAAACATCCTCGATACTTTATACGCAGACAAGTACTCACTTTAACTCTAGTAGCCGAGGAGGAGAAGCCAGAAAAAGACAACCTCGCAGCATCCCACTACACAAAAGGTTTGACATCAGATTCGGATAGCCTTATACCAAGAGATCATCACGATGTTAGTTGTAGTCACTAATTGTGAGGTTAGTGACTTGCTGTTCGGGGGAGGGAAGTACTTTTGGAAGTGCCAATATTTATGTTTTCAGGAACTTTACTGCAATACATCTGGAACTGCTCAACCAAATAAAATAAAATTTGGAGGAGTGATGTAACATTGGTAGTTACTTAATGTGGGATAATTTTGGTTGGTTGGTTAACCGTTTCCATGGAAAAAACTGCTGAGAAAACCAAGAACAAACGTGATTTTATGAAATAGTCAAAAATGCTGAAAACAATAAATGACAGACGTTGTTCACTCCAAGAATACCTTACCATTAATCTTGCTTTATAGGCAAAGGCAAAAGAAATTCAGCTCCCGATCGCAGGTTGTTGTCGATGAGGGAGTCAATGAGCACTGACAAGTAGCTTATTGGTCAGTTGAGGAGTCAACGAGCTCTGTTAACAGCTCCTGATCACAAGAAGTTTGCGGGTCGTTTGGGTAGTAAATGAGCTCTTATAACAGCTCCCGACAACAACAGCTGCCGATTGCAAAAGTTTGTCGGTCGATCGGGTAGTCATTGAGCTCTGATAAGAGCTCCCAATCACACAAGTTTGGTGCTTGATTGGGAGTCAGTGAGCTCTAATAACAGCTCCCGATCGCAAAAGTTTGTTGGTCGATCGGGAAATCAATGAACTCTGAGAAGAGCTCCCAACTCAAAAGTTCTTTGGTCGATCGGGGAGTAAATGAGCTCCGATAAGAGCTCTCAATCGCAAATGTTTTATGCTCGATAGGGGAGTCAATGAGCTCTGATAAGAGCTCCCGATCGCGATAGGTTTGTCGGTCGATTAGGGAGGCTATGAGCTCTAATAAGAGCTCCCGATAACAAAAGTTTATTGGTCGATGGGGGAGTCAGTGAAGTCTGATAAGAGCTGCCGATCACAAGAGTTTGCTGGTTGATCGGGCTGTCAATAAGCTCTAATAAGAGCTCTCGATCGTAAGACGTTTGTTGGTCGAACGGGGAGTCAATGAGCTCCGATAAGATCTCCTGAATACAAAAGTTTGAGGATCGATTACGGAGCCCATGAGATCTGAAAAGAGCTCCCGATCGCGAGAAGTTTGTTAGTCGATTTGGGAATCAGCGAGCTTTGATGAGAGCTCCCGATCGCAAAAGTTTTGTTGGTCGATCAGGGAGTCCATGAGCTCTGATAAGACCTCCCGATCACAAAAGTTTGTTGGCCAATCGGAGAGTCCACGAACTCCGATAAGAGCTCCCGATAACAATACGTTTGTTGGTCGATCAGGGAGTTCATGAGCTCTAAAATGAGCTCCCGATCGCAAGAGGTTTGATGGTCAACTGGGGAGTCAATGAGCTCTTATAAGAGTTCCCGATCGCAAGAGGTTTGATGGTCAGTCGGGGAGTCAATGAGCTCTAATAACAGCTCCCGATAGCAAGAGGTTTGTTGGTCGATTGGGGAGTCAATGAGCTCTCATAAGAGCTTCCGATCACAAAAGTTTGTTGGTCGATTGGGGAGTTTATGAGCTGTGATCGTTCTCTTTCATTGCAAATCGATACGAAATAATAATTTAAAAGGCAGTTTTTATTACATTTTATAAAACCAAGTTCATCTTGGTTTCCTTAGCAACCACTGTTCAACCGACCGCATTTATCCCACATTTAATAACTACAAAAGTTAAAAAAACGATTTTAACACTTGGTTGAGTAGTTTGGAGATATTGCGAAAACCGTTCCTGAACCATAAATATTGATACTTCCAAAGGTACCCCCACCCCCTTAAAAATCAGTGTGCAGCAATCCCTTGTCAAACCTTTTGTGTAACGGGGGTGATGCGCGGTGCCTTTTTTGAGATTCTTCTTCTTCTCCTCGACTATAGACCACAAATACTAACTTCTTACTAACCAAGCGTGAGGGCCGCACTGGGGAATATAAGCCCGAGGTCATGGCAGTACGGACCGAGCGCAGCGACGTCCGCATAAAAACGATCGAGGGCCAATATTCCGCTGTGCAGCTCTAGCAAACGAGGTTAGTTACTTGGCACTTGGCACTTGGACCAAACTTGATGATTTTTGATTGACTGGTTTTCGCGAACAACTATACACGGCTTATGACCGTTTCTGCGCGTATGGTAAAATCCTGACCGAGTAAGAACAATCAAAACGCTTGGATTGACCTCGGAACTACCTTACGTACCAAATAATAATAAGTAATAACAGTACGGCCTGCTGCATGGCCGTGGCACACAGGTTAAGTTTAAGAGTTGCTGTAAATGTTATCGCAAAGATTTACTATGACCAATGGTGATTAAAACGGTCGCAGCCAGGTGTGCTGAGACTGGGGACCAAGCAAACAGTTTCTACGGTGACGATATCAATATAATACCAATCAGGCAAGTGGTGAGTATTAAGGAAAATTTCAAGTGTGATGTAACACCGAATTGCCTGAGTTGACAAATGAGAGAGTAGGGGGAATAGATCCCTAGAACCCTGCGCGAACCTGCCGACACATCCTTTAAACATAGATAGGTATAGGTTTAGTCCCAGGGTAAGGTAACCCTCCCTGTAAGGAATAAGCAAGTAGTTGACTCTCAACTCGAAACAGCTGTGAGAGACTTAAAGAAAGTGTCACATATTTCTCGTTCTTTCACCAACATAACTCTAAACTGCTAATGAATTGAATGTGAATCTTTCGATCGATAATTGTTGGATGGAATTGTGTCGGGGTTATTCGATCAGAGTTCAGCATTTTCCTTTAAGAAAAACAGTATACTAAATCTAGCCAACCTCTTTGAAAAGAGACAAGACGGCAAAAGACACAATACTTTAACTTCAAAAAATCCACTAACTGATAAATCTCGAGGTCCATTAATTTATTTAAACCTAAGGCCCTTGTAAGAATATAAGAGGCAGCCTGTATAAGTTTCATTTATTAGCAGACTTTTACATCTAACTGTTTGCCCTTACCTTAGATCTAAGGCACCAAGCCAATGCAGCTCCCAGTCTCCCATTCCTCAACGCGTTCATGCTCATAGTCTTACAAATGGACTGAGCTAAAAGTATACAGATAAAACAAAACGTGAATCAGAACAACGTAACACTACTCGCAAAACCCGTCTAGATGGTTTAACGGGTAACACTCGTTTTCCATAAATGGTGTCTGAGATGACAATCGATCGTAAGTAGCGAAGCTCTCGCGATGCGAGAAGTGCGCGCACAGCGTTGGCCCAGAACTAAGAAGAGTTAGCCAAAAAAATTTAGCGGTGACGTCATAACGCACGTCCGTCTGTAAGCCAGTCTGTGCCTTCGATGATTCAAATACAATTTTTCACTTCAAAATCGATAAACAAACGGCAAAATCAATTAAAGCCAACTTTACATAGCAGAGGGAAACAAAATGCAATTGCTACTTGAACTACGACCTTCCCAAATTGGTTTTGATAATTCTATTTGCATATCAACAACGGTTTACAGAAAAAAAATTTCTTGATTCAAATAACTTTCTACACTTGAATGGATTTACCGCCGAGTAAATTGACATTAAAATAAATGCTTGATTTGATTGAAGCTTTCAAAACATGTTTCTGACAATTCTATATGACCTTGAATTGTAGTTTAACTGAAGATTTTCCGTTGATTCAATTAACTTTCCAGCTACAACCAAGCGAAGCAAACTTGAAGCAAACCCTTCCCAATTTGGAAAAAAGCTACGTTCAGTCAAATACTTTTAATATCTCTCTAAAAAGAGCACAGAACAAAGAAAAAACCCCAGCCTAGTGACAAGACTAAAAACAATAAGCCACAACGAACCGCAATTTTAAATGCATTTCCGCAGCCCAAAATATTCCCGATCAGTCCCGATCCTAAACTTAAGCGAATCCCCACTAAATTCCCATGGACATGGAAGTATATTAGACATAAATTTTATAATTTCAGGCTTTTCACTTTCTCTATTTGAATAGTTAAATTCAAAATTGTAATCGAACGTTGTTTTCCAACTGATGTAAATTTTGAAGCTGTCTTTGTGTTGTTTTCAACTTTTCTTGCCCCTCCTGGGCTAAATTCATCTGCATATAAGGACGGCTGTTTACATATCAGTGTTGTTTGTCTAGTTTCGTTAGTTTCCTGAACCATACCTTATTTGGAGATATTAATTAACTTCCTGATTATTGAGAAATTAGCGGATTATTTGAGAACTGTTTTCAAGAGAGATTTACTCCCTGTTCTAAAAAAAATTGTTTTTCAACTCTTGCTTTTCCTTTGAAGTTTATACTTTGTTTTTCATCTCTAATTTCATTTTGGAACAATACCTTACTTGAAAATAAAAACCAACCTCACCCAAGAATCTTGCGCCTCCGCCCACTCTTTACTTTAAGATTGTTTTCCAATTTGAAAATGTGCTTGGAAAGAGTTCCCATGACTGTTTTCGATTAATTTGTGGTGTTTTGCAGCGTTCTGTTGTGCTAACTACGTCTGTCATTAATTTGTACTTAATTACTTCGACCTTCGACCACTTTTATTTCATATTTTGCTCTCATTGTTTACGTCTTTATCAAGAGCTCTTATTTTCGTCTTCTTCCCATTTAAACCTTAACCACATTATGCATATTCTCCATACATTTCCTAGGTTCTAACAAGGAGAGTTTGTAAAACCATCAAGAGCTGAAGCATTTGATTCATTGTGATAACTTGCGCCTAATTACTTTCGCCTGCACCCAGTCCTTATTTCGAGCTAAACCCTTCCCAATTTAAAAAAGCTGTGCTCAGTGGAATGCTCTTGATATCTCTCTAAAAATACATTTAAACAACTTTGAGATAAAAAAAAGTCGCAACAGGAAAAGTTTTGAAAGCCAACCATCCACGCGTAAGCCCTTTCTAACAGGCCCTTTATGAATTGATAAAGGGGTCACGTTTCTGAAGAAATTGTGGTGCTGCGTCGGTGAGAGATTTTAACAGGGTAGTTTAGTATTATCAGCCGAGTTAATTACGTAAATTAGCCACCCTAAAGAGTTTACAAGCTGACGTTTCGAAAGACGTCAGAGCGGAACAACTCTAAGCCACGCCCGTGTGCTTCGATGTTTTCAGTATTAGCTCTTAATCCTAGCACCAAAACGTAGCTTTTGATTGGTACGTGGATGCTAGTAATAAGAACATAAATAACCAGTACTCCATATCATTTGCCAACTTTATGAACTTGATTACGAGACATTTCGAACCAACACTTCAATATTTTACCGAAGCTGTGGAAAATGAGTGCAACCGTAAAACATACATTTTCTAAGTTTATGGAGAAGAAACGCCCAAAGAGAACGCGGAAATACGGACAATCAGATCCCGAGATGAAAATACCGGAAGAGTTATTTAAGTACCTTCCTAGCGATGTGCAAGAGGCTATGTCTACACTGACGGCTGAAAAACAGTACTCCCTGTACCTGGATATTTTCAAACCTCTGGATTTCTACGAGCTATTGTTCAAGCACTTCGAGTTACAAAATAAATGAACAGTTAAGAGAACTGAAGAGGAATGGCTTGTTAACCCAGGCGAAGTAATGAAGTAGCTGAGAGTGTCGTCGGCGTACAAGTCTTTACTCTATATCTAAAGTCAAATTCAATGTTGTACTTTTTCTATGACGCTCACGAGCCTGCAAGACGTTTTTGATTTGCAAGAATAAAGAAGTACGGTTTTTCAAAGTGAAAGTAATCCGTTTAAATTTCTCTATACCCCTGTCTTCGTGTAACTGTAATATTCGAATATTAGAGCGCTTGAAGATTTTAAATAAAAAATTCTCGAAGTTTTAAAACATAGACCTTAACCAAAGATATCTTTCGGTTTCTGCTATCCGAAAAGGGGAAAATACATTGAACTATGAGAAAAGGATCGTATTAGAAAAAGTCAAAGTACGTGAAATTAAGAAGAAAATTGACTAACAGTAGCATTTTACTCCATGTGAAGTTTGTTCACAGGGTCGGATTATGTCGTAAAGTATAGGTTGTTTACTGATCGGGAGTCCGATCGCAAGAAGTTTCCTGCTCGATCGGGGAGTCAGTGAGCTCTGATAAGAGCTCCCGGTCGCAAAAGTTTGTTGGTGGATCGGGGAGACCATGAGCTCTGATTAGAGCTAACGATGGTAATGGGTTTATGGGTCGGTTGAGGAGGCAATGAGCTCTATGGAGAACTCCCGATCACAAAAGTTTGTTGGTCGCCATACCAATGCAGCTCCCAGTCTCCCATTCCTCAATGCGATCATGATTATAGACTTAAAAATGGACTGAGCTTAAAGTATACAGATAAAACAAAACGTGAATCAGAACTACGTAACATCCGTCTGTAAGCCCGTCCGTGCCTTCGATGATTCAAATATAATTCTTCACTTCAAAAGCGATTAAGAAACGGCAAAATCAATAAAAGCGAACTTCGTTTATTGAAGCGAACTACACAATTAAACTATTCAATTGAAGCAAACTACGTTTATCTACTTTTTAATGTTAAGCAGCATGGAAAGTTCTAAGCCACAATGGACCGCAATTTTAAAATGTAATTCCGCAACACAAAAATTCGCCAATCCCGAATCCCCAATCAGTCCTAACCCTTAACCTTACCAAATCCTCACTAACCTTACCAAATTTTGTTTTCATTGCTAACGTCTTTATCAAAAGTTCTTGTTTCTGCCTTCTTGACCCTTTAACCCCAACATCATCATGCGTATCCTACATACTGTTCTCTACACATTTCTTAGGTTCTAACATGAAGAATTTGTAAAACCATCGAGAGCTTCTTTAGTTGCTAGTTATTTCCTATATTCTCGAGACGAAAGCATTCGATTAATTGCGATAACTGCGTCATTTAACTTGCGGCTGATTACTTTCGCCTCCACCCAAATTTCGAAAAAAGCTATGCTCAGTTGAGTGATGTTGATATCTTTCTAAAAAAGATTTAAAGAACTTTCAGATTCAAAGAAAAGGTCGCAACCTGGAAAGTTTTGAAAGCCAGCCATCCACAAGTAGGCCCTGTCCAACAGGCCCTTTATGAATCGCCGCAACGAACCGCAACTTTAACTTGATTTCCGCATGTTCAAAAGATTGATAATCGCCAATCAGTCCCTACACTAAACTTTAACAAATCCACACTAAATTTTTATGGATATAGAAGTACATTAGACATAAATTCCACTTTCGGGTTTTTCACTTTTTCTATTTAATAGTTCAATTCAAAAATTGTAATCGAGCGTTGTTTTCCAACTGATGTGAATTTTGAAGCTGTCTTTCTGTTGTTTTCAACTTTTCTTGCCCCTACTGGGCTAAATTCATCTGCATATAAGGACGGCTGTTTACATATCAGTGTTGTTTGTCTAGTTTCGTTAGTTTCCTAACCCTGAATCATACCTTATTTGGAGATATTAATTAACTTCCTAATTACTGAAAAATCAACGGATTATTTGAGGACTGTTCTCAAAGTGATTTGCTCCTTGTTCTGTGAAAAATATTGTTTTTAAAGTCTTGCTTTTCCTTTGATGTTTACGCTTTGTTTTTCATCCTTAATTTTACTTGAGAACAACACCTTACTTGGAAATGAAAATCAACGTTACCCAGGAAACCTTCGCCTCCGACAACTCTTTACTTCAAGGTTGTTTTCCCATTTGAAAATGTGCCGACAAGGAGTTTCTATAACTGTTTTCGTACTGAACCGATTGATTTCTGGTGTTTTGCAATACTCTGTTGTGCTAATTTGTACTTAATTGCTCTGACCTAGCCCGCTTTCATCTCCAATTTTGTTATCAAGAGTTCTTATTTCCTCCTTCTTAAACCCTAACATCAATATCTATATTCTCCTTACTGTTCTCCATACATTTCCTAGGTCCTTATAAAGAGAATTTGTAAAACCATCGAGAGCTTCTTTAGTTGCTGGTTATTTTTTATGTTCTCGAGACTTAAACACTTAATTCATTGTGATACCTGCGTTATTTAACTTGCGGCTGATTAATTTCGCCTCCACCCAGTCTTTATTTCCTATCTAAGCAAAGCAAACTTGGAAAAACACCTTTCCAACTAAGAAAAAGCTGTGCTCAGTTCAATGCCGTTGAAATCTCTCTAAAAAAGATTTAAAAGAAGAACTTTCAGATCAAAATAAGCTTCGGAAAGTAGCCACCGTAGAAAGAGTTTAAAAGCTGACATTTCGAGCGTTAGCCCTTCGTCTGTTGCTTTGACGAAGAGCTAACGCTCAACAACTCTACGCCGCGCCCACGTACTTGGATATTTTTACTATTGGTTCCTAATCCTATTAGCAAAAGGAAGCTTTTAATTGGTGCGTTGTTGCTAGCAATAGGAATATAAATACCAAGTACTCCATATCCTTTGCCTATTTCATGAGAATTGATTACGAGACGTTTCGAGTCAACACTTCAATATTTTACCGAAGCTGTGGAAAATGAGTGCAACCGTAAAACATACATTTTCTACGTTTATGGAAAAGAAACGCCCAAAGAGAACGCGGAAATACGGACAATCAGATCCCGAGATGACAATACCAGAAGAGATATTTAAGTACCTTCCTAACGATGTGCAAGAGGCTATGTCTACACTGACGACTGAAAAACAGCACTCCCTATACCTGGATATTTTCAAACCTCTGGATTTCTACGAACTGTTGTTTAAGAGCTTCGAGCCACAAAATAAATGAACAGTTTGGAGAACTGACGAAGAATGGCCAGGCGAAGTGATTAAGTAACTAAGAATGTCCTCGGTGGATAAGTCTATGAACTACATCTTACCTCAAATATTCAATGCTGCACTTTTTCCATGACACTCATTAGAGTGCAGGAACTTTTTGATTTGCAAGAATATAGAAGTACGGTTTTTCAAAGCGGTAGTAATCCTTTCAAACTTCTCTAAACCCCTGCCTTTGTGTAACTGTAATATTCGAGTATCATAACGCTTATAGATTTTAAATAAAAATTTCTCGAACTTTTTAAAACATAGACCTTAACCGATGATACCTTTCTTTATCACTACGCCGGGATTTTTTCTTTGTCCTGTGCTCTTTTTAGAGAGATATCAAAAGTATTTAATTGAACATAGCCTTTTTCCACATTGGGAAGGATTTCCTTCATATTTGCTTCGCTTAGTTTTAACTGGAAAGTTAAATTGAATCAACTGAAAATCTTCGCTTAAACTACATTTCAAGGAAAAATAGAATTGTCAGAAACATGTTTTGAAGCTTCAATTAAATCAAGCATTGATTTTAATGTGAATTTACTCCGCGTAGAAGTTAGTTGAACGAAGTAAATTTTTTCTGTAAACCATTATTGAAATACAAAAAGAATTGTCAATATCAATTTGGGAAGGTCTGAGTTTAAGTAAACACATCGCCTAAAGTAGTAGCAGTTGTACTTTGTTTCCTTTTTGCCATGTAAAGTTTGCTTTGATTGATTTTGCCATTTTTTAATCGCTTTTGAAGGCACAGACGGGCTTACAGACGGACGTGCGTTATGACGTCATAGCCAAATTTTCTTGGCTTGATGTGTTACCAACTAAATTGGGATCTCTTATTAGAGTTCAACCAACAAACGTTTGTGATCGGTAGCTCTTATCGGAGCTCATTCTTTCCCCTATCGACCAACAAACCTTTTGCGACAGGAAGCTCTTATTAGAGCTCATTGACTGCCCGATCACCAAGAAAACTTCCTGCGATCGAGAGCCCTTATCAGAGCTATATGACTCTCTGAGCGACCAACAAACCTTTGTGATCCGAAGCTCTTTTTAGAGCTCAATGCCTCCCCAATCGACCAACAAACTTATTACGATCGGGAGCTCTTATCAGAGGTTATGGATTCGGCGATCGACCGACAAACTTTTCTGATCGGGAGCTCTTATCAGAGCTCATTGACTCCCTAATCGACCAAGACGAAAAACATATAAACAACCTTCATTTCATTTTCACTGTTAAGCAGCATGGAAAGTTCTTAGCCACAACGAACCGCAATTTTAAACGTATTTCCGCAGCACAAAAAATCGCCAATCCCCAATCTGTCCTAACCCTGAACCTTACCAAATCCCCACTAAATTCGCATGGACATGGAAGTTTATTAGACATAAATTTCACAATTTCAGGCTTTTCAAGCTCTATTTCTCTATTTCAATTTAAAATTGAAATCGAGCATTGCTTTGTAACAAATGTGAATTTTGAAGATGTCTCTGTGTTGTTTCTCATTTTTTTTGGCCCCTCCCAGGATCATCTGCAAGAAAGGACGGCTGTTTACATGTCAGTGTTGTGTGTCAAGTCCCGCTAGTTCCTGGACCATACCTTATTTGGAGATACTAATTAGCTTCCTAATTATTGAAAAATCAACGGATTATTTGCGAACTGTTTTCAACGTTTACTTTTCCTTTGATGTTTACGCTTTGTTTTTCACCTTTAGAATCATTTTGGAATAATACCTTATTTGAAAATAAAAATCAATGTCACTAAGGAACTCTACGCCTCCGCCCACTCTTTACTTCAAGGTTGTTTTCCAATTAGTAAATGTGCTGAAAAGGAGTTCCCACAATCGGAAGCGGGGAATAAGATATTCCGAGTCCTACGCCTACTTTTCTTGCCCTCCTGGGCTAATTTCATCTGCATATAAGGACGGCTGTTTACATGCCAAGCGTTGTTTGTCAAGTCTCGTTAGTTTTCTGGTCCATACCTTATTTGGGGATACTAATTAACTTTCTAAGTGTTGAAAAAACAACGGATTATTTGAGAACTGCTTTCAAGCGTGATTTGATCACCCTACAACTCTACGCCAAGCCTAATACTTGGATATTTTCAGTATTCGCTCTCAATCCTATCAGCAAAAGAAAGCTTTTGATTGGTGCGTTGGTGGTAGCAATAGGAATATAAATACCCAGTACTCCATATCCTTTGCCAATTTCATGAGAATTGATTACGAGACATTTCGAGCCAACACTAAAGTTGTGGAAAATGAGTTCAACCGCAGAACATACATTTTCTAAGTTAATGGAGAAGAAACGCCCAAAGAGAACGCGGAAATACGGACAATCAGATCCCGAGATGACAACATCGGAAGAGATATTTAAGTATCTTCCTAGCGATGTGCAAGAGGCTATGTCTACACTGACGACTGAAAAACAGCACTCCCTATACCTGGATATTTTCAAACCTCTGGATTTTTACGAACTGTTGTTTCAGCGCTTCGAGCCACAAAACAAATGAACAGTTAAGCGAGCTGACGAGGAATGGCTTGTTAAGCCAGGCGAAGTGATTACATAACTGAGATTATCATCAATGGACAAGTTTATGCGTTAAATTAAGCTCATATTCATTATTGTACTTTTTCCTTATTGATTAAGAGTGTTCTGTTGTTTGAGGCATAAAATAAATGAACAGTTTGGCGAACTGATGAGGAATGGCTTGTTAAGCCAGGCGAAGTAATTACGCAACTGAGATTATCATCAATGGACAAGTCTATGCGTTACATTTAAGCTCAGGTTCATTATTGTACTTTTTCCTTAATACTTAAGAGTGGACTGAGCGCTCGCTCACTAAAAATATGGCTGTACTGCAGTCAACACTTCTCTACAACCTAGAAAATTCGTCAATAAAACTAATTATTTGTACTTAGACCTCGTATAGCCTCTGACACTCGACTACAAAACTAATGCACTCGAGGAAGTAGTCTAATATCCCATTCACACCAGCAAAGCAAGTTTAGTTTAACCAGGTTTACCTAAATGAAAATCAGCCACAGAATAGTGAAAAACTGAATTTTCCATAAGTCAAGTAATCGTAAACTTGTACTTTCAAAGTGCCAAATTGGAACTTTAAAAAGTTCCTAAGAAGTTCAACAAAACAGCTTTAACCATGTTTAGGTCATAAGAGAAGGTATAATCACAGCCATTAAGAGTAACAGTCTTCTTAATCTTAAAGTCGCAAACACCTCAAGAACTACGTTACACCGGATGCCTTAGCCACAGTCTCATTCACATATTAACCCCGTTCATTCCTTTCACATTGACTGCTAGAAGATCGTTTTTTTTTTGTTTTTTTTTCAGGCAGGGGCCAAAATTTCACTGGTTCTAAAATTAAAATAGGTACCTAATAAGTACATGTATGCTATCTCGTATTTAATAAGTACGAATGAAATGATAATCTTCTACAATCAATTGTATTGAGTTCTGGGTGTTTCGTTGCTGAATTTTAACAAATTTCTTTTCCATTACACAACAACAAACCAAAATGCGCGCAGTTTGATTAAAAATCATATACAACCTGGAAATTTCAGTAATTTCGAACAAATTAGATGTCTTATGAAAGGCACAACCCACTACAATGGGTAATTAAGAAGGCTGAAAAAATGGGAAACAACTTAAACACAAACTCTAGAGGAATATTGCAGTGATTAAGCACATATAAGACGAGGCGATAAACACAATAGAGTATTGAAAAAATAAAAAAACAAACAAACAAACAAAAATAAAACAGCCTTCATGTCAAAATTACGGCTATTAAAATCATAAGACTGCACTGACTACAGGAGGCACTTATAAACATAAAATCAAGCTTTCGGAGTTAAAGGTGACTAGAAAGTAACAATTCGGTAACTTAATTCGCGCCAAAGCATGTAAATTACTTTGAAAATGAAACAAGTGCTTTCAAAATTTCCTTCGTGTTACCTTATTCACCTTGTGGGACTAAGTACGTACGTACTCAGTGTTATCTTCGCCCGCTGTTACAATTCCCTTCTACTTCCTTTTATCCTCAAAAACTGCACATTTTGGGAATGCATTGAACGTCCCTTTGTTACCAATTACTCTAGGCATCACTGACTGTAGATTTTATCCATGTTTCTGATCTTTCTATCATTCCCTTATATGGGATATAAATTTCAGAATTATTACATCCTACCTCACGTGCCGCACAGCCTGATGCTTATTTGTGCGGAACCTGACGCTCACGCGCGTATAAGCTGTCTCGCGCGATCGTCCCGTGCGCAAGCTGCAAAGCGTGCGTATTCGAAGTTCTCCTCTCTGACAAATGTTTCAAGTATCAAAAAAAAAAAAGAACGATAAATACAATGATTTCTAATCTTCACCAAATTTCCATTTTGTAAATGTAATACACTGCCTGCAACCAATTCTTTGTAGCTAATTACTGTAACCTCTGCTTTAAGTATTTTTAAAATTTTTTCATTATGCGATCTCCACTCAATTTCTATTTCTTCATCAACCTTTATAAAGCTATTTCAGTATTCGCCGATCACTCATTTTGAGAGCGTTTTGTGAGTTTGCTGTGTCAAATGCGTTATTTCATTTTCAGTTAATATCCCTTCGATATACTTCTGATTACAGAGACCTTCCGCGCATAATTATTGCCGTGTTGTTTTCCAAGTTTCCAACTTGTTCATACCACTCTTGCAGTCAAACGTTTGATTTGAGTTTTTTCAGTGCCGTTGAGCTAACTGCGTAATTTTATTTATTCTTCATTACTGTAACCTCCGTCAAATCTTTATTTCAAGGTTTTTTCTAATCTTTTATTGTGTTGATTCAGATTTTTAATTACAGCTTTCATAACCAAACAATTATTTTGAGTTCGTTTTGTGATGTTCTATTCTGCTGGCTGTTAAGTCAATTTGTAATAAATTACTGCGACCTAAGACCAATCTTCCTCTCATTTTTTTTTATTATTCAAACCGTGTTTATCAAGATTTCTAATTACAATTTTTGTAGCCAAAAGAATAAAATTTAAAATGTTCTGCCATGTTCCATTCTGCTGGCTGCGTAAGAGAACTTGTAATAAAACACTGCGAGGAAGTCAAATCTTTACTTTATTTCTTTACTTTTTTTATTCAAACTGTGTTTATCACGACTTCTTAATACAGCTTTCGCAACCAAACATTTAATTTGAGAATGTTTTGCAATGTTGTTACCGCGCAATTAATTACCGCGACCAACGCCCAATCATTAATTCAAATTTTTTCTTTATTTGAACCCTGTTTATCAAGAGTTCTAATTACTGCCCTCGTAACGATACGACCGATTTGAGATGTCTGTTGTGGTAACAGCGTCATTTAAATTGCGGCTAATTGCTGTCGCCTCCACCCATTCTTTATTTCAAGGTTGTTTTTCAATTTGAAAAAGTACCGAACGTAAGTTCCAGGAACTGTTCTCGTACCGAAACGACTAATTTGGGAATGTTTTGCAATGTTGTTACCTCGCAATTTATTACCGCGACCAACGCCCAATCATTAATTCAAATTTTTTCTTTATTTGAACCCTGTTTATCAAGAGTTCTAATTACTGCCCTCGTAACGATACGACTGATTTGAGATGTCTGTTGTGGTAATAACGTCTTTAAATTGCGACTAATTGCTGTCACCTCCACCCATTCTTTATTTCAAGGTTGTTTTTCAATTTGGAAAAGTACCGAACGTAAGTTCCAGGAACTGTTCTCGTACCGAAACGACTAATTTGAGAATGTTTTGCAATGTTGTTACCTCGCAATTAATTACCGCGACCAACGCCCAATCATTAATTCAAATTTTTTCTTTATTTGAACCCTGTTTATCAAGAGTTCTAATTACTGCCCTCGTAACGATACGACTGATTTGAGATGTCTGTTGTGGTAATAACGTCATTTAAATTGCGACTAATTGCCGTCGCCTCCACCCATTCTTTATTTCAAGGTTGTTTTTCAATTTGAAAAAGTACCGAACGTACGTTCCAGGAACTGTTATCGTACGGAAACGACAAATTTGAGAATGTTTTGCAATGTTTTGTGGTGCCAACTGCGTCATTTAACTCGTTTTCACATTACTCTGACCGGCGGCCAATGTTTAATTTACGATTGTTTTTCAACCTGAAATTTTGTTGCAGTTCCAATAACTGCTCAAGCACAGAAATAATTAATTCGATATGTTTTACAATGTTTTGTTGTGCTAACTGCGTCATTTAATTTGTACTTAATTACTTTGTCCTACGCTCAGTCTGTTTCAAAGTCGTGTTTTTCATTTCCACGGCGATTATCGAGAGTCCTAATTCCAATAACTGTTCTAGCACCTAGCAACTAATTTGTGATGTTTCGCAATGTTTTGTTGTGCTACCTACATCTGTCTCTAATTTGTACTTAATTACAACGAATTAATCTGACCTACGCCCACTTTTATTTTTTTGAAAGTTTTTTTTCCATTTCCAACGTCTTTATCAAGAGTTCTCATTTCCACTCTAACATCATTAGACACATTCTCCATACTGTTCTTTATACATTTTCTAGGTTCTAACAAGGAGAATTTGAAAACCCATCAAGAGCCTGGTTGGTTTTTGATCATTTCTTTTAATTCTCTTAACTTAAACATTTGATTCAGGGGTTAGATTGTGAGGAGAAATTAGAACCTTGTCACTCGTAGGCATTAAACTGTTAAACGAACGCTTCATTTGAGAATTTTTAACAGTGTGGTCTATGGTGCTCACTTTGTCATTCAATTTCTCGTTTCTTGGGGTGACCTCGGCCCAGTCCTAATTTGAAGGTTGTTTTCCAATTTACTTTGTGTTGAATCATAGTTCTACATACTGTTCTCGTACAGCAACTACTAACTTGCGAGTTTTTTTGCAATTTTCTGTTACGTTAACTACGTAAATAACTTTATTTTCTATCACTCTGATCTACGCCCAGTCCTTAGTTAAAGGTGGTTTTTTAATTTACATTGGGTTGAACCACAGTTCTAATTACTCTTCTCGTGGCGAAATGTCTAATTTGCGAGTGTTTTTCAATGTTCTAATGTGGTGACTACGTTATTCACTTCGTTTTTAATTACTCTGACCAACGTCCAGATCTTATTTTCAACGTTGTTTTGTTTTTTTCCCTTTCCAGAGTGTTTAGCAAGAGTTCCTATTTCCGCCATCTTAACTTAACGGCTAATTTCAGTTTGGCCGATCAACGCCCTGTCATTATTTCAAGGTTGTTTTTCAATTTGTTTTTCACTCTGTGTTTAACAGTAGTTCTAATCTGTGCTCTGATAACCAAACGTCTAATTTGGTGTTCTGTAATATTATATCGTGCTCACCGCCAGAGTTAATTTTTCCCTAATTCTAGTGATTTAGGCCCAAGGTTGATTAAAAATTAATTAATGATTGATTAAAATTAATAAAATTAATAAAGCTCTTACCCGTGTGCAGAGAAGATGAGTAGACGTGGCCTAGCCTGCTTAGCAGTGTTTTATTTGCTAACTGCGCGAGTTGAGTTGTAGTTTATTTGTGTAACCTCTCCCTCATCTATATGGTAGCGTTGTTATTGAGCATTACGTCCATTAAGTAAATTGCCGTTTTCTTTACGGACTGTCCATTTTGAGAACCGTTCTATATTGGTTGATGCGTAGTTTTGAGAATGTTTCGCAATAGTTTTGCCACTACCGACGTCATTTAATTTGCTCTCATCTTCTGCAATGTTGTAGCGCTATTTTGACATGTAGTTAAGTTAAATAGCGTGAAGTTCCCATAAGACTTTCTCATAAATAGCGTAAAGTTTCTCATAAGACCTCTCTCTGACAGTCTCCACTCCCGGGTTAGGAGTATAAAGTTTCTCATAAGAACCCTCCGTGACAAAATTAAACACAAAAATAATAAAACAAATCTCACGATGAATTTCCCCGTCATTACGACAAAACTTTTTTCATAGCCTGGCTAACGTGTCATACCTTGCGCAAGCATTTCCAAGTCTTCGCACAGCCTGAGCACTTTCATGGCTTTCTTGTCTGTCTCAAGAGGTAGATGCTCAATGTACTCCTCAAGGTGTGCCCTACAACAGTAATAATCGAAATAGTAATAAAGATAATGATAATAATAGGGGTTAGTAAAGTGCTTTCGATCTAGCCTAAGAATGGATACTTTTGTCTTAGCATAACAAAATCCAGCTTATAGTTAAGCTCAGCTCAGTTTGTCTTTACACCCAACTAGTATCTGGGAGGCCTGGGCTCGAATCGCGTCGAAGCCGGAATTTCCCCAGACTCCTTTTCTACAATTGCTAAACTGCAGCTCTCTTGCGAGGATCACTGCTTAACCCTTTAACTCCCATGAGTGACCAAGACAGAATTTCTCCTTGCAATATATATACAATATCAAGCATGGAAGTAATGAGAACAAAGAAAAATATCTGTCGAGGGATTATTAGTTGATCTACTACCAAATTCTCTGAACTAACATCACATGGACTGTATGGCAGACGGTAAGGAGAATTACTAATGAGATCTTGGGAGTGACAGGGTTAATTTGATTTTAATCCGCAGGTCAAATGAAATCTATTTCTTTCCAAATTGAATAAGTGTGTTTTAAATGAATTACAAAGCAACGAAAATTATCTGGAGCACTTTACGAAAACCAAACGAAAATAAATCTGATTAAGAAGCTCACCTTCCGTAAACCGGACACTGCAGAAGGTAGTCCACTGCAACTCTCCAAAGGCTTCAAAAAAGACAATAATTTAGAGTTTTGACTTCACACAAAGCATCTATATTCTTGTACTTAGTTCGTTAAAAATTGCACGTTGGGGGCTACCATGCTGCTTATGGAAAACAACCCATGGCTCAATCTTTAACAGAGTGACTAGCATCTAATTTTTCTTTACAATATAACCTCTGAATCAAATTAAACCCAAGAGAACAAAGAATATGATCACTACCTGGAGGGGCCCTTGATCGTTTAAAGAATTTCTCCTTGTTAATACTGCAGGAAATGCGAAGAGAAAAGTGCGGAGAAAATGCATACTTATGTTAAATGTCAAACAAAATGTATTTTGAACGTGCCGATTAGAAAATTGGATAGTGAAGGGTTTCAAACCCGGTAACCGGCGGTCTATCGCCGTCTATAAGATCTCCTAACACCATCTGCTTAGCCTACGAACAGGTCCTCGTGTTTGGGCTTCGCCTAACAGCTCCTTTTTTCGGAGACAGCCTCCTAATACACCACTGATAGCCACTTATGGAATAAGTTATTGAAACCCCTATGACTGGTGAACAACTCATTTTGCACAGTACTTGAAAACATAAAAATTTCTCCAGCAAAACCAGGAGAGTTCTTTTTTTCCTCTTAGAGGTCAAATTTAATTCGTGTCTCACCTGTGATGCGACATGAGGCTGGCGGAATACTCTAGGAGTAGGAACTCTCTCAGACTGATACTGTGGCTGAAAAATTTCCAGAAATATTTGAAGAAATTAGTACAGGTAATCGCATGGGGCCGAGTAAAATTAATCAAGGGCTCCTTAGAGCGACCTCATGTATGTCTCAGTTATTCAGTTAATTGGTGAGAATTTTGACCATTTGCCATCTCCCTTGAATTTTGCGTGAAGTACCCTCAAATGACCAGTTGATTAAGCTATAATTATGCTTAATAACAACAGACACAAAAAGAAGTTTCAAGACAACGTTTACTGATTGAATTCAGATAAATTGAGAGCTAAAGCGCAAAAAAAAATGTCGGAGAGTGATTGCCGAATAGAGCTGAAAATTCAATCTGCGCCCAAGAAAATGATACAGTTTCAACGCGCGTTAAATTCTGACTAATTGGCACAGGTAACAACATGAATTCGAGAGCACTTTGGTGGTAATAAGCACGAGTAAATCAAAAAACAAAAACCACGAAAAATTATGTTGTTATTTGTTAATAAAAGATATGAAAAACGCATCACAGAAAGTCAAGACGGACGAAATTTTGGCTGCACTGTAATTTGCACTCGTGTTACAACTTTGCACTCGTGACGTAACTTTGTACCCGTGTTACATGAAAATGCACTTGATTTCAGCCAATCAGAAGCGCGTAACTTTTTCATGTATATCATTACAAACGAAACTAGGAGCAAAATGGCTCACAAAGTAAATATGTGACTAAAAGAAAGCTCAAATCCAACGAAATCTGTAAAACCTTGAAACATGGTAATCAGCTGCTAAATATGGCCAAACGACAGCCCAACAGATAAGCGAAAATCAACTTGAAGACAAGAATTAAAATCGCTTACGCGCCGCGACAATATAGTTCCATATCGATGGGACTGTTGTCAACGTCGACTTTAGGACTTTGAGGCCCCCTTTCTTTCTAGGTGAGTATTCTTTCACGCATTTCCTCTTCGTCTGTGAGGTTTAAAATGTTGTTTTTTGATCGAGGATGGAGCAAAAGGAAGGAAAAGCAACCTCGATAATTTTAGTCTACGGACACCATTTTGAATTATGTTGAACACTCCATGTAATCAGGGAGTTCCACCTCTGTCTGACTATACGTCATACGATGAAGTAAAAATCAAAATCGCGCGTATTATCTGCAACTTGTGCGCAGATCTTCTTATCCCCAAACTTTTCAAATGTACAATACAAGGATTAGATTAAACTTGAAAGCTACATTTCGGTGAAGTGAACTCACTTAAATTTGCCCGTCATTCAAACCTTTAGTTTGGTAACTCAGTTGAGTTCAAACCCCTGTTAAATCCTTCTCTCTGTTTCTGGAAGCTTTCGGCACTTTACAATTACCCACAGGCTTAATGTGACTTGTTATACCACAGGCAGCCCAAGCTCCGGCTGTGAGATAATCATCTGGCGAAATTATAAGGGTTTGTATAGGAATATTTACGACCGCTCTTGAGAATAAAAAAATACAGTCAAATTCTCAATAAAAATACCTCACCGTACTTCTACAGTGCATCGCTTGTTGTCTGACCGCTTACTATGTTGAAAAGAACCTATTTTAGCGAGTAATCCATCTCTAGGTTTACTACATAAGAGAAGCCCAGGGCTGCACACTCCATTTCCGAACGCCCGATCCGAAAGGAAAAAATCCAAGTCCAAAATGACCGGACGACCAAAAATCTAACGCAGAATCCTAGCACATATACTGTAGTTTCATTACAAACTCGATCTTCCCCGAGGAACCGACGCCGAGCCACAGTTTGCTTCAAAAATTTCCAGTTTAGACGTTTCTCACGGCCCGCGTACACTTTTCTCACCGGGAACACATCAGTAAATTGTTTAAAACCACGAGTGCCAAGTTCAACATAGTAAGCGGTCAGACAACAAGCGATACACTGTGGAAGTAAAATGAGGTATTTTTATAGAGAATTTGACTGTATTTGCTACTCCTGGGAGCGCTCGTATATTCCTATCCAAACTCTTATAATTTCGCCATGACTCTTCTTTCGCTAGATTATTATCTCACAGCTGGAGCTTGGGCCGTCTGTGGTTATACACTACCTTTCGTGAGGAAATTACAAATGTCTCTTCAAACCTGATGGGAGGCGAATCCAACTGTCCACAATGATGAAGTAAGTCAGTCAGATGGGCAACAAACCACCAGTTTCCAAGAGCCTCGCTGAAAGATTCGACAACCAATAACAACGTTAATTGGATTTTTTTTTAACTTATCGTCTATATCGTAACGATCGTTACCTCCACAAAGTCGTGTTAAAATTTGTCTCGTACAACATGGAGTAAAACTCGACATTAAAATCGGCGTTAAAAATTAGCTTGTTACATCTTCAGAGCCGAAAAAACTGTCAGCCAGCAAAAACACAGGTCTACTGCCGTCTGTTTAGCCTGCGAGCAGGCTCGTGTTTGGGTTTCGCCTCACAGTCATTTTTCCAGCTACAGCCGCCCATTACTCTTGAGGAAAAAGGTATATGAAACCCCTGAAATCTTATCCAGAAAGAGCAGTGCTGGATTAAATAACTTCCATTAAGAAAGGCACACTCTTTCATAACCAAAGTAAACAGTGGATCTGTGAAAAATACCTGCTTTCCTTGATCACAGCGTAGACATCAAATTCAAAAGCTGAGAGCAGAATTCTGTCTAAACTGCGCAAACTTCCACTTCCTCCAAACATGTCGATGCAGGCCTAAAACGGATCAAGATAAAACCTTTTATTTGCCAAAGGTGAAAACAAAGATCATGTACGTTCTTGCTGTAGCTTAGCTATCAGTTTTATATCAGTTTTTTTCTATTAGTTTTTCGCAGGGGGGATAACGATTTATCCGGTGGACAGCGTTGTCCGCACCTTCGAACAACTAAGCACTGTAGTTTACCTGTGTGTGGTACTGTAAGTCATAAGACTTGACTGCTGGATTACAGTACAACAGTTTGGCTACAAGAAGTTCGTACCAGTTTTTGCAGTATTCTCTAGAACTAAACAAAAGCAAGAAAAAATACTCAGCGTGATTGTAAAATTACGGATGCAATGGTTTGTGCGTGGAAGCGTTTGGGAGAAGGGTAGGCTTTCGATATTGTTGTATGGAATGAAAATCTTGCAGGCTGTAGATTTTCTTGGATTTTAAAAAATCAGTTCCATAATTTATTACTCCTAAACCCTTTATTCTAGGATTTGAAACCTAATTTTCTTACTTGAAATCCCACATTCGCTGCTGGCTGCATGTTTGTGAAAATTTGAAGTTACATCAAGACAATCTCCACATATTCACACCCTGAATGTAGAATCTTCTTAATTTGTACATCTTTACATTTCATGTTACAACAGTGATGAAGGCAAACTTGAAAAAAAACTGAAAAGTTAAATCTGTTCCTGCACTTGTAACTTACATCATTTCATCAAATATTTGTTCTTTGCCACAAAGTATCTGAAAAGATACAAGACAAAATAGAAATCAAACATTTTGTGCATGGTGTCAGTGGCATAGCTATCATTCACTGAAATCAACTGAGCCACTACAGTTAGTAAATATTTTGTTGTTTGGAGGTAAACAGTTATGGAAGAACACTTGTATACTAAAGCAACAGATTTTGGGCTGCATGGGCTGGTACTATTTTAGTTAATCTCAGTAAATGAAAACTCTGATAAAGAATTTCTCTCAGGTTGTTGAAGCATCAATCACTTCTTCTTAAAACAAACCCACACCAGCACAGCCATAAAATTTTTTCAGAACTCACCTGCACAATCATACCACAAAATTGCCTAAATGTAAATAAGCCTCCATCATAATAAGTTTTCCAACATTGCATTTTAAACCTTTAGCTTCCATGAGACCAAGAGAGAATTTCTCCTTACAGTATCAATACAAAATCACAAAGAGAAGAAAAGAGAAGAAAGAAACAAATAAATTAACCGATGATTAGTTGATCCATCACAAAATTCTCCAAACTAAAATCATAAGAATAGTAAGGAGTATTACTAAAGAGACCTTGGGAGGTAGAAGAGTCAAAGCATTCCAGTGTATATCCTACCCCCTGTGTCATCTTTGCTTGTTGCCATTGTCTACCTTATTACAATCACAGGGAAGTGAACCTTCCTCCTATTAGTACCCCCTACCTGACAAATTTTTTGCAAGTGTTCATTTCCAGCATATGTTCCATTATCTAGACAATGTTTACACTCTTGCTGCCAGTGACTCCATTTCATGGTGAACTCTGCTAAGCTCTGTCCCATGTACAACTAGGGAAGAATAACAGAAACAGATGTGACATGCAATGAACAAAGAGCAATAGGGGATCAGATACAACAGAGCCCATTGTTAGAATTTTGTTAAAATATACATCCTCTACCTTAAAACACTTAATAGGTGATGATATCATCTAGTACTCAACCCCTTTGAAACCCTAGAGTGACTCATTCCTCCTCACAATATCATCTAGTACTCAAACCCTTTGACACCCTAGAGTGACTCATTCCTCCTCACAATATCACCTAGTACTCAACCCCTTTGACATCCTAGAGTGACTCATTCCTCCTCACAATATCATCTAGTACTCAACCCCTTTGACACCCTAGAGTGACTCATTCCTCCTCACAATATCACCTAGTACTCAACCCCTTTGACATCCTAGAGTGACTCATTCCTCCTCACAATATCATCTAGTACTCAACCCCTTTGACATCCTAGAGTGACTCATTCCTCCTCACAATATCATCTAGTACTCAACCCCTTTGACATCCTAGAGTGACTCATTCCTCCTCACAATATCATCTAGTACTCAACCCCTTTGAAACCCTAGAGTGACTCATTCCTCCTCACAATATCACCTAGTACTCAACCCCTTTGACACCCTAGAGTGACTCATTCCTCATCACAATATCACCTAGTACTCAACCCCTTTGACACCCTAGAGTGACTCATTCCTCATCACAATATCACCTAGTACTCAACCCCTTTGACACCCTAGAGTGACTCATTCCTCATCACAATATCCTCAACCCCTTTGACACCCTAGAGTGACTCATTCCTCCTCACAATATCACCTAGTACTCAACCCCTTTGACACCCTAGAGTGACTCATTCCTCATCACAATATCACCTAGTACTCAACCCCTTTGACACCCTAGAGTGACTCATTCCTCCTCACAATATCACCTAGCACTCAACCCCTTTGACACCCTAGAGTGACTCATTCTTCCTCACAATATCACCCTCGAATGATACATTAAGTTCACAAGAATAAAGGCCATGATCACCAATTCAAGAAGGTCTTGATTGTTCAACAAATTCTCCTTGTCGGCAACTTAAGGAATGTATAGAGAAAAGTATGGAGAATATGCATACTGATGTTAGGGTGTAAAGGGTTGAGTAATATATTAAAGTTCACATGGCAACTAGGTGGACAATCAGACATGGTTTGATGCTACTCTGGTTTACAGATTTAAGGACCTCTTGTTGCAGTGTTTAGATCACCCCTGATGAAGGCACTAAACAGGAGTGTCGAAACATTGGGTCTATGAATTGTAACTTCTTTGGTTACATTCATTAAATCTGTAAACCAGAGTAGCATCAAACCATGTCTAGTTGAGTAATAGTCTGCATTTCCTATCAGTTTACCACAGTGACTGTAATAACTCAAAAGCAATGTTAGGAGAACACAAGGAAAGTTTGTGCGCCACAAACCAAACATGACTGATGTACAGAGTTCCTGAGTGTTCTTTGATTTCTAGTAAATTGATGGCAAGAAATTTACACTCAGTTATCACTTAATTGTGTATATTTTGCATTTACATACCTGATACATGGGCATTTTATGAAGAAGTTCATCCATGCTTGCAAACGCCTGGAAAAAAGCAAAAAATGTATAATTGCAGAACTGTACACACCCAACTCATAACAACAAAGCCAATCAATAATTATTAATTAAATTATAGTTCATTTCCTAATTTCCTTACTGTCAGATTAATTGATTGATGGCCTTAAATGCAGTGACTGATTGATTTACTAATTGATTAATGGCCTGAATGAGTCATTGCAAAGAAATGACAACAACGCACCACATTTCATGCAAGTCCAAAACTGGAGTAAGTAAATGAGAGATTAATTGTATGATGCACTTGGAATATGAACTTCATACACAGCGTCAGCTATCATCAAGTTCTCTGTGGCTCAGTGGTAAAGAATTGAACCAGAAAAACACACAACTGTAAGGTTCATATCCTTGTGGGAAATTCAGATTTTTTTCTATCATTCATCACCTATGACAAATAAATAATATCTTTTCTAATTTATTCCATCACCAAGCCCAAAGTTCACCATTTTTTTTTTTATCTAAATGTATTTATACAACATTCATAAGGGTAAATATCAAGTAACACTATGACTAACTGTCAAAAAGCCTCTATTTTTATTTCTGGTTGGTAACAAAAAGCCTTTCTAATCATCCAAGACCAAGATTATATTTCCTTCTCAGACTCTATGTCCTTGGAAACAAGAGAGGTAAGATTTCTTCAATGTATGGACAAATATACTAACATCATATTTTCCTGCTTGTCTGTCAGGATGCTGAGCAAGCAGTTCACACACATCATTAACACGACCTTGGAGAACCAAACAGTAGATCTGAGGGGAAAGCAGAAGGCCTTATTTGTAAAATCCCAGCAACAAATGGAATTTAAATGAATGAGCATTACCCTGGTTAAAAAAGAAAACACATTACTTACAGCTGGCCAGTATGAAGGGCTATTATAAGGCTGCAGATGCTGTAGTACCTCTTTAATATACCTCTCTGCATGTCCATTTTGAACCCATTCCAACAAATAATGCAAAACAGCCCCTCCTGAAGGAGAATTTCCAAATATTTGTCACGCTATTAACAACAGTTGTACAGTATGAAATCAATGCAACAGATCAAAACTCAGGACTCAGAACTGTTTATTCTTAACTTCTAGTTTCATGACATTAGCTATGCCTTGGTTCAAAGAAAGATGGGGCAAATTGTTTTTCCCTTTCATTTGACCATTGGACAAGCATGTTCCAGTGTTTAATTAAAGGAACATAATATCTATTTGTTGGGTAACTCGTGGGCTGATTTAACACCCTTTTTATTCATTCTTGGGGTTGCTCCAACATAATCTTTGCAGAAATTGGAAAATTCTCTTTGCACTGTTCTCCATTACTCTTCACACTCATCAAAGGTTTGTTCTTGACTGCAATTCAGACTGGAGGATGCAATACTTCTCTCATCATAGGGAGCAATTTTGACAACAACACAACTCCACTCATCCAAAAGCAATTTTGTTCTTTTGTAATCATGCAAATCTTTGGATGCTATTTTATTTGTTTGTTTTCTCCCTAGGCTACAACATTTGATTCTGAGACAAGAGTGCATAGTCTTGCATTCATGTCATAGTGTCAAAGATAGTGTGGCAAAAATTGGGAAGAAGTGTTTTTCTAAGCAATGAGTTAATGAAAAACCACTAGTCTCAAATCATAATTCAGTATCAGCATGATGAAATGTAAATCTTCAGGTGTTGAACTTGGGTAATTCACTTTCAATCTGTTTTAGATACTAGTTTTAAATAAAGTTGAATTTTCATGTACTCCACAGACAGCTGCTCCCCACACACATCTTGACCTAGCTTGAAGCTGTTTCATTATGCAACAGTTTTCACAAAACTGTTGCATAATGCAAAACGTGTCAAGTCTCTTTCTTGTAGCTTGTTCTACAATTCTTTTGCAAGCAAACATAATGCACTTGAAAGGGAGAGACCCTTCCAGGCCTTTACTTCAGTCACCATTTAATCCTTACATTCTGTTTTACAGCTACAGGTCTTCTCTTACCTGGCAACGTTTCAATAAAAAGTATCTCACACAGATGCCAGACAGTCTCTATAAGTGTTAACAGTTGCTTCTGGAAAGCAAAAAAGACAATCCAACTACTTACTAACAAAACACAAACAAAATGAATAGTAAGGTTAGGGAAATTATGCTAAAAGGTTGTCATAAACCAAGTTGTTTCAAAGGAAACACCATAATTATTGTTTACGGTTTGATAACATGATCTGAATCAGCATAGACTCTTATGATTCAATTTCTCCCACAGCTTCTTTGCTTTCATTTTGATTTAAAGTGCATAGAGTCTTCAGTCTTATCTCTCTGCTTGAGGAAATGTAATGAAATGCTGTCTCTATAGTTTGATATACTTGTACAATATTTACATGATGCAAATGAAACCAAACTAACCGTATTTAAAAGTACATTGTAACACTACAGGTATGCACATACTTGTGAAGCAGATGGAGGAACTTTGAATCTTAAATCACCCAGAGGTTCATTAGCATCTTAAAAATAAAGTGAAGATTGTTTAATTGACTTTCACATACACTAGAGTGAGCATAAGTAATAGAGAGTTTTCATTGGGAAAAACCCAAACCTCCTATCCACACAATGATGACTCTGAACAAAAATAGATTAAAAAATGTTCACTTAGTTAACAAAAAGCTAGTCAAAAAGCAGTTACTGTCAAACTGAACCTGGTAACACAACAAAAAAGACCGGCTGAATTTCTTTTCAAGTGCACTACATCTAAATCCAGTGAGTACCAAGAGTGATATACACTAATCAAAGAGTAGGCATTGTTTATTTCTTTCCTAACATTAGTTTTCAGCAGCAAACAACAATGAACATACCAGACTTTTCTTCCAGATCCAAGATGCATGCTCTTACTACACTTCTGTATCTTCTACTGAACTTTATCAAGCTGTGAAAATAAAAAAAAATTGTTAAAGTACATATTAATTACAAATACTTGAAATTTTCAAACATGAAAAAGAGCTTTTCATCTTGGAAGTTCACGAAGTCTCAGTAATTGACAAGTTTGTGAATTCTTTCTATTAAAATTTTAAGCTAAGATTAATATACAAGGAAATGTTACATCATGCTTCTGCTTGAATACCAATAAAGGCAATGTGATCCAACTTGAACATTTCCAGTATCAGTATAATTTGTTATTGCAGTCTTGCAGCCAAGAAATTTGGCTGCTTCCTGAAATTTTTAAAAAGGAAGCTCAAAGATTGTCTTTTGCCCCCTTTCTGGCGGTCCTTTACAGAGAAAATTGCTAGCAAAAAATTCAGCTGGCAATCCATGCTTTTCATGCGACAAAATTTTGCTGGAAGCTTGCGCACAACCCTGGAAATCTACTCCAAAAAAAAAACTGCAACCATCTAAATTTGGCAGCCATGGAAAGAAGGAAACAATTTTGAACAGGTGGATTTGCAGTAAAAGTTGCCAATTTAGAGGTCTGTGGTTGATGTTCTAGTGGCAAGCATTAACATTTAAGTTAGACTAATACTTGAATCTAACACTAAGAAACTGTGGTGCTGCATCCATAGGGGAGTATAACAGGATAACTTTGGTTTTATCAACTGAGTTGATAATGAAAATTGTCCACTGAAAGTTTCAAAGCTGACATTTCAAGTGTTAGTCCTTTAACTCAGTTGATAAAACCAAATTTACCTTAATATAATTATATTTCTAGCCACCATTTTATAACTGAACAGATTTAGGCTTTCGGCATTCAGAAAGTTTAGTTCACTCAGTCAGTTGTACCTTGCCTTTCTCCCTGTTCCTCCAGAATCAGGAACATGCTGAAGATCCATAAAAATGGCTAGGATACAAATAAATATGACAAAATTAATATGACAAAATTATTCCATGCTCACACACTTTGGCTTTCCTTTGATATCTTTGATTGCTCTAGGGTCTATGCGGTATATCAACTTTTTCTAGACACAGTAATTACCTAAAACAAGTGCAGTTCATTTAGATTTTTGTTATTCTGAACCCAATCATTTCACTCAACATCTATACTATAATTCAGGACATGTTTAATCATATAACTCCTTAAATTCCTCAATTAAACCTAAATTAATTGCAATTTAAAAAATATACCAGATTCAATTATTTAACATATAATTTATACACAGATATTTTGCAAGTTGTGTAGAATTTTTCTGAGCCCTGAAGGGGCAAGGAAAAATATGAGCAATGAGCAAAATGTCTGCTTGAATTTTATGTTAAAACATTAATGAAGGGTTTAATTATTCCACTACTATTTCACTTTAACCCTTTAATCCCATGAGTGACCAAGACAGAATTTCTCTTTTCAATATCAATACAATATCAAGCAGACAAGTGATGAGATTAGGGAAAAATATTAATTAGGGATTATTGGTTGATCCAATACCAAATTCTCCAAACTAACATCACAAGAACTATATGGCAGAGTGTGAGGAGAATTATCAATGAGAGTTAAAGGGTTAAAGTTTTTTGATTTTAGTTTGCAAATCACATTCCATGGTCTCATCTGTGCATTGTAAAAAGAATGTGAAAGAAGAAAACAACACACGCAAAACCACTGAACTGTCTGTTGTGAACTACAAAATTGCCTGTTATGCGTAAAATTATTTCTTGACAATCAAGACTGAAAAACAAAAAGAATAAAAACCAAAGTTTGGATTGTTCAGAGAAACCCTTTTGTTGCTTCATATTTTTGCCCTGCTCTACAGTGTAATACCACGGCATATTTTGTGCACTTACAAGAACTTATTTGGTAAAATAATGTAGTATTGGAAAACTATTTTACTATAGTTTCTTACTATGTACTGTATATTGTCACCTAACCAAGCTTTACAAGTATCAAAAGTGTTGCTAACTCATCACAGAATAAACTTTTGTTTGTCATCAGTATTTATGAATGACACTAAATTTGAAACAATATATTTTTTGGCTATTTTGAAACAAACAAAACTATTACTCAAAGTCTATTTCAATAATACATGTATTTCATACCGTGTGTTTCATTAATTAATTTGCGGGTTATTAAACTTTGAAAATCTGCTCCCCATTGGACCTCATGTAGAACAGGAATTTGGCAGTGCTCTGAGTCCTGAGATACTCCTTAAAGAGAAAATGAAGTACTTACACTACAGTTATTGAATATTAATCCTTGTTGACAATGCAATTGCATCAGTTTTCTTGTGGTTACTTACTTTAGAGGGCACCAGAATTTACTACAAAGTACTGTCTCTCCATCACAATTAACCATCTCCTGACAATTTGTGAGAACTGGTTTTGGTTAAGGAAGAGAAGCTGCAGTCAGCTTGTAAACAGGGATAACTAACAGTTCTGTTAACTTGCTAGGGTCACATGATTTCAGGTAAGATTAGCCATGTGATTCAAAGTCAAATCATGTGATTTTGTTTACTGCTAGGCATGATTCGAGATGAAAAATAATAGTGCATGTCAAGAACTTTTGTGGGTTCCTGCTTTGATCCATTGCATTACTTGTTTAAAATAGAGGAATTTGTTAAAAAAAATTAAAGTCAGGTGCAGTTTTCTCCCTAGGTTAAGACATAAGCAAGCTTTAACTAAAGACTGTCTTCTAAAATATCTTTTGCCCTCCGAGTTTTATCCTCAAACACTTGCTACAAATTTAGCTGTAAACTGGTGCATTTCAATAGAGAAAATGCATTTTGGGTAGGTTGGGCCATAACAATGCCAATATATGTGCTGAGTCTTCCTTAGCAGTGGTCTAATCAAGTTTACTAAATAGCAGTTTCAACAATTTTTAAACTACTGCCTCGTTTGATTATTTAAATATAATAAATAAATGCTGAAATTACAATTAGTTCCAATCAGGTTTCTTGTTGCAAATTTTAATTTCATATTCTTAGGATGACACATTACATGAGGTAACCCCAGAGACCTGCAGGCAAACAATGCTGTGAAAATCTGTGGGTATGTACTGTAGCTACAAGCATTATGTTATGTAACAATCTTACTTGACTGGATATCTGACTTATGAACAAGTATTCCACTTCCTGGTACCCAGTATCCTGCAAGACCCTGACATCCTGGAATGATCTTTACAAATAGTGAAAGATGATAGAATCATCAGCATTGGTAGCTTCACTTTTTCAGGGGAATCAACAATGAAGAGAAGGTGGCAAAGGGTGTAAATGTGACTCATAATTAAGCCCAAAATTATTACATAATTTGTGAGTTTTACACAAAAGCAAGGTAAGGTGAGATTTGAAGTTTTCTATTTTAAATTATTGGTGTGCGAAATAATTTTTAAAGTACACTTGACTTAACACACCAATTTTTTTTTAACTTTGTGCATGAAATGGGAACAGGACCCCCTCTTTTGTTACCCTCTGATAAAATTTCTCAGTACACTAGCATTAATTGTGATCCATACCCAGTGGAGTCCATTTGAGGTTTTACTCTACTGGACTCACATAAGGCTTTGAATGTGTCATATTGCATGCGTTCCGTGTTCGTTAACAAAATCGAATACCTTTACAGGCACAGTCTTTCACAGTTTAGAGAATGGTAAAACGTTAATAATCTTCTTTAATGTTCCCATTGAAAAAATGGATATAAAGTCTTAAAGGGACTAAAATAACTCTTTTCTAAAAAGAAGAAAACTATGAGCATAACTTCCTCACTGGTTGTTACGCTTTCAGAGTAACAATGTTAGCTGTAGAGGCTTGCTTTCTGACAAACGTTTATGAATAGTACATAAAGACTTCCTGAATCAGCAAAGTCTAAGAATTCTCCTCTTTTAGGACAATATTTCCTAAAATCGGGACTACATACGATAGGTTCTTTAAGGGCACGTGTAAATAGTTTAATGTATGCACAATGTCACAGAGAATTCAGACTGTTGCAGATATTGCCATAAATCATATTTTAACACGAGAAATACAAAGTATCACGAAAAGCTGCTCGCAAAATTTTGCACAAAACAAGAATTTGAAAGAAGTACAAACCGTAGTTGGAGCATCAGTGGCCGCCATTTTGTTCACCAGAGCTCCCGTGTGTGACGGTCCCCGATACCAGTCTACCGACGGTCAAGAAGATTTGGCGGGAAAATAACGAAGGCCTCTGTTGGCTACCCTGCTTCCGACAATATTTGCAAACTTGTTTCAGAGGAATGCCGCTTCAGTGAGCGCGCCGGAGAGTGCGGAGTGGTTCACTTTTCAACGCAATTTTTTTATTGTGAAGACGGGAGCAACTCAATGAAGGGTGGGAGTCGGGAGGCAAAGGAGGACAAAAGTACGGGAGGCGGAAGAACGTGGTACGAGAAGCAGAAGGCTCTGACCCCCTGTCCCCCCCCCCCCCAACTCACAAGAGTCCTCTTTAAAGGATACCATTAGTTCATACGGACCCCAAAATTCGCACCCACTGAGATATATTACAGATGAAAAACAACAAAAAAGAACTGGTCAATTAGTGGAAATTAACATCTGTGGTACTGTCGTTGCACGAATTCTAGTGTTAGACCAGTAGTTAAAAGCAACCTAAACAAGTGCGAGTGTGTGAGTGTGTGTGGTTGAGGGAGGGGAGGGAAGGGGGGTGTCTAAGCCCTCCGGACCCTCGCTCTCTATTAGCCTCTGTGTATAAAGCTGTTGGTATCTGTAACGGGTCACGGAGATATATTGTAAGGAAGAGTTGTCATATGCACACCGAAAAGACAACCACATTTATAATGTTGACATGAGAAGATCAAGGTCTCTTTTTCGAAACGAAACTCAGTTTATTATAACAATGGAAAACATAAAACTCTTTTATTTGAATGATCACCTCGCTTCATGATTTTTACCTCGGTCTACAAATAGTTGTTTGTTTGTAGCGCGTTTAGAACGCAAACTTAAAGTGGCTGACAACAAACGTTTACATCTTTAACTTCCTATTCTTCTTTTTTCTTATGCACTGAGTTTATTTTCACAAGGAGTCTGATCTTATTGCCCGCGATCACCATCTTAATTGACGAAAACACCGGGAAGCTATGCTCTCAACTGTACTAGTTTCCTTATCGTTCAAAAAGTAAAAAAGTCCATAAGCGAGGGTACCATAAAGCTCAGCCAATCCCTTGGAATTTCTCTCGGTTACGGTTTGTATTTTCCTACCTTAGGTAGATATTTTTTACATGAACCTCATTTCAAAGGAACACAAACCTTCTATTTACACTTTCAAACTATCAATAGTTCATTGGCTGACCTGCAGATAGCCATAACTAGTCTAACGCGGGTTAGTAACTACGATTTTAATAGGTAACTAAACAATCTAAGCTATCCGCCGAAACTAAATTGATCAGTGTTGGGAAATACTTAAGACTGAAGCAATTTTACTATTAAGAAAAAGGTTGAAAGGGAAAATTAACAAGTTAAAGATCGGATATATAATTCTAATTCACGATATTTTACTTTAGTTATGATAATTTCAGTATTTAATTGTCTTCGTTTGCCAGGATGCCAAACAAAAGCTACACAAAACTAACGTAACTATAGTGTAATTTGTTTTACTTTTAAAGATTTCACAACATATTAACCGACATCTTCAGGCCAGTTAACCTAATGTTTGTTTTGTTTTTTTATTTCATTTTTTTTTTTTTCATCTTCGTTGAAGATCTTGCAAATTTCCGTCACTTTCGTTATTTTGAAATTTCAACAGACTGTCATCACTGACGTTCTTCTTCAGCTGCCAATTTCGTGGCTATTTTTGGGCGCAGTTTTTGCGAACCTACTAAAATCTTAAATGTTCGTAAGCTGTTAATTAGCACTACGTTTACAGGAACGACAAAAAGCAAAATTGACCTCTGTCGTGTCTCACCTTTGTCTGTAATTCTTAAATCGAGCCAGTGGAAATGCACTAAAAACAATTATTCTCCATAGTCAATGGACATACATCATCTTAGTATGAAAAGGATTAAAAGTAGAAGGCAAGAAGTTCAATTTTTCTTAACGTTCGCGTCAAGCTTAATCTCTTAATCGCTCTGTAAACAAACTGATTGTTTCTTTTCCGCGAACTATATATCTCCGAATCGCTAAGTCTTCAACTCAATTTAGAGACTAAATGCACAGCATTCATGGAAAACCGGGTCTAAGTTGCTGACTAGTTTGGTTATATATAAACTGTAGAAGGTGTTAAGATTACGTCGTTTTAAAGCATAGATATAAAGTTATTCATTTTATATTGCAGCCTGATAAATTTTTAAGCGCCTATAAAGATTAAAGATTTTTGAAGATCACCATTTTTTTTAACCAGCTACTTATACGACTGCAAGCAACCATTTCCATTACTTTGGAGAGCATAGGAGATTTCTACTCTAGTTGTGAGAAATTGGTGCTTCATCTAAACTCTTCGTTTAAAATCCAGATGCCTTTCCCAGATGACGAATCCCTTGTAAAAGTACAAATCTGTCGCAACATAGAGCGAAACAAGGTAGTTTCATTAGATGGGAGTTTAGAACGAAACTCGTCTAAGATTTCCTGAGTTGTGGCTTGTCCCAACGTTGTTCCTTGTGACGCAATGAAAGTCCTTATCTGGAGAATTAAGTCGTCATTCTCGTTTCCATGCCCTGTCTCATTGCTAGGCAAAATGTTGTTTCTAGCCCTCATCTTCGCCAGCAGTTGACTAGAGTGGACTGGTTCCGTGCCTTCTGCCGACGAACTGCTCATGCCCATTTGGTCGCCACTGAAGTGAGGCTTGACTTCCAAAGTGGAGGAGGACTGTTAACCACAAAAAAATAAGTATTAGAAGCTTAATCATAATTCGCCTGGAGTCAGAAAGGTGCTGATGCGATTAACACCAGGAAACGAATGGAAAGCGATAAATAGGAAAGTGAAATTTCGCTAATCAAAAGCTTTACTCTCCTAGTTAAACTGACAGAGAGTGTGTATGTGTGTGTTTAAATTTTTTAAGTACAATTCTCACTTTTGCAGCTTCCTCTGAACCGACCTTCTTCTTCTGTCCAAACCGTGGCCTAATCCGAACAAAAAATATTTACATATAAGTACTTTTAACTTCAACAGCCTACAAAAACCAGCAACGTAGTGTACGCACATTTTCCATCACTTGGCATAAATGCAAAATTTCCGCGTTTGGCTCTATTTGACATTTTCGCGCCACTTTCTTACCACTTGTAGCGGAGCTTGCAACCCGCGCGCTTCACGACGAAGCCCCATTCATGCTTGCCACTGATTATTTATTTTCACGTACTTTCCATCAATTGCACTCATTTCCCACCCATACCTTAAGTGACAAATTTTTCTACTCTATCTGAATATAAAGTCATAAAGTTTACTTGCTACTGGTAAGATATGTTTATCTCAAGCAGACCTTAAACGACAATACCTCTTTGCGGCTGGTTCAGTCAAACCAGATGAACCTGACACGCCCGTCCATGTAGGAACCCCTCTGTTCGCACTTAGACATAACTGGCGTGATCGTTTCAGCGCTTTCACAGCATGCTCTGCCACACGGTTTGCCTCTGTTTCAATCAGTGCGTAATCCGGGTTGCTGGCCTCCATGATGACGTCATGCTTCAACGCACTATGTACACCTATTAAAATGGGTAAAATGGGCGATGTCTATAATGGAGCCTATTTCGCCAGACTCATTTCGTATTCCGTTGCATAAAGTTAATCTCCTTGGGCCTAGTTGTCCCTAGGCCGATAAGCGCTAACCCAAGGTTAAATTTAATCCAGGTTTTTTTATTCCCTCGTTCAAAAGCCTTCTTAGGATAAATTTCTCTATTCTTTTAAGAGCATCCAAAAATCAAATTCTACACAAAAATAATTCTGTTAAATTTTCTCTTTAAGCTTTCACATCTGAAATTTAGATTAACACTAACCCTGGGTTACCTTAACCCGGCCCTGGCTGCTAGTCCAGAAAAGGCAACTCCATGGCATTTCTTTTGGTGACAGTTCCCCACCAATCATCAATTAAATTCCTAAAGGGAGAGAGGTTCACTCCTTGTGCCGGACCCGTATCTATCTCCTATGAATTCATTAATTAAACTCTACTTGTAATAAAACCAAAAACTATTGATTTCTCTTCCTTCCCTTACGGTGTAAAGAAATTTCACATTTTAATTTAAGACCAAATTTGACAAAGTTGTCCTTTGACGAACGAATTTAAAAATTTGACGCCAAAGAAATAGCAAGATAAACCCAAACTGAATTTCTACTGCATTATCTGTGGATACGGCAAACCTTCGTAAAAGCATCCGACAACCTTCCGAGAATAACTCGCCCAATGGGATGAGCACCAGCCAGTATCGCCGAATGTCAGAGCGACGTCCTGTTCTCTGGCAACAATTTTCACGAAAATAAGGCGCTTACCTAGTTATTATGTACCCAGTTTTGACCTTAAAAATTGTCATCTCAACCATCAAGATAAGTAAAAACAAGACTACATCCAGACCTGATTTCTTAAAGAGATGCTTCAGAATAAACTCGTCCTGATGAGTGTTTTGCTGTTTCTGTTCTTCCATTTCTTCTGCACTTGACTGACTAGCATTCACTGAGTTGTAGATTTCGCTGTGATCCAGATGATCGATGTGTTGACCGTCAATTACTGCAAATCACACGAAGAAAGTGATTATACAGAAAACTTGTGCCAAGCGCTCAATCAGGCCTAGTTCAAACGTCGAACTTTACATGTACCGAACCTAATTGCAATTTGGGTCGACTCGAATAATTAAGAGCGGCAGTTGATTCAAACGTCGATCCGAATTTAGTCGATCCTAATTGCAAAACTGAACATAACTCCATTGTAGTCAGCGGTTAATGCCTACCAAAATGGCGGGAAAAAATGCGGGAAGCACAACTTGTGGAAATGAAGAGCTTGTTTTTTTTGCAAATGCGATTTAGGAGGGTAGAAAAAGGCGACTCAAGATGCAGTTAGCATTAAACAACCTTGCTGCCAGGAGAAGACGAGTTTTGAATTTGGCTTGCCTTCTATTATTGCTTATTTCCCAAAGGAACATCACAGTTCCTCGTCTAGTTCGTTCGTGTCGTCGACTGAAAAGAAATTCTGGCTGGTGGGAAAATGTTTGCAACAACTATTCAGACGCAAGGTTCATTGTTTGAATGGTTCGAAGGCTTTCGCGCATGGCACGTAAGCGAACTTTCTTGAATTGTGGGTAAAACATAATTATTTTAACGTATGTATAATGTATGCATTAAGTTCGGTACATGTAAAGTACGACGTATGAATCAATGCCGATCTTTTACCGTTCTATCCGACTAGCCGAGTCGGATAGAACGGCACTGTCGATCCGAATACAAATCTGCCGATCCTAAGTGATTCAAACGTCGATCTTTACATGTTTTTGATAGAAATGTTAGGTTCGGTACATGTAAAGATCGACGTTTGAACTAGGCCTCAATCAGATGTAAAACAAGTCACGTTTTCCCTTGCTTTGGGTATTTGTATTTTATTTTGCGTCCTGATTGGCTCTTCGTGATTTCTTTCCTCAAATCTAATTGGCTGTTGTGATCACTTTAGCTTTGGTTCAACGACACCTAATCGGAATGCAATCAAACCAGCAATTTGGTTTCACACGTGATTCAGATTGATTTCACCTACCTCCTCCTTGACGTTTCCTTTTCATTCTTTTTTTCTTTTTTTTTCGCTTAACTTTCTTCGTCAGTTCATTATCGCTCAAAGACGAAAGGTTCTTTTTTCCTTTTTTCAAAACGTGACCAGTCTCTTTTTCAAGGCTTCCCTGGTTGTCTTCTTTAGGAATAGTATCATTTTCTGCAATTGTTGCTGTGTTCTCTCTCTTTGATTCAGATTGTTCTGACGTTTGAATTTGGATGTGGGCTTCATCTTGTTTAGAAGAGGCTGATGTAGATTCTTCTTTCTCTACATCGTAAGAATCGACTAACATGGCTTTCGCTGCCAAATCTTCGTTCACGAGCTCATCATTTTCTCCACTTTTCTCTTCCTTTCCCTCGTCAATGAGACCTACTTGAGCGGAGCTTTTTTCACCAACAGTTTCCACGTAAACTTCCTTCGATGCTTCTTGCCCTTCTTTCTTTGATTCCTTATCCTGTGACAAGCTTTGTGTTTCAGCTATGTCCCGCCAATCGATCGAGAAAGCACCTCCACTAATTTGTGCATCCTTTTCTATTTCTACCTTTTTGGATTTTTTTGTTTCCTCGTTGTCGACTTGACGCTTCACCACCTTTGTTTGTTCACCCTCCCTTTTCTTCCTTCGACGCGATCCCAATTTGACTTCACAGTTTGACCCAGCGAAAATGGCGCTTGTTTCTGTGCCGTATTTGACGTCACAGTTGTCTAATGTGAAGAGCTCGTAAAGGTCATTGGACTTGAAGAATCTGCGTTGCTTGGGATCTTTCAGAACTCGATTGGTGAGGAACTGTTTAAAAATTTGCCTGCAAACGGAAAGGAAATATTTTTTCTCGACAATGGTAAAGCAGGTTTCGTTTCACAATGAAATTAGTTACATCTTCGGCGGATTTATGTGAACAGAGTCTATAACACTGCACAGTTTTAACCAATGACATAGGCACATTATCTGCGTATGAGCGTGTGTGAGGCAAGCACATGTGTCTTGTACATGTGCTTTTGAATGCGTCGTCCATATTTACATCTTCAAATCAAGGTATGTCACTTGATTAACCCTTCTTAAAAAGCAAAAAAAAAGGAGAAATAAAAAAATTCTCTTAATGTTCCTACCGATGGTAGATCTTCTCCTCTATCGTTCCGCTTGTGATTAAGCGATAGATGGTGACGTCCTTCTTCTGTCCGATCCTCCAGGCTCGTTCTCGTGCCTGCGTGTCAGTACTGGGGTTCCAATCAGGGTCATAAATGATAATCCTGTCTGCGCCCACAAGATTCACGCCCAGCCCGCCAACACGAGTGGTGAGAATAAACAAGAAAATTGAACGATCCTGATAAACAGAGAAAGAATTATATTATCAATAATGTTATCTGGCGAGATTGCACCTAATATAAACATCCTTGTTTTTGCAATACACTTAACGTGGCATCTACACAAATGTCCTTTGATGAGTCATTTTAAATCAGAGTACAGACAAGCAGCATTAAGCACGGACTGAAAACGAAACGTAGGTGTAGTTTGGGTTCGGTATAAAGCCACTAAATCCATTATACAGAGTGTACCTCGTTGAAGTTTGTGATCAAAGGCTGTCGGGACGCCACTGGTGTCGAACCATCAAGTCTGAAGTATCTGTAGCCTCTGGCTTCGACAAACTTTTCAAGGATATTTAACATCTGAAAGAACGATCCCGTACCAGGTTTATTTGTTAGTGTTACCTTACAAACACTCGGTGACAAAGAAAGCTACAACTCACAATCTACCTTGTGAGCTGTACGGCTCTAATGGTCAGAGATACCGTATGTATACCCTCCGGTTAAAACAGAGTTTTGAGGGAATGGCAAAATGGGTTCGTGGACATCGAGTTTTATGTATACATATTACTGCACGACTTACTAACCCAGGTGGATATCTGAGGGTGCCCCCATCCCTGTACAAAGGAGAGGGAAAACAGGAACATCTTCGCATACTCCACTGGAGGTCTTCGTCTCATAAAAGTTCATTATATCAAGTATTTTCGCCCGCGCAAGATTCGTTTTAAACGCTTCCAAATATGCCCCAGCCAAAATTGAGGAACATCTGGTTATATTAAACTGATATTCACGCTTTTCTAAAATGGTCCGCTGTTACTCTAAATCAAACGTGGCTGGCAAATAAACGATCGCGAGCTTGTGACGTTGACTCGCCTTAATAAGACGCCGGCATTGCAGGCCGCTACAGAAGAAAAGACAAAGTAGTTTGTTCGTAAGTCGCTCTGAACTTTCAACAACCGTTTTCCGTGGTTACACCGCTTAAATCTTATGGAATTGCAAGAGTTTCTCAAGCAGGTAAAATACGAACGACTGTCATTTTGGGTCAACAGCGTTTTCACTGACCTGTCTTGTCTGCGAAAACAGCAAGACTCTATGTCCCTGTTCTTGCCACATCTTCAACAAAGCTTCCACAACAATCATCTTTCCAGACCGTTTGGGGTCCCCATACCCATCATCAGGGTCAGGTTCTTCCTCCTCAGCCCTCCCTCCTAGTTCGGCTTTGAGAGCATCCTGTTTGGCTTTAAGAAGGGAGCCTGCTGTTGATGTCAGGTCAGGATGGTTGCAAATCTTCCGCAGCATAATCAGACCAGGAAAAACCTAACACAATGAACGGAGAAACTGAAATTAGAAAATAAATTTACATATTTATTTAATCCATCAGATGAAGCTGAAAAGTACTGACTACCAAGAGAGACAGTTCCTTGACAGCAGAATCCCAAATTTGATCACGATCGGGACACTTCTGTTTTAGAGGTCGATTTTGCAGTTATATATTACACGTTATCAATGTACCTATTTTTTCCATTTCCCTACTTTTGTATTCATTTTTTGTTTGTAGTTTGTTTTTCTTAATTATTTCACTCAGCTTTTTTTAACGTTTTTTGCTGTTAAACGCTCTGTCAACTTGCATGGTTTCCCGCGCATATTGCGCACGCTCCGATCGTAATACTAAGACTTTGCTCTCATGTAAAGGGATGAAAGTACCAGGCCTACCTTATAGTTACCAGCTAAAATGGCCTGCACCTCTTTAGAGTCTAAATACTGCTGGTAAAGTTCACGCTGCTCCTGACTCAATCGACAGAAAAGAACCTGTACAGACAAAAAATAGCTTCAGGTATCTGTTGAGACTAGAACCTACTGAGAATTTAGGTAGCAAAAAAAAGACAACTTTTGTGATTATTGAATCGTGTCGTTGTTCGATCAAAATTCTAGTTTCTTCCATCACAACGGAGGGAGATATTACGGTAACAACCAGGAAACCTTCGGTTTTGCAGCGATCATTAAGCGCTAGATAGAGCCAAAAATTATTAGCTCAAATTACCATCCTATGACCAATACATTGACGAAACCTTAGTGAAGCACAAAATCGACTATCTCCGTCAAACTACTTTTGCACACGACGCTTTCGACATTGCTGATTATAGCAGAATGCTGGGCTAACGTCACTGATGACCCTTATGACACAGAAGGCGGCGAAAGATTGGTAACAAGTGGTTCAAAAACCTGCTCATTCTTTGCTGGTAGATCCAAGCTCATGTTGACGTCTTTCTTCAGTCTTCTCAGCAGGTATGGGTTGATTGTGTCTCTGAGAACACAGGCGCACTTGTATGCTGTTTCAACCTTTGTAATAAACAAAGAGCATTTCTAAAAAAGAGCTGACACTCGACGATTCTGGTTACCAAAATTCGTTGAGGCAACTGTTGTTTTAATTTCATCGTCATGATGAAAAGTTACGTAAAACACACGATGAATATAATCAAATGAACTTTCCAAAGGGAAAAAGGATGTTAAAAAATCAGCTTTAAATTGTACTTAAATATTCTCAGATTTTACAAGAATCATTTGTGCTGAGACAAAATCTGTTCAGGGAAGTGAACAGATGATATCTTCAGGCCAATTTAATGAACTTAATGAAGCAATAAACTTTCCAAAAACAAAAAGGATTTTATAAAATTAGCTTGAAATTGTACTCAAATATACATAGATTTTAAAAGAATCATTTGCCTGAGTACAAAATCTGTTCAGGGAAGAGAACAGACAATATCTGCAGACAAGTATTCAGGCCAATTCACATGTGACCGTAAGATGCTTGTTCGAGACCAAGACCCCTATATACCTCCCTGGAGTCAGTACCTGTACTTTAGTAGCATTACAGTATCCCCCCATAGTAATGGGCACGGAGAATTCAGTCATGAACACAGGCAGGGTGCCAAGTTTGCCAGGAAACACAAAGTCAAACAGCGACCACAGTTCTCGCAAGTTGTTCTGCATGGGTGAGCCAGAGAGGATGATGCGGTGACAAGTGCGAAACTACTCACACAAAAAATGAAAGCATTAAATATTTATTAGTCGTGATTTAATACTGAGAAATGTTTATCATCCATCAAGTATCTTCGCTCTAACACGATTGGTCAAAAAATAACCGAACGTCTAGCCTGCGTGCACGAGTGTTTCATCGCCCACGGGAGAGTACGAGATCTTCAGTAACGTGAGCCCGCGAGAGGTCTGCACCGGGGTCAGCGATCCCCGATAAACCTCTCTGCGACTCGTCTCCAATCTTCCCACAGGCGAACAAACGCGCGTCCTGCAGCGCTGATAATAAGAGTTCACTCGAAGGTTACCTAGATACATCCTGTAAGTGATATTCTACGAGAAGAGTATCAAGAGATTTAACATAAAAAAGCACAGCTTGCCATTTTACCTGTTTACATGCCAAAGTTATCTCTGCATCTGGATTTCTAATCTTGTGACCCTCGTCCAGAATAACATAGTCAAACCTCTGGGCAAGCAGATGATCCTGATGTTGACGAATTCCCGCAAAGGATGTCACTAACACACCGTTCTCTTTACACATCTTTTTGATCAGCTCTTGCTGCAAGATACATTCTAACACTGAGACTGTTTATTTTCCAGCCTATCTGCGTGTAGGTCTGTTTGTTCGTTTTGCTATACCCTTCTCTATCTGAGAGCTTGTCTTTTTGTTTGTTTGCTTGTTTTCGTGTTCATTTGCATATGTCAATCAGTTGTTTTAGAGCAATTTCAATTGTACGTAATCCGGGATTGCGCTGGTTTTGAAATTTATTCAGTCTGTCATCTACAGAACTAGCGCCATCCTCTTGACCAATGAGATGCAAAACGAAAACTGATGACGACTTGGTCGCTTGCGCTTCAATAAGGAGTTTGCTTGTTTTGACTTTGAGTTCCTAGTAGCTCTTGAGGGTATTTTTCTTTCTTCCGATTCGCCGTTTTCATTACTCTGGTTTAGTTTTACGAAACTCGATCGAGAAGCGCTCTTTTATGTGATACTAGTTTTGTTTCTGTCTGTCTGTCTGTCTGTAAACCAGCTAATCACCCACTCACTCATTTGATCGAACAGTCAGTTTTCTACACATGCTTGTTTATTTCCTTGCTTGTCTGTTTATGTGCCTGTCTGCTTGTTTACACGTCTGCCTCTCTGTCTGCCTTCTTGTTTGCCTGAGTATACAACTAACCTTGAATCCTTGATAACTTCCTGTTTCGTGAAGTACAGCCACTCTGAACTCTGGCCACCATTTATGAAACTCTTGTACCCACTGATGAAGAACTGTCACAGGACACACAATCAACACTGGTCCTAGCCCTGGCTGCCTGCCACATTAACACAGAATGAATCGTCATTCGGAATCTTTTTCATAATCAGCACATTCTGGTGATGGATATGATTAATCTGTAAGTCAACTTGAGTCAAGTGGTCACAACTGCCAGAGCTACTTTCCCTACTTTCTCCAGAAAGAGACCAAGGCTCAGTTTTTATTTTTAAAAAGGTATAAGTTCATTCATCTTTCTATTCTGTCTTTCAGGTTCAACTTACTTGAAGAGCAGATGGCACTATCAACAAGAACCCAGATGTTCAAGGAGGGAAGACGTTATCCGATGGATAAATCGCTCTCCAGCAGATAGGTGTATACAAACACCTTGCGTTATCCACCAGATAGCAATTTATCCAGAAAATAGCATTATCCACCATTCAATCAACCAGGTCCAGACAGCTTCAACACATTATAAGTTGCTATTTTCAGTGGAAAGAAATATTTCGCTTTTTTTTGCCAATCAAAATAAGGGAGCTTTTCCATACACAATACTGGAAGGGAATACCCACTTCTTCCTGGCTGATATTTTACTGTACTTCAGTCCAGCAAGGAAAACAATCATCTGAACAGTCTTTCCCAGGCCCATTTCATCACCAATAATACCACCAGCCTGCTGACAATGAAGCTCCCACAGCCACTTTACACCTGTCTGTTGATATCTAGAAGATAAACGTCGTACGTTTCGTATTTCATCCCTAAGAGTGACTAGCAGTTAGTTTTCCTTACAGTATCACCTGTGAATCAAGCCTTAAGGTCGCAAGAATAAAGGAGATGATCACCAACTAAAGAAGCTCTTGATTGTTGGACAAATTTCCTTCTTGCATGTCATATGAACTTTGTAATAGACCTCGCTCACCATAGAGTCTCTGTGGCTCAGTGGTAGAGCATCGGAGGGCCTGAACACAACAAACCAGTGAGGGGGTTTGGGAAGAGCTGTTTACATCTTTTTTTCAAGATCTTTCTCCTTTACTAATTCATCACTCTCACTGGAACTACTTCTTTGCTACACATACAGTAACTCCCAGCTTTCTTCAGTAAAAAACTATTATAGATCCAGTGGCTTTGAAAATAATCAGTTGGAATATTGGGCAATTGCTCGCGTGAAAACAATATACCATCCTGGTAAAAATTTGTAGTATGAGTAAAGAGTGGTGTATGGAACAAAGAGACAATTATGGGTTCCTTTAGAGGATTCAAACCTAGGAAGGAATTAGATAGGACTTACTTGTACAACTTGTCCCATAATTTGCCTGGAATCTTAAGCCCCTTGTCAAAAACTACATCAGGATACTCTTCCTCACCACTTTCAACAGCTGAGGAATTGCCTCTCTTTTTGAGAAGTTCACTGATTCTCCATTCCCTGAATCATAAAGTCTTAATTGTTACACAATCATGTATACTAAATATAAATTCACAAAGTTTGTTATCTATAGCTAATGAGCTAACACAGGGCTAACACTTAAAACATCAGCTTCAGAAACTCTTTACTGTGGCCAACATACATTTATCAACTCAGTTGATCAAACCAAATCATCTTGTTATACCACCCACTGACACAGCACCAAAGTCTCTTTAGAAACTTACCCCTTTATTCAAATGTCATACACTGTACATTATGATCACTGTAATGAGGTTCTACAGCTCAACGTAGCAAAATGAAATTTAATGTAATGCTAGAAAAATTTTGTTTAAGTTATATCTGAAAAATAAAAATTTTAAATTTCATCACATGAATGATAAGATGTACAATCCTTACTGTCAATCAAGTAGAGCATTAAAAATCACCTGATCCTTTGGCGGTACAATTTTTCATTTCCATCATCAAGAGGTTTATTGTCATATCTTCTCCTGGTCATTTGATTTGTTTTCTTCTTCTTCTTCTTCTTTGGCTTAAGGCTATCTTCTTCTACATATGCAACATTTAAAGATCTTTTTCTTCCAGTCTGCTTCTCTGATTTAGTTGGTTGGACATCATCCTCATTCCAGTTCCTCTCATCATCCTCAAACCAACTGTACTTGAGCTCGCCTTCATCAGGAACGTATTCAGCATCATAAAGATCTTCATCATAGTTGTCCTTGTCATCATCACCATCCTCAATTACATCTTCTCTTTTATCATTCCCACCATGCTTGTAATTCTTAGAGTTTTCAGCATCAGTTGCACCAAAATTGTTCTTGTTCACTTTATTGCCATTGCCTGGAATGGTCCCTCCAAATGGCGTCATCTCTCCATTCTTAATCAATGCATCTTGTTCCAAGAGGTTTTCTCTGACAAGTGGGAATTTCCTGTTTTCACTCATATCCTGAATATTGCCATCTGAGGTCTCAAACTCAACTGAAAATATAAAAACAATGAAATGTAGGAGTTAGCACCACATAATTTGGGATCCCATTTCAAAGTCTCACAAGCCTCTTTAATCAGTTGTGGCATCACATTGTCTTGGAACTTTAAGTTGTCTCTACAAGGAACAGACTTCAACCCTTTAACTCCCAAAAGTGATTGAAATGTAATTTCTCCCAATAATATCCATACAATAACCAGTAAACAGGTGATGAGAATACTCAAACTTATCAGGTTGAACTTGTTATATTGATCTAACATCAAATTCTCATAACTTATCAACAAGAAATTGTGTAGCAGCTTGACAGGAGAATCAACAATCAGATTCTGGGATTTAATGGGTTAAATGAGGGCACATTGTGACACTCCCCAACCAGGTCTCTCATCATCTCTATGTACATGAATTGCTCAACTCATAAAATGATCAGGGTAATTTAGAATTATCAACTAAGTTAATAACATAAACTGGCCGTCGTAAAGACTTTAAAGGCTGACATTTAAAGCATTAGCCCTTTGCCATTCGCTAACAAAGGGCTAATGCCAGGAACATCAGCTTTGAAACCGTTACGGTGGCCAATTTACATTATAAACTCAGTTAATAATGCTAGATTACCCTGTTATACTCTCCCACCAACACAGCACCACAGTTTCTTTAGAAACTAACCCCTTGTATTCATAAAATGATCAGATCATTTCAACATAAACATGACAGTACAGATATCTTTGTAGACAATACAGTCCACTAAACTGTCACAGCTTGATAAAGAAAATAACTGACAGTTACATTGGGCTAGTTGTAACCTGGAAACAGGTCAAAATAACACAATAAGATGTCACCTAACATTATTTTGCAATTTTTCCAATAGAGACACAACACACTGTTCATGTACAAGTAACTATATAACTATAACTATTATAACTATTTCTGCATTAGATGGACTCAAAAAATGAAAAAAAAAACAGTACCCTGTTGTTCTAATTCCTCCTCATTTCCAATACCTAACTTGTGGTGTAATGCCTTTTGAGTTGCTTGTAATTTCTTCAACTGGCGAAGCTAAAGAAATTTGCAAAAAATAATGCATTATTAGAGTTAAACTTACTCTATCTTGATCAGACTATGCATAAAAGTACATGTACATCTATGCACACACCATGTAATATACAACATGTTTGATTTCACAAAGCATTGTTATCCACACCAAGCTAACTTAATTAAAATCCTAGGAGCAGGGAAAGGGAAGAATTTTCAAAGGCTGCAATTTGGAGAGAAAATACCAAATTGTTTGACAACAAATAGTTTCTTCCAGAAGGGTTGGATGAACACTATGTACTTATTGACTTAGTTAATTTGGGCCAGACGGGAAAATATCTGCCTTGAAGTCATAATGTACAGACCAAGCACAGCATGCGTCATTGACCTGGAGCCAATTATTTTCCCCTTCAGCCCAACTTAACTCGGTCGATAAGCATTTTTATCATATAAAATGTGACCACTAAATTTTAAAAATTTCTAAAATTTTGTTTTAACCTGAATATGATGCAATAGATTGGCATGTGCAGGAAAACCACAAAAACAAATCCTTCAGTTAAAACTTTTCCTTTATTTTTGTGTCAGAACAAGAAACTCACAATTCATCGAAAAGCATGACTTATTTAATCTCATTTCTGTTCACTGCTGTCACTCGTTTTTAGCAACAACAGCAAAATGATCCAATCATCCAACAATGAAGCCATAAAAGTGTACTAGGGCCATATGCCTTTTTCCAAACCAGCTCACGTCAACCTGTCCAGCCCTACACATGTCAGCTTTACCTGTGGCTTTTGATGGGATTGCATGAGCTGGGCTAGATAAGTCATTTGATAATTTCTAGAATAGCCAAACTCAGGAAAAGAAAATCTTGACAGATGACCTGGTTATCCAGTCTCCAGAATATACTATGTCTTTTTTAAGCACATTCATTAAGAATGCCTCAATTTCAGCATTGCAAGCCACAGATTTAAAACAATAATAATTGATTTAGATAAATTTTAAAACTCAAGAAAGCTAGTGCAAAGACAATCAACCTGGGTTTGTATTATTCACCTTCATTGTGTTGTTATGATTTGAATGTTAATGCAAAGCTTTTCAAAAAACTTTTTATATTGCATTTACAACAACAGAATTATCCAAAAAGAACCTTGTTATCCTTTTGTTTCTGCACTGCTTGGGTTCTTCTCCATGATTCATATCCAGCTCCACTCTTACTCTCAACTCTTTTCAATATTAGGTCAATCTCAAGCAAATCATTTTCCACAATCCTGATAATAAGAATGACAATATAATGGGAAAGTTTATTGTACTCTGAATTGCTCATTTGTTACTAGAGCCTTTTTGTAAAGCCAGTGACACACTTGGCAATTTTAAGTGCTGATCACAGTGATCTATGAAATTCGCCACATATGCCCAGTTCTGCGGCCATTTTCACTGATCGCTGCAATCAGCATATAAATTTGCTGATATCTGCGAAGTCAGATATCGGTGATTTTTTGACAGTAATCAAATTTGTTGGGATTAAGAAATAAAATGGCCAAGTGTGTCTCCCACTCAATGTGGATAATTCATGATTTTAACAGCATACACACTTTAGAATCACTACTACTGTAAATCAGCCACTAACATTAACAGCCACTGAATTGATTGTCAAGACTGGTAAATTTGAAGGTCCTCATAATTTAGGGTTCAGCATATGATCTGGCCGTTCACTGGTAATAAATGACAAAATTGTTCCAAGAATTAAATGAAATGAGTCAGCATTTAAGGAAGATTCTGACCTCACAAGCTCTTTACAGTCTAGGAATATTAAAACATGTACATTCTTCCTTGATGAGACAAGATGGAACCAATTCTGGTCTTGTTTGCAATGGGACATATCTCATTATGTGAGAGTTAAGCCTTATCTCTCACAGTTCTTTGGTACATCAACAGTACTTTGGTACATTGACGCTTATCACCTGATATATAAGGATGAGTACTGAGGAAGAAGTCTATTAAGAAATTCATTAATTTTGAAAAGAACTCTAACATCTAAGGTAACTAATGATGAACCCAATTCATGGACAGTCCATGAGCCACAAAGTTACACCGTTATCTTTGTATAACTGCAATCTTCAACTTAGAGATCGCAATGATGATTGTCAAGCTCTCCCAAGCTAACCTGATATCTTCATCCACAGCTTTCAGGTTTTTCTCCCATCCTCTCACAATCTCCTCTGTTTCTTTCACAGCAATGGCTTCATCGACCTGCTTTAAAACTCCTTCCTCAAATTCATCCTGGTTAAATACATTTACTCCCAGGTTTCTCAACACCGCTGCTTGCTCTTCGACGGGTACAGATGGAATCAAGCCAGAATCAATGGATATACCATAGCTCTTTGTTTTGTGACTTACGGGGCTTGTCTCTTCATCCTCCTGAAAGTTTTCTTCTTCGTTTCCCTCTAAATTCTTTAAAGTTACATCCATTCTCCTTAACCCTGGCAGACAAACGGTAGAAGCGAACCTTTTTTGAATTATTCACCAGTTTTCACACAGTTTCGACACTCTTCATTCAGATTATGTAAGAACATTCGGATACAAATTTTTTAAGTCCTCAGCAACTGACGAGAAGAAATAGAACTTCTGTCCATATAGATTAACAATTTCAGAAAATATACTGTACAATAAAATGTACACCTTTCTCGTATCACCTTCGCAGGCTAAGTCCTCTTCCAAATTGTTTCTACCAAATTGCCATGTCAGCCATTTTGTTTGCTCGTATCTTTCCGTTACACCACCGAATTTTTGCAAGTCAATGAAACCGCTGAAAGAACCTGCTCGCAAATTTGCTCGTGCAACTCAGGCGATCGAACGGGTGTAAACGGAGTATGACGCAAGTCTTACATGTGAACAGTTTTGTACCTAGCATTACTCTGCGTCGACGTGCTTTGATCAGAATTTACTCTTGGCTCAAAAGTTCTTCTGTTCAGAAAAAAACATTTTTCCGTTTCTAAATACTGTCCTTACACAATGTCACAAGGAACTGTCCATCATGTTGCAAAGAGCGGGTTTGAAACATCGAAACTTTATGATCAGGTCAGGCCCACTTACTCAGAAGAGGCCGTAAAGTTCTTGATTGGTAAACTTGGCATTTCACACCAAGATGCTTCATCTAATCAGCCAGTAAGAATCCTAGAGCTTGGAGCAGGAACAGGGAAGTTCACTGATGTTTTACTCAAGGTTCTTCGCGGCAGTAATGTGGAAATAATTGCAAGCGAGCCGCTTCTTTCTATGAGAGAAGAGTTTAAACAAAAATTTCCAGCCACAGAGATGAAAGATTTTTGTGCTGAAAATATTGGTATGGATTATATCTTGTGATTTTGTAGTTAATCTATGCTAAAAGAACAGATGAAATGAGTCTGTCGACGATGGATGGTAGAGGACACTTTTATTGGCCTAGGGGGTGGGGATGGGGGGCAGCTGGCTTTGGCAGTAGAGCTCAGGAGTGCGTGGTGGAGCACTCTACGGAGGTTTTTATACAATGTATAAACACTCGACTCCAGGATATTATCACTCATTCTTTTAAAAAATACTTTAATCATAGAGCCTTTTCATACAAGAAGACTTGAGTTGAAACTAAAAAGAATGAAAACACTGCTTCCTCTTCTTTTTCTATGCATTCAGCATTTCGCATTTTTATGAATCCAAGAACTTAAATAAAAGTAGCTTGTAGTAACCTTGAGAAACAGAAGTACTCTTACCCTTATGTCCACCTATACAAGTGTTTGCTGACTGCAGTAAACAAGACTACAACTCTGAAAGGGTCGTGAAAAGAAATATTGTACATGTATGTGTTAACACAGCCTTTAACAGGTGGTGGTGAAGAGAGTAACCAGGCCTTCTGAGCTGTGGTAGACTACCATTAATGTGCTTTCATGGAAACCTCTACCTTAAGCGATAATAAAAATTATAATAGACATTATTCGAGTGTGAAAACAAACTGGAATTCCTCTCAGTGTTCTGTATGCTAAATGGAAGATTTTGACAAATTTCAGAACCCAATGTCTAGTGGCCAGGGAAGGTGGTTGTTTAATAGCTCATGAAGCATTATTCACCATTTCATTTCAAAAACATAACACAGTGATCTATTCCAGTTTTATCTATTGCAGTCTTAAGGCTACAATATCAAAGACCATCCATCATCCACTTCATAGTAGACCTTGCTCACTGTAGAGTCTCTGTGGCTCAGTGGTAGAACATTGGAGCATAAATCCAAAGGTCTGAGGTTCAATTCCTGATGGGGACTCAAAATTTTTCTTTATCCCACACTCATGACAAGATGAAAGAACATCTTTCTCAGTATCAATGTTTTTTTTTTTTTGTATGTTTCAGGTTTACCTCACAGTTCTGTACATGCAGTGATCGCGGCACAGAGTTTCCACTGGTTCGCCAATGAAAAGTCACTTTCTGAAATTCAGCGTGTACTTGTTCCTGGTGGCAAGTTGGGTCTGGTTTGGAATTTACGTGATCACTCTGTGCCCTGGGTAAAAGAAATGGATGATGATGTCATTCTTCCCCTATATGAGCAGTCCAACACACCAAAAGTACAAAGTGGTGAATGGAAGAGACTGGTAATGGCATCTGATAAATTTGGGTCACTAGAAGGTGATGAAAGTTTTAAGAGTGAACAGGTCATGACATTTGATGTATTTGTAAGGAGGCTTTTCTCGATTAGTGTCATAGCAGTGAAAAGTGATGAAGAAAAGAAAATGGAAATTGATAAAATTAAATCAATTTTAAACAAACATATCAAACTAGAAACAGATAAAGTTATCCTTCCATACACGGTTGAGATGTACTGGTGTGAGAGAATGTGAATTATTCCCAAACCAAATAATTTAAAACTGATTTAGAATTTTTATGTAGATGACTCATGACAAAGAACCATTCTTTAAGATTTATTTAATTATCCAATAAAGAAAATTGTTTGAATAGTTAAGGTTGTACTGGTGTGAAAGTACATAAATTATTTCAGGTACCATATTTATTCAATTGAATGTCACAGCATTTATTAAATTTTTTGTGATTCAAGTGCAGCGTTTATACGAGGGGCATTTATCTAAAATCCAATTTATTACTTGCAAAAATGGTATGGTAACTAACCATTCTCATTTTAAAAAGCAGAAATGTGTTTTGGTGCTGTTCTAAAAAGTCATTTTTTGTATTGTTGTCAATTTCACAATTTCCATGTTAATACTGCTGCAATACATAAAGTGAATAGAGGATTTGTGTCTGCAATTAATAAATGATCGCTGTGTGCTTTTTGAGTCTATTATTCAAATAAACACCACATCATGATACAGTGTTTAATTGAGGGTGGCGTTTTATTAATGTTTTGCTCTAAAATGCAGCATTTATTAGAGGGCAGTGTTCATATGAGGGTGGCATTTAACCAAATAAATACTGTAACAGACATTTTAAAGTATTTTGATATAAATTTTTTACAGGAGATTTTCTTACAAAGTACCATTTGTCAAATTTAACAATATGTACATAATCTTTATCATCTTTTTACCTTAACCCTTTAACTCTCAGATGTGATGAACATGTATTTTCTATCAATAATATCCATACATTACCCAGCAATCAGGTAATGACAATACTCAAACCTATCAGGTAGAAGTTATCTTAATTTAACACCAAATTCTGGTAACTAATTTACAAGAAGATGAGTAACAGCTACAGGGAAAAATGAAAAATCAGATTTTGGACTTAAGCAGTTGAAACAGCTGGATTAAGGACAAGTACTGAAGTAAATTGTTAGAGATAAATTAATTGTTGATGCTGATTATATGAAGTTGTCCACTTTGACGAATAAGTTATATATTTTTTATTCCTTTTTTAGAGAGAAGATAATATATCATAATTAATAACCTTTTTGATCAGTATGAAAAATGAAAAAAACATATTTCAGCTACCTTGGAAACATCAATTTCCCTTAGCTACAAACAGCATTTTCTTAATCCTATATGCACTAAGAGTGACTGGCTTCTAACTTCTCCTTACAGTATCATCCTTGAATCAAATGTAAAGATCATAAGAATAAAGGATATGATCACTAATTTAAGAAGCTACTGATTGTCAAACAAATTCTCCGTGTTCGACTTACAGGAAATGTAAAGAAAGCAGTATGTAGAATATGAATAGTAATGTTAGAGTGTTGAGGGTAACATGTGAAACCGCAATCTTTTGTGCGCCTCGTCTGACGGAAAAACTACATGCTCACGTGTCTTAGGATGGACAACCAAAATCCTGCCAGAAAGTTGCTAAAACTTCGGCAGAAATCCAAAAAGTTGCTAAATGTCTTGATATTCTTATATGACCGTTAAAAGAAAGCTTCAGTTTTTGTTCTACACAATAATTTCTAACATCGGTTTAGAAAAATAGCTCGAAACTGCTTGCATAATCTGGCTTTTTTGACTTTCACTAAATGCAAAGGTAACGTAATTTAGTTTTGAATAGACTTCTTGTGACTTGTTCTGTTTCTAAAACTTTTGTTATGAGTAATGTGCCAGCAAGATTTCCTCTGTATCAAATCACATGTGTTGAACATCAATTTTCCACCAAGCCTTTCCTCTTTGGAAAAAAAACACCCCTCCCCTTTCTCATTCAAGGGGAAAGACATCAAACGCTTAGACTTTTTTTCTCAAAAGTCTTAACAAGACGCTTACCCAATGGCTGCTTATAAAGATGATGTACTTTTCAACAAAAACACATCCCAGGTGGGACACTTTTTAGTTGAAAGAGAGACAAAGGACGCCACTTAATCGAATGATTAAGACAAACCACGAGGTAGCTCCAAGCAGCCTTTGATTATCAAAATCAGTTGTACTTTTATCTTGGCTGAGTGTTGGCGTACTTAAATTACACGCTCTTTCATTTATAACTCTTTATGGTAGACTAAAAAAAATGATTGCCTTGTTTTAGATGGTTTAAGATAGTTTGCGAGTGGTTGTAGATGTTTTTGAGGTGGTTGTAGGTGGTTGTTGAAATTTTTGCGGTTGTAGGTGGTTGTAGGTGGTTTTAGGTCGTTCCTTGTTTTAGTACTTACGGCAATTTTGCACGATCGGCCCAGGGCCTGACCACAAAGACATGGGTCAAAGCGCTGAGCGGCCAAGATTTTGATTTGAATATAAGTATAGTCTGATCAGCCAATGAGATTTGAGGTCAACTCTTTCTCACCCGCTGCGTTAGGACATCGTGTCAGTAAAACTATCTTCAGTTTGAATTTGTTGGTTTTACATCAACCTTACGTGCCCTTAGAAAAGTTTTCATCTGAAGCTTAGCCAGAGAAAGGTGAGTTTTAACTTCAAGATACCAAGTCTGCTACACTAGTTCGAGGACTGTTGATCCAAAAACAGTGTTTGACGACAAGAGAGCGCGCTACGTGCGTTGTGTTCAATTCAAGAACTGATTCATAAAGCTCGTGCGCGTTTAGCCGTTGAACTAACCGTTCTCATAAATGAATTGGGAGAATATTTTAGTTGGCAACTGGTCACCAGGCAGAAATAAATATTCTGAGCAATAACATGCAACTGTAACGATAGGATTTTTAGTTATCGAGTTCTTTCATGCTTGCGCTTAAAAAATACAATATTCAACGTAGAAAACTTAGTTCAGCAAAGCGTAAACGCTACCAGTTCTCCTTCAGCCACCCGTAAACAGTTGTTATTAGTGTTAAACTGTAACAGCCACCTGTCCTTGTCCTTTCCTTCCCGCAGCCAGCGAGTGCCCCCAAGGAAAGCCTTTACCCAGAAAGAGTTTTTAAGAGTTGTCCCCGTCCGTCCGTTTATTTGTGAAGGCAAAAACCCTGTTTTCACACAACTCATATAGCGACAATGATCTAGAATCAAAGTGCTCTGTGAGTAAACTCGTGAGTTGACACATGATTTTTTGGATTATGTTTAATGTTATCTGGTTTAGGGAATTTTGTGGTTGATTGTCATATCTAGAGTACGAGCAGTAGTTCAGTGTTCGCTAATGTCGCAAAGAAATAAAGTAACGTTGGGATAAGAAGGCATTACAATTGACAAGGGTGGATGATGTCGTGTTTTAAACGTATCTCATTTTTTGTTTCTGGTTCAAAAGAAAAGGTTGGAAGTAAATGTGGGTGAAAAGTGAAATTTACTCTCTATCATTGTAAATATTAGAAAATCAAGGCAATACTGTCTTAATGAAAACATTAACGATTCCTTCTTTATCAAATGAGACAAACGGGAACGAGTTTTGGGTGATATAACTAAACCAAGACTACCACCGTCATTTTGGATCTCCGCCTGGGTAGATTTTAGTCACGTGCTAGGCAACGTATAATCAAGAACAAGATAAAATTTCATTTCAGGCCTATTTATAAATTTTTTGGAGTATAACTTACTCATTTTAGTTAACAAATAGAGAAGTCTTGACTCAAGAAGTGGGGAGAAACACTCGACTACGTCTCGTGTTTCCCCCTACACTTCTTTCGTGCTCTAGCCGCTTCCTGCGTGCTTTACAACAGAACAGAGCACAGTCAAGGCTTCTCTATTTGTTTTATAATAAATAATCCGTTAAATTCCCCAAGAATTACTTTCAATTTTCAAAACAAATCTTATTTCCAAAGCGAACAACAGTGACGTCAGCATACTCTATACTCTCATAAAGCACGCTACAATAAGCCAATCAGAATCCCTGTTAGAATGGTTCAAATAATCTGATTGGCTGTACAAGACTAAATCTGTCAAAAATGTCAAACCATCAAAGTTCATATTCTGTAATAGTTTACAAACTAAAATAGCTCGGCATGTCGAATTTAACACTTTTGCCTGAAGTTTTTTAGTTTCTAATACAGGATCTGAAAGTGAAATGTTCAGTGAAATTCGGCCCAATCGTGGCTCACAAAAATATGCAAGTTATTTCACATGACAAGTAGAAAACAAACTTTTCAAGGCGAGTGTATTATGAATGAAGAACAGCCGATCGCGAATTCACTAAGAAATGAAGATCGCTCGGAATGACAGCGCCGTAAAACTCGGTTGCAGTGACTGATCTGTCCTTCCACTCCACTCATCGGAAAGGTAATCAGGGCAAGCTCTTATTTTTTCACTCGAAGGGTAGTCGATTTAGTTCCTGAGGCTTGCTCCATTGCGATGACCGAAGATCGCCATGATTAGCTAGCCGCGATAGACCTTAAGTCGCTCTGACACCGTCATGATTAGTATGAATTTTAACAGTTATGCCAGGTTATATTTTTCATCATTCCTGTTTTTTTCTGTTTGAAATCGAAACTTTATATTATTATACAAGTGTTAGCTGTGTTTGATTTTTATTACCGTACGTAAACTCGCAATCTAACTGAGCGTGAAAACCGTTAAAAAAAACTCAGACTGTCTATCTTGTTTTATCTTTGAGGATTTTTGTCACTGCTCACGTTACAGTAATGTAAATTACTGCGCCTGGCATTTTTGCAAACCTTTGCTCGCTTGTTCCGAAATTTCACTTTCAATTAACGAAAGAAAAGCTAGAAAGAAGTCCCGGAAAAGGTCGGACATAGTACGATTTGGCAGATGGCGTGAAAGCTTTAGCTCAGTTCTAAGCTCTATACTCTCATAGAGCGCGCTCTTTCAACCAATGACAGTACGTGTTATATCCGAGCCTTATTATAATACGTAATATGTATTTTGAATCTTCAAACTGTCTCGAAACTTAAAAGAAAATTGTTCTTTAAAAATTCACTGAAAACAAGTAGCTAAGATTGTTTGTTTAAGTGTTATTTGATTTTCGTGTTAACCTGTAATTTCGTCAATCGCCGGCGTCTTCTGTTGCTTCACACAGGAAAAACACACGATACGAAACGTAATGATCGATTTTGTCCTCAATCTCACGCCATAACAGAAAAAGCTTTTGAACATCTGTAAACTCCGAGCGCTTCGCGGTAAGTGATATTTTCAATGAATCTTCGGATTGTTTTCAAGTTCAAGGATTGTAAATTACAATATTATGAAAAACGAAGGTTGATTTGTTATTTCGGTGTGAATCCTTGCATGCCTGCCAGTCGCATGAAACTAAAACGAAAAAAAAAACTCTTTTAAGATTATCATTGGCTTCTTTTTCACCCCACCACTATTCTTATCCATTTCGTTTGTTTTTTGCTCGCCAAAAACTATCAAATGCACTGAAAAGCCTAAAATCGGAAAAAAGTTTACAGGAATCGAGCAAGCGAGCGAGCCAGTGCCATTCTCCACATCATATCTACAACTCGCTCTTGCGCATGCGCGCGATTCACGAGTTTAAAATGTTTCTTCGTTGAATCATATAACTCTCTACTGTATCAATTTCACTTCCCGATTTAATTTTTCTCAGAATTTGAGAGCAAAACCGCTTTTGAATATCGAAGACATAGTTTAAATGATTTTGATTATGGGTTAAGAAGATGGAACAGTAAATTCGGCAACTGAACTGATCGTTCATTTCGTGATCAGATCAATATCAGTATTGAACCAAAGTAGATCAATATCAGTTGCCCAGATTCTGATATTGATCCAATTTTTCAAAGATAAAAAAATTGCAGGAGCCTGGAAAACAAGGGAAATTTGCGGTTACGACTACCTATTCATTCCAAATTGCATGGTAAAATCATGTGATTGCTAAGTGACGATATACATGAAAAAAAATTGTTAGATAGCTCTGGGTATTTATGTATACTGCAGAGCGCGTAAATGGCGTGCACAAATAGTTTATTCAAACCGTGAAAATGTCTTTGTGTGTTAGGTTAGACCATCGGTTTCAATCGAAACAACAGTTTTCTTAATGCTTGTAGTTTTTCAGTTGCAAAATAGATCAAAGACTGTTACTAACCACTTTGTTAGCTTCTTTTGTTGTGAGTTAACGTTTTCTGCCGTGTATTACACCACTCTGCATAATAATACTAAAGAACTACACTCCTCCTTTCTAATCAGAAAGAAGAAAAGTTAACGAAAACTCGCTACACGCATTTATAAGTTCCAACATGCACTC